ACGCGAGTATTTCCTGTGGTCAGCCGACACAAATCACTCGAACTAAAGAACATTTACTAGAATAAAGACATCACAACTAGACTATCTTCTCTTTAGCTTAGTAATACGGGCCTTCCAGCTTGTTACAACGCTTAACAAAACGCGACGAGCGCTGTTTTTTTAGATGTAAAAGTCAAAATATTTAATATGTAACATAATACTATCGCGTGACCGTCACTTTGCCAAGGCCCACATGAATAAAGGCAACTACACAACTGTTAATCTACAATAAAACGTTTTAAAACATGCTACAAATAATCTCAAGACATACCCAGTATAATATTTGGAGCCCATTTGACTGTTTCTTTAGTTAAAAGGATGTAAATTTGTTCTTTGTATATAATATGAATGACGTCCACACAATAATGCAGCTGTTGTTGTATTTAACAGTTCCGGCCTCAATGAAATATTCGCTTCTATATCCAAGCTCGTTTTAACTCCTTTATTCAATCTAAATGTCGATAAACTTGCTGTAACTTTAGCGGTCTCAGTACACTGCCGAGGATCGCGAAAATCACACTTTTAACTTTTCGTTTCGACTTACCCACACGTCTTGTTCAATCTGGTCACAACCGATAATTACCGGTTGCCTATATTGGCTCGTATCACATGCCGGAATAATGTACCCGGGATATACTGCCGGGAGCTTATATTTTTAGATATTTGCCGTTTTCTAAGCCCTTTGACTTTGTTGATGATGTTTTCTAATCGGAAAATGCTTGAAATGGGATGCTTATCCTTCGCTAAGCGAAGGCGGCGGCAATATCTGTGTTACTTAGCGGTTCGCGTTCTTTCCTTCTGGTTTAAACAAAGTAAAGGAAGCCATCTTCGTTTGTGATGTTTATTTGCCTATTGACTCGCAATTTCCCCTAAATATTGCATTCTAAGTGCTCTTTGTTATATTATGAAGTAAATATAAGTCTATAACTATAATAAATTCGTTTTTTCCTCTGCAGAAAATGCGATAAATTTGCTCAAATAAAACTTGTTTTGCAGCCATACCTCCCAATGACGTCATACATGCGTCATTCGTTTCGCATGACGAGTATTAAGCAGGAGAAATGGCGAAAACATATTATTAATTTACATTGAAGAATTTTGAAAAATACGCACGACAAGCCTGTCTGATCTGGTACATCGAATGCCTAGAAACGCCCAGGCTAGACTAGCACCGTCTCTCCTACATTACCAACCTCACACCATTGAAAGTGTGTGTTTAAAAATGCCCACAAGGCAGGATTTTACCAATCATAATATCCGAAATATATCCGTCTTAGGTCACACTGAATCCGGCTTACGTTGTTTGAAAAAAGATTATTTAAGGCCAACATAAAACTAAGCCAATTATTCATTTTTCTTTAAACAACAAGCACAAATCACAACTTTCTTCTTAATACAATTTTCGGCTGGTAATCTTTTTGGGTTTAAAGCTAGTGTTGTTTCGTTTCAAACTATCCAATGAGCCCATTGTGGTTGTGGAATAAACTTGAATTTAATTAATCAGTGAGTCAAACTGTAATTGACCATGAAATAGAAGACATTTATTTGGTTAAAACAATTGTTTATTCAAATCTTAGATCACGAATGCACGCAAATGAATTCGTCTTAACAGAAAACACGCTGGCCTGGCTATTAAAAATACGGTCCTTCATCTTCTCAGAATGAGGATGACGGATTTCTCTTTATCATCTTATATATAGCGTTAAATTTTCATTAACTTATGTAGTGTAAAAAAACCTTTCCTAGGCGTTCACATCTGAAGGTGTAAAAACGAGGGCGAACTCCGGCTTGTTGAGAAAATGTCGGATGGAGCTTAACTGTGCTACAAAAACATTCCTAATTTCCTGCCATTCACTTTGGCGATCTAAACGTTTTCAAAAAATATTTAAAGCACTCTAACATCGCTGAAAAGGAAGCTTGCTTTGTTTATTTTACGTAAATTGTTCGGTGTTGCTCCAGGGAGGAACATCCGAAAATTAGATCACATATTTGGCAAAATTCCAAGGCAACTTATCTGAGAAGTATTGTTTTTATTTTCTAAAACTGTACCTTATTTCATTAGCTCAACTGCATGTCACGATTCCTGTAATCTTATTTAGTTGTGGGCAAGCAGTTTCAGTGTTATTAGAAGTTAGAGCAGACCTTGGGGAAAAACTATAAACATGTACTTTGTTGTTCCACTCGGTACAAACAAAAGGTGCGACATTCTCTGAATGCTATTTCTGTCACATGCAATCATCAGATGATAGATCATTGAGGAAAACAACCCATGATATCGTCATAACGTGAATAATTCAAACAAAAACCTTCCACCAAAGTGAATGATATTGTTTTCTGGGAAGTACCATCAATCATTTTTCGTAAAGTATGGCCTAATGCTTGTAGATGTCACTTCATTCAACATACTATTATTTATACTCTTAAAGACCCTTTAATTAATTATTGCACTTTATTCCAATGACAACTGAACGTATTATTTACAGAAACAAATCAGTGGCCTAGAATGTACAACTCTGATTTTCTCAGTAGCAAAACGGAAAAAACGCTTTTTCCCAATATGTTATTCCAAGGTCTGCTGTTTAAAGACTGCTTAGCATCTGGTGAGCCTATCTTATAGAATTCTGGCTGATTGTTCATCTCAAAATATCGAAAATATTCACCATATGGGAAAGTATATTCGTTTTGATCCAACCGCTTAATGCAAAGCTGGATTTAATAAAGGTTTGGGCCACTGATCCACATGCAGCTGGATTGACCTGGTCTGATGCAATAAGTCACAAATAACAACGAATCTCCCTTTACCCAGGAGAGTACGGGTAGAGTTACCCCAAGGTATTGTTTGACGCAAAATGATTGTATTAATGACGTACTACTTATGTATTATAAAATTTGAGCAATTCACGTTGAATTAGTTACCAAGACACGAAATAAACAACAATAAACAGTGTAATCACATTTCGATTGGTAAATTGATACACACATTGTGACATATTACAGAACGATGGACGAAATCAATTGAAATTATTAAATTAGAAGAAAACCAAGGAGCAAACGAAGACCCATTTTATCCCTCTTTATCTTTCCATTCTAGAACTTTTACTGAAAAGTTAAGCGCGTGAAATATAGTCCGGAAACAAACCGGCTCCTCTCTAGGTCTATATATATTACACTGGACTCAGTGGCTTCTTCGTCCATGGCCTCTCAAAGGGCATGTAGTTTCATCTTTCAGAGAATCTTCTCGTTTAAGAGAGATACATACGTAAGCGTACTAACCGATGGCCTCGATACAAGCTTTTCCCACAAATACGGTGACGCACAGGTAAAGAGCACCCTTATGAGGGGCCACTTGCTGTGTGCTAGTTATTAAAACACCATCGTTTTAGGAAATCACAGCGTGACTCGGCCTACTCATCGCTGCGTTCAAATTTACGTTTCCCATGCAAAGCATTGCTCGTTCTTATGGTTCATCTCATGGAGGAAAAATGTCCAGGATATTTAGTTTTATTAAATAAACGTGAAAAACATTAAGCAAAAGCAGAAATTTTACTCACCTACACGGCAGCAGTTGAGGCTCAGCCATTTCAGGTTTATAGCTAGAAGGTGAAAAATATTTACTTTGAAATGCGGTGAAAGACTCGCTTCTGTGGCTTACACACGAATTGTGCCCGCTATAATTTACTGACATGTGCATCGTTGTTTAAAACAGTTTCTGATCGTATTCATAAGCTGTCAAACCGCAATCTCTGGCATGAATAAGGCGACCAATTAAGGACCTCAGCTCAAGTGGCGTGTATGACGTCATTTGGAAATGCCAATCAAGACTCATGTCTAGTTTCGCTTCAGATAATCTTGCGCCCGTTGCCAAAACATTGTTTACTATGATTATGAACGCGTTACAAATCTGTGCAGAGTTTATATACCGTTTGCAGTTTGAAACACAGGTTTGAGCAAATGAGTGCTAAATTGGTAATTAGGAAACGGTTAATTGGATGCCCGAATTTACAATGTACGGTAATTCGGTTTTAACCAGATTGAACTGGTAAATTTAGCTGCTGATATTGGCGGGGGGTAATGCGTAATGAGTGTAAATAGGAGTTTATCAAAGGGCGACACGCAAGTTTGTACAGGGAAAAGCGGTTTCAACCAGTACGAGCTGGTCAGAAAGAATGTCAACCCTTCATACTGGATACCTCTTGGAATACCACACCTATTTTGGAGCTATTTATGAATCAGTCTGACGCATTATTTACTTGAATTAGCTTTCTAGCTCGCTTGAAATATAGCTGAATTAGGAAAAGTCAAAAGCCCCTTAATAAGATTCGGTATAAACTTTCCGCAGTTAGGGCATTCTGTTGTCTAAGAGAGATTTTTGTGACTTGCATTCTTGCAACGATTAGTGAGGCTAGCCCGGCTCGTGTAAACATTCGCTTAGCTAATAGACTTTGTTTGAAATCTCGTTCAATTTTGTTTCACACAACTCTCAATTGTTATCTTTTGAAATACACAGATTATACTACACAAAGAAACTATTCTAAAGCTTTCAGTTCAGAAATTCTATTCTAAAGCTTTCAGTGCTACATTCTGCAGCTCAAACGCACTCAAATTTAGTCAGTTCTTCCAGAGCTGCGCGCGTTTGATTCACTTGTGGTCATGATCTGTAATAATACCGATTTTCAATTCAGTAATCCACACCCCGCTGTTATTTACGATGCGTGCAGGTGGCAGGTGAAAGATACGAAATGAGAGATTCATTTAACGTTTTGATTATCTTGTGACGTGCTTAAGCTTGCAAAATGTTATCACGAGCAGTCGTGTCGGCAAGGCTCTGACTTGGGCAGATTGAGGGGGAACTACCACACTACATAGCATGAAATCAACGTACCAGCGACTCGTATATTGTGCTCTGTTTGTCTTTTCGATGAACATCCTTGAATTCCGGAAGCGGAACTGAAGTTGATAAATAAGGGGGGAACTTCTGGCCTGTAGGCAACTCACTATGCAATGAAAGAAACGAAATAAGTAACGTAAATAAAAAGTTAAATTTGAAACTGAGAATCGTTTGATCACCAGACAGATGTGAGATGGTGATTTTCTTATGCGTGCAGTTTTCAACAAATGTACATGTATAAATGTACGATCAATATAGCCCTGTTTCTTATCTCATTGTGGTTTTGCAATTTACAGTAAAATGTACAATATCCATTAGACATTATTTCTCAGAGAATGGACTGGGATGAACAAAAGTACTTAAAGTAAAGTCGACCACATGTAAATACCTGCTAAAACTATTTGCCAAATATCTTTTTGATGGAAAAACAGCAGCGCAGGAACAATTTGCTCTAAAAGACCAGAGTTCGAAACAAAAATGGTAACGTCAACAAGTTTTGAAAAACATGATAACGCGTAAAAATACCTGTTTTTGCCGAATGAAGCAACACAGAGATATTGGCAACGCAGCCTAAACAAAGATTTTTTGACTCGCGTTTTTCAATAAAGATATTCGTACAATCTTAGGATCTTGCTTCGCTCCACCTTTGACGTAGGTAGCTAACGTCATGGCGAGACCGTGGTAAAGTATTGACGCAAATCGCACAAAAGGATAAGTATTTTGTTGTTATCAATGTTTAACTATTTTCTGTGCTTTGTTCATCTCGTGAGAGCCAAGTGAATGGCCCTGCAAATATGTGAATTGAATATTATCTCGGAGTTCGTTAAGTTTCTAATTGCACAATTGCAACACTGACCAGGCAGGTTAGGTACTGTTGGTGACGTGCAACCAACGAATTGATACCGCAATTATCATGCCTTTCATTTTAGCTCAGCAGGAGATCCTGCATGTGTCAATTCCAACTTAGTTTTAAAGGCGAGAGTGGAGATTTTGAGGAATTTCTTTTTTTTTCTCTTTTTTGTCGGTTCCTCGATACGAAGGTATGTAGCATGTTCAACAATTGAAGGAGATATGAAGAAATATACGTGCTCCCCTTCACGAAACAAGAATATTCAAGCTCCGTCAAGCGGGTCTTAACTGTGATCTCATTAAGAAAACGTTTGTTGTAAGATAATATAGCGCTCGTAGGTAGAAGATTTAAGCTTCACTGAAATCCTGTTTATTTTGCAACGAAACATTTTTAAAGCACTGAAATCCTGCACTTTTAGGGTAACGAATTAGAATTTGAGCACGCACATCAGCAATACTCGAACCCCGCCCTAGTTCATCATCAACCCTAAAATCCAACAAAACGAAATCCATTTCGTTGCTCCAAAATTGTTAAGCATTCTTGACCTTGGTTTAACGCTGACACAGATTATCCTGGCTCAACATCATTTTCCCGCTTTCTAAGTTTATTCTTATCAGCGCCCAGTTGGATCGGATTTGTCAATGTTTGAAACCTAATGAAATATTGTGCAACACTACAAAACAATGTATTATTGTTGAGCGCATACTCAATTGCTGACCATGACACATTCGAAACTAGCAGTTTTAACCTTATTTGCAATAATACGGATATATTTAGGCAGTGTAGGTGTAAAAAGGACAGCGCGACTTACAACACGACGACTGTTATGATAACCCACGCCGACTTTTTGCTTCAAAACAAGGATGTTATTGACTATATACATACTACCACGTGACTGGATAAATATAGTTATAGAGCATTCCGAAGTCTCGTGAACAGAATGCGGCTACTGCCTGAAATGCACCGATGTTTTCGGTAATTAGGGCACCGGAAGACTTAAAACCACAGAACAATATTACGCGGGGAAAACAAGAACGGAGTGTGGAATACGGAATGCGGTATTTCCTACTCAGGGATTCTCATGAGTGAGTGGCATACACATTACACATGACGCAACTCCTGAAACAAAAAGGAATTCTCCATCAATAACGAGATCCCACGAGAGATCTCGTGCTTTTTAGAGTAAGCAAGAACAGATTCAAGATCCTGGATTCTCTCAATCCGTTCTCTTTACCCTATTCTTTATCGCAAATGCTTTCGGCCATCTGTGGGCTTCATTCGACAATCCGGAAACTTGGCTAATTAAAGGGGGCGTACCACGCATACAGGGACTCTATTTTCCTTGTATCTATAATGAACGCCAAATTTGTGCTAAAACATACCTCGTTCCAGGCTCGTCAGAGTTTCGGGGGGTTTTTGATGGCGCAGCCTAACAGAAGAATTCTCACACCTCTATGAGACGCCTCGTCCAATCAACGTCGTCGATTATCACTCGTGACTCACGACACAACAGTTTGATTGGCTTAAATACAAGTTGCAGTAGAGCACCAGCAATGGCGAGATGTCCGTGCATAATGCGACTGTTTAGAGAACGAGCTTCTTGTTTAAGTCTCTAAAACAATCCCATGAAGCATTGTCAACCTCGTTGATTACCAGTCCTCAAAAAATAACTTCGGATTGGCTAGATAAATAGTTCTATAAGTAGATTAAGTGCGAATAATAAATATCATTCAGAGTTACCGCGGGAAAATGGTCGTTTTACACAAGCGTTTTCAATGGATACTTGAACTATGGACATTCTTTATAATTGAACTTTAAAAAAGAAAATAGGCCAGACGTTTTCCGTACGGGACAGACACGAAATCATATTATCCGTAGAAAGTGTTATGTCTTCAAAGACGTCACAGTTTTCTCAGAATGCATTTTTGTTGCAAAAACCGTGCACAATGTCTTGCGGAAGATATCTTTGCACAACGCACCTTGCGTCATCAGATTGTTCTTTTTGCCAAAACGGAAAGCATTAAAAATGAAGCTTTACTTTATGTCATCTCTGTATATCCTTTGTCGTGGAAATGTTCTTACAAGTTCTTCAAAGAAACCTCTCAGGCTCAAGCTGAACAAGTGTACACAGTTACTTGGATACCTTCAAACCTGTCGAAATGATACCCTGAAACACTGTAGCTGCTACATTGCTTAGTTTAAACCGAGAATAATATTGATCTATCATATAGGTGGTACAGTAATAAGCAGTACTTATCATGCAGAAATCTTGTGCAGTCTCCACAAGAGCGAAAACAATGTACATTTCTTTTACTGTACATAGAAATCTTGTATTTGAGAGGGGAGAATGAAATCCTCCTTTCTAGACAGATAACTATTTTGTCTTGTTCTTATAGGCATCGAGGTTTCTATAGGCGAACATTTCTTTCCCAAATTGGCGCAATTAGATGGATTGAAAGGATTCAAAGCAGTTCTTCGAACATACATGCATCAGCGTTTCAGCTTGTTTCAACCTTCCGTCTTCCGGACCAGCAAAGCCCAGTCATGAACGACGCACAAAGCCGCACTTCCTTCCGTAAAAATTAACACCATGATTTAGCAAAGACGTGTCTGACGTCTAAGACCACGTATAAACATGGCATTCGTCATGGCATTGTGCTAAAACTATGGCAATGGTGAGGCCACGTGAGGCCGCTCCTCCGCCCAGTAATTGGCAATTCTAGGGTATTGGGTGCCAATAATAAAAGCGTCGCTGTTTGCGGATGATGAACTTACCAGAATCCGGCGGTAAAAGAGAGGATAGGAAGCTGCTGCACAATGTTACTATGTAAATAATGTAATGAAGCTGCTCTTATAGAGAAGGCGAGAGACACCTCAAAGCTGAATTTGCCAACGCATCAAAAAATGTGATGACAAGGATAAGGATTCTTGTCGACGGAACATTGTCAAAACCCCTGATGACAATTAAGGTGTGAGCGATCTCACGCGAAGTTCCTGAGGTTGAAAAGCTTATTTTCACCGTGGACTGCGTATGACCTCATTCGTCCACTTATATACAAACATATTATTTACAATTATCATATGAAAGAAATATTAAACTGATGTCTTATCTTGTTCGTTGTTTCGTTTCAAGAGTTGATTGATGCAATACTCGTTCTCCTGCCCAATTTCCGTGAGTCGTAAATCAATAGTTTTTATCGTCTCGTTTTCCTCCATTCCTTCCTGCAAGGATTTACCACCATCCTACAATACGACAAAATTGAAAGTTGGATACATTGATATCATCTCATGAGACAACTCTCTCTGGTGAAGTATGATCCGGACAACAGACTTACCTCTCCCATTTTGTTGCAAGAAAGATTTAATGAACGGAGAGTTTTATTTGAAACTAAAACCTGTGAAAGATAATAAAAGACAACATCAACTTTAATAAACACCGGATGTTAGGCAACATCTGTTCATTATCGTAATTACCTTCTTCATCAACACCACCATTATGATGACATTACTATCACCAATGTCATTACAAACATATAATCACTATTATCACCTTTATCTATCAACATTATTGGTATGATTACCGTTATCATCATCACGAACACTATTATCGTAATCACCACAATCATCATCATCTTCATAATCTTCATCACAATCATCACTATTACCACCAATATCATCATAAACATTATCATATTCATTGCCAACATCATCACCAACATCATCACTATCACCACCAATATAATCACGAACACACCATCACGAACACCATTAACAACTAACCTGTGCTAACGCAGCAGCTGTTGGCTCACCCAAATCATTACTTCCCACATTCAACTCCTGGAGTGTTGTGTTCTTAATCAATGCCTTGCACGTGGCCTGACCCCCATCATCACCCAGTCTGTTCAAACGCATATTCATTGTGCGTAACGTCGTATTCTTCCCAAGCGCGTGAGCAATTGCCTTGCCGCCATAAGACTTGATCTTATTGTCCTGAAGGTTGATATGCTCAAGTTTGCTTCGTCCATTGAGCAATTTACCAATAGCTCGAGCTCCACTGTCGCCAATCTTGTTGTGAGAAAAATCTAGAAATTTACAGATCAGTTTGAGCGAAACATATTTTCTTTAGCCTCTCTAAGGAAAAGTGTGCATGTGCAAATAAAACGCTGTCCCTAAGACACAGTTTGCACGCAAATATTTCGATTTTCACGTGAATATTTTTTGAGTAAGTACCTAGGGTGGTCAATGATGGATGATCCAGGAGATGACTAATTAAAATTCTTGCTTTCTCGTCTTCGACTTGACTACGATGCAGATGAAATACTCTTAACGTAGTGCACGCCTTGATTGCCTGAAGAAAACACAACTATGAATAAAATTTCATTCGCAACCGACAAAATTCAACTATACTCACGCTGAATATTTGTGTAGCTTACCCTGGAAAGAAGTTGGCAATCTCTCGATGTAAACTGAAACATGTTCCATTCGAAGTTCATCCCGCATGTACGGACTCTGTGAAAATCATAAAAATGTGTCTTTTAAAGAATAATTTAAATAGTTGAAATAAAAAACTGCATTAAAAGATTAAAACATAAAAATAGGGCACTTACCCATACGTAATATGAAGCTCTTGAAGGCAACTTGTTCTAGAAACTAATTCCCCAAAATCAAAATGATCCATGAGAGGCCCCTCTTGTCCCACTTCGCTCCCACTGAAAGATTAGGAATAGTTATTGATATTGATGCACATATCAGCATTGCATTATATTTAGTATAGCAGAGAGAATTGTGCATTCACTTATATCATACTAAACTTTCAAGTATAAGGGGGAGTTTCCATTTTAACTTACGTATCTGAGGAGTCATCTTCTTTCAAGATAATCTCCTTTACAGGCGGAAGAAGTTGTTTAATATTCAGTGAACAGATGAATGTTTCACCCAGGGCCAATGTGTGATCCAACTGGAAAAAGACAAGTTTCAATCTAGTTTCCAAGATTCTAAGCAATGACAGTATTTAATATTTTTTTACATTGATTAATGTAGAAAACCATTGATAACACTTTAGAGGCATTTTACCTCAGTGATTTCTGTAGATTCTGGTATAAAACTTTCTATAATCCCTGGGATAGAAAACATAGCACATTAGTTGATCATTAGCTTGTGATGCAGTTGAATGTTCTCTACTCAAATTTTTCCTCTTTAAGATGGTGCCTCACAGTTGTAGGGTTGAGAATCGCCCTGGGAACGACAGTCCTACCTTCAACAGTCTTCTCAAAAAACATTCTTTTCCAGTTATTCCCATGTTTTGATATATCACAAATATCCCATTTTGATTTGCAGCATTTTTGCCAGTAACCATCATCCTCAACAAGTGAAGCGGTGACCCTTAACAAGATGGTTATATGCTGGTAAGAGAACAGCTAGAGTAGCGTAGCCAAAACGATAATTGGGGGGGGGGGGGCTATATTTATATATTCGTGATACGCAGGATTAATTTCTTTTCAAATTAATTGTCTTTATAGTCTGTTAAAATGAATATATAAATATGGGCCCCCCTATTATCGATGCTGGCTACGCCACTGAATAGCTAGGGTACGTATCACTGCAGTCAACCAACAAGCTTGTACAATACGCAACCTATACACTTACTTCAGTGGGATGGAAGTCGACAGAAGTTCTAAAACTTTTGCTTTATGTTTTGGCAGGAGTTCATTTAGGGTGGGTTTCTCTGAAAAAGAAATGGTGTATTTAATGATATATAGAATCTGTGGATGCTAATGTATGCAATATACTATGCAGTATGTGAATATTTCATACCATCAAAACAGTTTATGATATTCTGAATACATAAGTCAGTAAGCAGTGGAACTGTGGCTAAACTCCTGAAAGAAAAAATAAAATGAGTTAGGCTCAGGTGCAGTGATCGTACTATGCGATGCCACAGATTGACTGGCAGACCCTATGTAATCTGGCATATATATGACCCAGTGTGGGAAGTTTGTATCAATTTTGATGTCTCCTATATATTTCCTAGTATTTTTTTGAAATGTTGGTTGCGCAGTTTGTACACTTTCCAGTCAGGTACAGTATATAACTTCTATATATCAGTAGCCTGATACCACCGTAGTCTACCATATTTGTTTGCAGAAGTCGTTCATTCAACACATTGCTACTTACCAGTCTGGATCTTCTGCGATAATTCTCCTCATCTGCCTAGGATCAGACGCAGGATTCGCATTTTGGTCAACAATCTAGTTGGAAATAAATTTATAGAAGGAAAATTGATTTAACCTGACATGATGTGGTTAAAATGAAAAAGGTGACTTACTGGGGGAGCCACAGTACCCACGGGTCCTTCACTTGTCATTTCGAATTGAAAATTTGCTTCAGAAACGCAGAAAAACTTTAAAACACAAGAAATTGTTAAAAGAAGAACAGATCCACCATTTTGATTACGACAACGTCGCTATGGTAACCACGCGAGTTTGTGAAATGGAAAATGTGAAAAGCGGAAACACATACACGTCATCAAAATCAAGATGGAGGCCGGATTGCTCGTAAGTATTCTTATTCCTTACTAAAATGTTGTTTTCTTTCCGTCTTTTCGCGACAAATCGACCAGCTATTGCTGATTTGGCACATGAATCCAATAATCTAGATGCGTGAGCGTCTTCCATCAAAATAAGTTATGTTGTGGTGTCATTTAAAGGCTATCCCAGAGCACCTAAAAAAGCTCTGATTTCAGGATTTCTAAGATCAATGGACTGATTCTTTCCTAACAAAAAGTGCATTTGATGCTACGACTTATGTATTTTCAAACAGGAGCCATCGATGTACACAGTGAAAGGAGTCTTAATTCTTGATAACGATGGCGAACGAGTACTATCCAAAGTATGTCTTTTGCTTCAAAGTGTTATTTTGACCTTTGACAAGGCTTTGTGTTTATTTAAATGTTGCTATCCAACTTTGTATTTTAGTACTATGATGATACTTATCCAACTGTGAAAGAACAAAAGGAATTTGAGAAGAACTTGTTTAACAAAACAAGCAGAGTTAATGGTTGGTATAATATTGATATTTGCATGTTAAAAGAGACAAGAAAGTTGAACTACATATTCCAGGGTGCATTCGGTGTAGACAAATCGGAATATCTTCGGCGTAGAGTTAGGCAAATATGTATACACATGTTACAATAGTCGAGATCTTGTTTATTATAAACGTTTATCTTTCAATACTCGCATGCTTTAAATAATACTAACTACAAACTAGTACTTCTTTTTTTATACACCATCTTGGATGCGCCCGCAAGTCACATCAATGTACTTAGTGTAAGTTTCATATTGTAACATCCCCCCTTTTATGAAGGGACTGCTCCTATTACCAAAATAACTTACTTAAAACAGATAAATTAAAAAAAGCAAAAATTACATAGATACATACAAGAATTAAATTGCTTAGTATGTACAAATATGTATATATAATTTTTATATATATACGGTTCCAGCTGTGTTCGTTCTTTCTTCCTAACGGACATAGTCTTTTAAGTACTCTGGAGCTCTTCGGGTGCGCTGTGGTCTTGTTATTCGTACTGGACAAGCTGCTTGTCGTTGGCTGTCTTGCTCTGCTACCGGTCGAGGGGGCTTTGCGGGTGATAAACTTTCCGTAGGTTTTTCTTTCAACGGGGTGGTGGATTGCGTTACTTCTTCCTCTGTGGACTCCTCACTTGCTTGATTCCACTCATCCTCCGAACTCACCTCTTCTTTTATCGGCATCTCCGCTGATTTCTTCAAATGACTTCGGTTTCTGCGATAACTATTTCCTTCCGGCGTTTTGACCGTATATGATCTTTCGTCTAATCTGGCAGTTACGACAGCTTTATCCCATTTCTTTTTACCCATTCTAAATGGTTTCATCCTTACCACGTCACCATGACTCAACTCCGGAAGATCCTTTGCATTGCGGTTGTAATACTTGATCTGCTGCTCCTGCCGTTTCTTCATGTCCCTAAACTCTTTTTCCTGGCACATCACCTTAGGTTGCAGGAGCTTTGATGTTGTAGGAAGAAGTGTCCGAGTTCTCCGGCTTAGCAAACGTTGTGCGGGACTACTCTCCATACCCTGAGTGGGTGTATTGCGATAATCCAAAATCGCCAGGTATGGGTCAGCTCCCCCCTCAACAGCTTTACGAATGAGCCGTTTTGCCATCTTCACCGCTGACTCCGCTTTACCATTCGCCTTGCTATTACCAGGGCTGCTCGTGAGATGCTCGAAATTCCATGTGTCGGCAAACGTTGCAAATTCTTCCGCCGAAAACTGTGGGCCATTATCGCTAATGACTCTCTCTGGACAGCCGTACCTCGCAAAATGATTCTTCAACTTGAGAATTATCATACTCGTTTTGGTACTGGTCAGCCTGTCAATTTCCCAAAAGTTACTAAAATAGTCGACAGTTATCATATAATCCTTCTTATCGAACGTGAACAAATCCACGCCAACTTGCTCCCAGGGACGTGATTGTATTTCATTGGGCATCAAGGTTTCCTTCTGCTGTGCTGTTTCATAGGTTCTACAGACTTCACAAGAAGCCACTAACTCTTTAATTTCCGCCGACATCCCTGGCCAGTACACACTCTCTCTCGCTCTACGAAGACACGACTCGGTCCCCAGGTGCGACGCATGTATTTTCTTCTTCATATCCCGACGCAGTCTACTCGGTATGATCACTCTCTGCCCTTTGAATAACAGCCCATCTTGCACCGTTAGCTCATCCCGCATACTGAAATAAGGTAGGATCTGTGCTGCTAGGTACTTCTTCTCTTGTGGCCATCCTTCCATTATGGTTTTCTTAAGTAGCTGTAGCGATTCGTCTTCATCGGTCGCTGCTTGAATGTCCCTCATTTTCTCACTTGAAATTGGCAAAAAACTAGCCATGTTGACACACTCGAATTCAACACCAGACGGATGTTCCGTTGTAGGCAGGAAAGCACGCGATAGCATATCAGCTATGTACATGCTTGTTCCTTGCTGATACCTCACTTCGAAATCATACTTCTGCAGCCTCATCATCATCCCCTGCAGACGCCGCGGAGCACTTGCCAGGGGTTTTCGGAGGATAGCCTCCAATGGCTTGTGATCACTTTGAATCTTTACATGTCTTCCGAAGACGTACTGGTTTAATCTCTCAAGTGAAAACACAATCGCCAACATTTCTTTTTCGATTTGCGCATATCGTTGCTCTGTCTCCGTCAGGGCACGACTAATATACACAACTGGTCTTCCTTGTTGCAACAGTGTCGCTCCTAAACCCTTCTGGCTTGCGTCACATTGGATTACCACCTCATCCTTCGGATCGTAATACTTTAACACCGGGGCCTCCGTGACCAATTTCTTTACTTCCTGGAACGCCTTCTCTTGCTCCTCCTCCCATCTCCATTCTACACCTTTTCGGGTCAGACGGCAGATTGGCTCCATAACATCAGCCAACCTTGGCAAAAACTTAGCCAAGTAATTTACGAAACCATTCAGTCGCTGCACCGATTCAATATCGGTTGGACGAGGTAATTCTTTCACTGCTTCAAGCTTCCCTGGGTCTACCTTAAGGCCTCCGCTGGTAAACAGATGTCCCATATACGCCACCTCTTTTTGGCGCAGCTTCATCTTATCTGGGTTGAGGGCAACACCATTTTTCTTACATCTTTCTAGCAGATGACGTAGCTTTCGATCATGATCTACATTCGCATCTTCTTCGGTCGCCCCAACTCCATAAATGAGAATATCGTCGGTGATGTCCAGAATTCCGTCTAGACCATCCAAAACTTGATGAACTCTCTTCTGAAAAATTTCCGATGAAACTGACAGTCCGAATGGTAGTCTTCGCCACCTGTATCTCCCGTAGGGTGTTGCAAATGTCGTAAGAAAACTCGAATCTTCCTCCAAAACGCAATGCCAATAGCCGGCGCGGAGATCCACTGTAGAGAATACCTTGGCTTTGGCCAACTCCGGAAGGAGATCATCCAACACTGGCAAATGGTATTGCTCACGCTTAAGCGCGGCATTTAATGGCTTCGGATCAATGCACACCCTCAATTGACCTGACTTCTTTGTAGCGACTACCACACTGCTCACCCACGGTGTTGGCTTATCCACTTTAGCGATGACTCCCAACTCTTCGAGTCTGTCCAATTCACCTTTAAATTGCTCTTTCAATGCTATCGGCACACGCCGAGTTGGTACAACGACTGGTCTAGCGTCTTTCTCTACTTCTAATTTCACTGTACCAGGTAGGTTTCCAAGCTGACTGTGAAACACCTCTGGGTATTGATTAACTATCTCCTCTACCGTCAATAGCTGATTCACCTTTGGTTTATCTCGTTTAGGTGCTGTCACTGCTACAAAATTATCCCTATGAATTGTGATCAGCTTCATTTGTTGCGCTGCCCTCGCACCAATCAGTGGCGTGAGACTTTCTCGCACTACGACGAACTCAAAGGAGAACTTTTTTCCTGACTTTGGGTTTCTTATAGCAACTCTTATGGTTCCTGTTGGTTTAACTTCGGTTTTATTCCACATGATAAGTGTTTTGGTAGTTGGAGAGAGCTCCTGCTTCCCCAGAACACTCTCCGGTAAAATGTTTATTGATGCACCACAATCCACTTGAAATTGAACAGGTTTTGTACCCAGAAACATTTCTGCATATATCTCTCTTGGGTAGGCTTCATCTGATGGCCCAACTGCGCAAACGCTCCCATTATTAACTGCTATACTTCCCAGGTATTCGATATCGGAACTGTCCGCATCATTTTCATACTCACGTTTTTCTTCTTGTCTTGTAAGGTGCACTTTTGCATTATCTCTGCTCTCGACTTTTCGGCAAACCCTGGCGAAATGATTCTTTCCCCCACACTTTAGGCATTCCTTTCCCCTGGCTGGGCATCTTTCTTTTCGTTGTGGGTGTCTCCCTGCACAAAACTTGCATGTTATTGGTGACATCACATCTCGCTGGTCTCTTTGATACCCGGTCTGCGTCTTTCTCATTGTCACTCTGTGTATGTCCTCTGGCGCTGCCTTGTCTGAGATTATCTTCATTTGTGTTGTCGTGACTTCAGTGCTTCGACATAGGTCAATGCATTTCTTCAAACTAAGTTTTCGTTCTTGAAGGAGTTTTTTCCTGGTTTGTGTATTATTTATTCCAAACACAATTCTGTCTCGGATGAGTGAGTCCTTTAGACATTCACAAAAATTGCATGTTTGTGCTAATGTACGTAGCGTCGCGACATATGCATCAACACTTTCATCATCTTCCTGGTTTCTACTATTGAATACATACCGCTCATACGTTTCATTAATCTCTCCAATTGTAAACTCGTCAAATTTGCTTATAATAGGATTGAGCTTATCGCGTTCTTCTTCCGTGAATGACATACCATTGTAAATTTTGAGAGCTTCGGTCCCAATACAATGTAAGAATAAAGCAACACGGTACTGTTCTGTCTGTTTGTCCAGATTCGTAATGATCGCATAATTCATCCACGCTTGCTTAAACGTCTTCCAGTTTTCCGCTATGTTACCCTTCGTTTGAAGCTTTTCAGGCGGCGAAATTCCTTGTATCGGTGCCGGTGTTGGCGGTGCTGTAGTCATGATTTACCCGCTATAATTTACTCTTTTCTTATATCTATGCTTATCCTTTTCCTCGTGGTCGTGGATTTCGATCTTATCCCACCGCTGCCACCATGTTACAATAGTCGAGATCTTGTTTATTATAAACGTTTATCTTTCAATACTCGCATGCTTTAAATAATACTAACTACAAACTAGTACTTCTTTTTTTATACACCATCTTGGATGCGCCCGCAAGTCACATCGATGTACTTAGTGTAAGTTTCATATTGTAACACTTGGCGTACTGGCGTACAATCAACTTTCCTTGGCGTAGTGGCGTACACTGTTTTTAACTTGTCGGCGCATAAATACCGGATAAACACATAAACTTTGTATTACAAAGTTTGTAATTCAAAGGTCCACATACACACCGACTTCAACTGCATGCATTTAAGTATTTTAACGACAACAAAGGCATTTAACTTCTTAAAAATGGTCCTCTAAACGTGTAGCATTTTTTTACTCACGAGTTGAACGTCCTGGCGAGTATGCGATTGGCGTAACGTCCTGGAGTGGGTAATTGTCGTAAGTATGGCCCAGGGTGGGAAGTTGGCGTAATGTTAAGATTGCTTTGGCGTATCTTCGGCGTGTGATATACACCGAATGCACCCTGGTACATATTCTAATAGACTTTCCTCAATCTTGACATACCCCATTTTGCCAGTTTTCAAGCATATTCTTGTGTATAATATGATCCATTTCAAGAGTTTTCTCCACAGTGTGGTCTTTTCCAAGTCATATTTATATAACAACAAATTGTTTTTTTCCAGCTGAAATAGTTATGTTTGAGGGTCTCACATGTGTATACAGAAGTAATATTGATCTATACTTCTATGTTATTGGTTCATCGAGCGAAAATGAAGTAATTAAGACCGTATTTATACCATTGTTTAATTCAGAGTTTCCATTAACAGAGCATTGTTAGAAACAACATTTATGTGTTTACCTTGCAGCTTATATTAGTCAGTGTTTTGAATGCGTTTTACGATTGTGTTAGCCAAATTCTGCGGAAAAGCGTTGAAAAGAAAATGTTGATGGATAATTTGGATGTTATAATGTTGGCCATGGACGAACTTGTTGATGGAGGGTAACACAATATTCATCTAGATTCATTTTAACAGAAATAAAATCCTGTACATTTTCACTCACTGTATTTGCAAAATTATATATCAAATCTACAATGTATACATATCTTCTCATTTTTCAGTGTAATTCTGGATGCTGAAGCATCTTCAATCATACACAAAGTTGCTGTAAAGGTAATTTGATCTTGATAGCTTTCTTGTTAAATTTCTGTGGGAAAAGCACAATTGATTTTTTGCACTTTCTTTTAGAATGACGATGTTCCTCTGTCTGAGCGCAGCGTGGCTAATGTAAGCTTTGCGACATGCTGGTTAAATCATGTTTTGAGGTTGGGTGTTTAGTGTTCACAATGTCCTAATTTGTATTTAATAAACTTTCTGTTTTGTAGGTTCTACAGTCAGCCAAAGATCAACTAAAATGGTCCCTTCTGAAGTGAAATTGATGCATTTTAAACAACTTTTGTAGTGCAGATGTCAGTGAAAAAAAATAGGAAACAATAGAACTTTTGAAATTCAAATACGTAAATATATAACTCTGTGTAAATGCAATTCATAAACTCCATGTAGATGCATGACAAGTCATTTCCTAGTCGAAAAATAAATTATTTACTGCACACTGTTTTTTTGTCGTTTCATTAACCATTACATAACTTTACGTCATTAGACCACAATGCACCGGGACCCAACATGGCGCTATTCTTGACTAAAAGATCCATTTCGATTTAAGTTGCCCTTGGGCGAGCTGTGGCCAAGCTTCGAATGTCGCGCGTGGGGTTAAAGAAGTATCACGTGTCCCACGCGCGGAATGTAATTTCAGAGATCAAACATCAGCTTGGGATTGTAGTTGTTGAATGTTTAGTCAGAAAATCCATTTCTTTTTGCCTGATATTCTTTCTCAGGAATAAATAAGCCTTCAGGATATTATGGGGGAAGAAAAGGCCGCAGCAAATGATGAACAGTCGCCGGAAAACGAAGGTAATTGTGAACAAATGTTTTTTAATGCGAATATAATATACACAAACATTTTACTCCCAAAAGGCTTTTGAGGAATGCAATCTTTTCAAAGAAAAAAATGCCAAAGATTTGGTATTGTTTAGCAAAACAATGCCTTGAATTCGCGTCCACACACAAATTTTGACCGTATTTGACGCGCTGATAACGATGAATTCTATTAAACTTTGGTGCATACACAATCAAAAGCACAAACGAGAATCTTGTTTTATTTATATACATGTATTTCTTTGATTGATAATCCAGATTAAAACACAACAGGTATCATCCTGCGGTTTCGGCCAAAATCAGATGCTATAACAGCGTTTAAAAACCGTTTTTAAAGCCACTGTCTTACGCGAACCTTGTGGGCCCACCTGCTTCTATTAAATACAAGTCAAGTGTACTTTAAAAGAAAAAACATAGCATCTGTTTACTCAATGCCACAACCCAGCAGGATCGTAACCATATACCTTTGTATTTTTGGAAAAAATATCTGAAATAAGCTTCTATACTTTTGCCTGATAGCAAAATATGTTGAAAATAGAAGCAAAGCATTGGAAACCTAATAGGGGGGAATACTTTAGGACATATTAGGTTCTATTCAGGAAATGCTGGCCAAACAAATGAAGTGCCTTTTTGACATATTTTGTCTGATGTAAACATAATGCCAAATTGAATGATATGACTATGTATTATTACCATACCTGGTATATGCATATAAATTGCAATGCTTTTGATTATTATCTTGTGTAGAAATGATTGTGTAGAAATTACCATGATTGAAATCCTTGACATTTTATTGAGGGTTGAGAAACACAAGGCTCACAGGTGTCAGCTCTTGATATAAAGTGGACTTACAGCAGTAAAACAACAGTTTATATCACGCCTTTAGCTTCAAATGCACCCTTACAAAACTCACTAAGCATTGATTGGAGAGTGCTCTGGTTAATTGGTTGAAGTGGAATACAGCATATCACTATAGTTACAATCATTTTAGGCACAGGCAAAATTAATTTAAATCTGACCCTAAATCTTATAGCAAAGATTTTTGCTTGTATGTTTAATGCTGAACATTTTGGGTAAGAAAGAATTCGGTGCATGCAATAATGGTGTTCGCTTGTGACAGTGTTTTCAAACTGTTCAATGTAACAATGTGTCTGATAGTTGAGTAAAACATCTGATGGTTTGAGCAGAACTTTTCTTAACCACAAGCAATCCATTATCAAATCTGGCATAACTCACAGGTCAAATGATATAATGTCAACTGCTTCTTTGTAATACATATGTATATCCATTAACATAACAGAGTTGGAATATTTTTTACAAGGAATTTCCTAAAACCCTCAGCAAGCTGTGTGATGTGTTAAAACTTTGTTTTCAGCAATTAAAGAGGTGGTCGATTCATTAGAGGACCCCACAAATGCAGGCCTAATTTTAGAAGAACAAGCAAAGTCTTTGAAAAATATCTTAGCTGACCCTGCTGTGCAGCATCTCTTTAAGGTAAGCAATTACCTGCTATGACTTAATGTCAACTAGTAGGAAATGCATCTAGGGATATTCTCAGCTAAATTGCTTTAATCCATCCTGTTTATTCCAAGGTTACCTAGGCAACAGCAATGCATGCTGAATATTGAAAAAAAGGTCGACAAATATTATAGGAATGAATGATCAACAATTTCTCGTTGTAGGCTCATGGGGCATTGGAACAAGAAAGGAAAGAAGCTGTGAAGAATGCAAATGTTGAGTTGATAAAGGAGGTATGTTGTAGAAGTTTCTAGTTCTGGAAATACTTGTTATGCCTGCACAAGATGACTATTTTATTATTTCTTCAGGTTTTATTATCATTGGAAGGCAAAGATGAGAGTGAAGATGCTGTAGAGCTACATACTCTGTTGTCAAATCCTCATGTAAAGGTAAATGAACTCAATCAATTTTAAGCCACCTCACTCACGAAACACAAAGCTTGAAATGCTGCCACACAGTTGACAAGGACAGGCCAAGATTTTCTCATAGAGACCAGCAAATACACTATGTCCTAATTCATGAAAATAACTATTTCAGGGTTTGATTGAAAGTCATGATGCAATCGCCAACAAGGCATATGACGTCACACCACCTCTTGCTCTGCCGGACTCCGCAGACTCAAATGGGAGTGCAACTGGTGAACCAATCAGAATGGTTGGATTAAATAAGTCACCGAATGAATCTCTGGTATGGTTGCAATTAAAAAATTCATCTTATGATTGTTGGAAAGTTGTGTTTGATTTTGTCCATTTATTATCAACAATAGCTTGGACTGTCTGTTCTATTATACAACTTCTATCAACTGATATATTCAACTCCAGATGTGAACATGTGAGAGACATTCATATTAACCACAATGTGACTATCTCACAGATATATCAATCTCTTTCCTCAAGGGTTTAACTCTGAAGCAGCGTGGTGGACAAATTATTGTAGCGAGGATCATAAAAGGAAGTACCATAGACAAGCAAGGTGTGATTTGCTGTAAATTTAAAAGCAGCAATAAAGTATTTTGATTGTTAAGAGCTTGCATTGGCAGTCTCCATAAAGACTCACTAAGAAAATTGATAACTTTTAAGGTTTACTGAATGTTGGTGATGTCATCAAAGAGGTGAATGGTCAACCAGTAAAGAATGACCCAGAGAAAGTTCAGAATATTTTGGTATGATAGCCAGTAATTGTGTTATCATTGCTATAACCTTTGATTGTTTTCAAAACTATGTAATTTTTTTCTTCACAGAAAGATTCCAGCACCAAGGTTACTTTGAAGGTCTCTCCAAATTACGCAAGCAAGCCTTATCATGGTCAGGTAAAGAAAATAGAAAATTTATACCAATAAAGGTCCCGCTAAATCTCGTTTTAAAACGTGTAAACATTGGCATACCTTAATGTATCCTATGGCCTTTTTAAATCTTTGGTATCTTTCTTACGAGAGTGATGAAACTCCCATCCAAATTCTCGTTCTTATCTGACATAAACGTCTGCAAATGATTACTCACAACTGTTCGTTAGGTTTTCGTGAAAACGCAGTTCTCGTTTGATCCAACCACGGACGATGATATCCCGTGCAAGGAGGCGGGTTTGGCGTTCCAAAAAGGAGAAGTTTTAGAGATACTGGATCAAACTGATGCAACTTGGTGGCAGGTGAGCTGTGAGCAACTGTAACGTATCAAATCACTTCAAAAGACTGTCCAAAGATTGAAGTCATCGTTATTTATGTGCATTTTAATCACCCAGGCGAAGAAAGTGGACGGTGATGGCTACACTGGATTGATCCCTAGTCGAACGCTGCAAGAGAAGTACAAAGTTCTTACTTATCATATGGAAGGGAGGGGAGGGGAGGTGTGCAGTTCGAACTGTACAACAAGTGTAAGATGTGTTTCTGATAGTTTTATCAACGTGTTTTTCTAGACGAAGGACTTTCATTCATCCAAACGTCACACATAGACGTAGCTTCTGTAAGTTGAGAAGATGATTTCAAACAGACGCCAATATTTTAGCCGTAAAAACGAAAGGGTTAAACGAACTGCATGTTCACGTTTTAGTCATGTGCGGTTCTCGTAAAAAAAAGAAAACAATGTACGATGTGAAAAAAACGCAAGGTATTTATTACTTATTACTCTTACTTGGTCATATCTTGCCGTCTTTTATTCTCGCTATTTCCATCGCTCACCATTTGTTTTATAGAATTTGACAGACATGCAGTTGCTTCGTATGAAGAAGTTGCTAAAAAGCCACCGTTTGAAAGAAAAACATTAATTCTAGTCGGTGAGTGAACAGGCCATTGTTTAAAAACATTGTCAACAGCGTCTTGGGTATGGTGTTTAATCCGATTGTAGTCTAGTGAAAATAATTTATCACGATGGCTATGTGTGTTATACGTATATGCACATTTCGCGTACATTTAGGAGCAGAAGGGGTTGGTCGAAGGACATTAAAGAACAGAATCGTTGCCAACGATCCGACTCGATTTGGAACGGCGATACCTCGTAAGTACAGCAGTTTCCTTCACCGCTGTCCTTCACTAAGTCGAGATAACTATTTCCAACCAAATGAGTGCTACAATCTGTTGTGTCGATTCGGATTTGCATCATATGAACGAAGCGAACTGCGAATTAGTTTTTACTTGTTTCTGTGTTTAGACACATCACGGGAACCCAAGGAAGGGGAGGAAGATGGGAAAGGATATCATTTCGTCTCTCGCGATAAAATGGCCGAGTTGCGTCGTGGCAACCAGTTCCTTGAGCATGGTGAATACAATGGTAACACGTATGGTACCAGCATCGAGAGCGTTAGAACTGTCGTTGACCATCACAAAATGTGTATTTTAGATTTACAACCTGCGGTTAGTGTAGTAGTATATTGTTTTATTCAATAGACTGATTTTCACACTGAGCTACAACATCAAAAGAGTTCATCTTTCCTGAAGTAAGTCAGTAATCACGCATCGTTTTTTAGGGTCTCAAAATGCTGGACAAGTCAGAGTTCAAGCCTTACATCGTCTTCATTGCCAGTCCTGGTGTGGATGAACTAAGTCAACGGCAGGACGAAGCACCGTCGAACGCTAGGAAACTGACGGTACGTATCTCTAGCCAGTGATTTCGCCAAAGACAAGCCATCGTTACATTACAATTTTTTCATATTTCAGACGGAGGAAATGTCAAAAATTGTTGAACATTCTGAAGTGATCAATCGTGACTATTCGCAGCATTTTGATCTAACAATCGTGAACAAGAACGTTACTGATACCTATGAACGATTAATGAAGTCCATCGAAGGCCTGAGTGCAGACTCCCAATGGGTGCCCGTCAGTTGGGCGAATTAAAAACCCGCACGCAGGCGTTTTTAGAACTTAGAGAAGCACTTTAGAACATAGTTTGCCGTATCTCCTGTCATTAGACTTTATGATAGATCGCTTCAACCGTAGAGAATAATCAGTATGCTAGGCTGGTCTTCGGCATTAGACAATGATGCATCATTTCCGCGCAATGTCAACAAGATGTGTTTACAACAACAGGCTTATCGCAAGTGTGGACACATCTTGGTGAGATGTTGTCGAAATAGCATTTGTACATTGTATGTGCGAGCTTGAAGATTATCAATCTCGGTGATCTTTCATTAATCGCATTTGATCCGACTTTTACTTCCCGTGGAGAACTGCTTGGGAACGAGGAATCCTCCTGTGAGGGATATTGTAATAGGTTTTATTATCTGTACAAAGTACAAACATGTTTTTATCAGCATAAAGTTGTTAATATATATTATTTACAGCTAAATTATTTATCGTCTGAAGTGCTTTGCACGTGCGACGTTTCCTCGGTGTTTCACTTTAAATATTGGCGACTTTAAACATCTGGCGATAGCTCTTGCGTTCCCAAGACAACAACCTTTCCTGGCCCACCCGATCCGTGCTTAAGAACTATCGCATCACCCTGTTGTGAAGAATTTCAGGTGAAATTTCAAACAATCATTAATGAAATAATTCTTGAATTTCTGCGCCGGAAACTTGGCTCGTGTAACATCGTGTTAAACTCAAATACTATTATTTTACTCGATGATTGGTTTTACCAACATTTCATCCATGATACCATCTTGTCATGCATTTTAAGCTGCTTCTTCTAGATCTATCTCGGATTCCTCGGGTACAGTATCCAGTTTCGTCGAAGGTCTCTTTGATCTGGGTCTATCCTCTTCCAGATCTCTCCATCTATCTTTAAACCACGGCATGATATCGAAGTAGGAAAAGGTGAATGCTCTTGTGATTCTCTGATCCAGCAACAAATTCTGAAAATCTTGGAGAAGCGTTTGTAGGAATGATCGTCTTTCCATTTGTCTCATCCTTGCCGCAGCAAGCTCTTCCTCCATCAGTCTTCTTTCTTCAAGCATCCGAAGTCTTTCTGCTTCACGTCGCTCTTTCTCTTCTTGTATTTCTCGTTTTATTCTTTCTTCCTCGAGTCTCCGCTCCTCCAGGAGTCTCTGCTGTTCCTCTTCTTCCAAATGCGCGATCTTTTCCGCGTACTCTCGCCTGCGTTCCTCTTCGATTTCCAGCTCGACGCGCTCTCTCTCCTTGCGCAGTTCTTCCTCGAACTTGCGTTGCGCGAGCAACTGTTCCTTCTTCCGTTTCCATTCCTCGCGTGCTTGACGTTGCCGTTCGTTCATCAAACGTTCCTGTCGTGCACGATCGTTTTGCTCTGCCTCAAGGCGCAAGCGTTCCCGCTCTTCTTCCTCCCTTTGAATTCTGAAAACAAAAGAACGTTCAGTTGAAGGATGAACCCAATATCTCACCTCGTAAGTATGGCAATGGCTATCATTTGATCAAGTTGCTAGATAGTTGAATGTAATATGTTATATTGCTGAAGATGGCCTAGAAAAAACCTATTGAGACAAGTTTCTCCAGCTTCGACACAACAGTAAGGCGAAAGCAACGGGGGCAACAGAAAACCATATGAGCTAAATATAATTCTACCTTCGTTCCTCTTCCCTCTTTTTCATTTCTTCTTCAGATTCTTTCCGCAAAGTATCCAACCTTGCTTCTTCTTCCTGAGCTCGTTTCCGTGCTTCTTCGCGTTCTCGTCGTTTCCTTTCGACCTCCAGTCGGCGACGTTCGGCAGCGGCTGCTCTCTGGGCAGCCCGAGCGTTTGCTCTGCGTTGTTTTTCCGTTAGCTCGACCTCCGGCGAGGTTTCTCGTGTTGGTGACGGCTCGGGTTCCGTTGCGACGTCCGTTACTGCGTTTTCACTCTTTACATTTGTGGTTTCGTCAAACACCGCGTCCCTGTCACGTGGACAGGCCTTCTGTTCACGTGGCGAAGGTAATTTTTGACGTGGCGATGGAGTCTTGTCACGTGAAGAAGACAGCCTCTCGTGGGGTGATTTCTCACGTGGGGATTCGATTTGAGAACGCGAGGAACCAGTTCCTGCACGCGACATTTGGTCCTGATGGGAAACAGATTTTCTTCCACCAGGGGGAGCGTTACTTCCAGCAAGAGATGAAGACCTCTCTGATCTTACTGGGGAGACCCCGTGTTCCACCTCCCCCGTCTCGGAATCTACTCGAGCTGATGTTTCAGGAGGCTGGGTTTCATTCTCGGAAACTTTATCAGTTGTTTTAGGTTGTGATTTTTCCTGCAAATCCGGACTGATTTGTTTCCCCTTCTTGCGCGCCCCGCCCGCTTTTTCTTCCAAACCTTTCGGGGGTTTAGATTCGGGCACCAAACCTGCATGGAACGGGGGAGTTTTGGCCGGTTCGTTTCGCGCACGCCCATTGGCAGGCTTTTTCTTTTTTCCTTTCGCAACACGTTTACCATTTCCAGTCTTTTTCACTTTTCCTGCTTTCACAGCTGTTTCCTTTGCTTTGGCTTCATCTGGCTTGGTGATCACTTCTTTCTTAACCTCTGGTTGTAAATCCTCGACTATCTGCTGTGTCTTTTCTGGTGACGGAGTAGCGGTCAGTGCGGGAGGTTCACTCTTTTCAACTGGCCCAGTATCTTCAACCGTTTCCACAGTAACGACGACATCATCTATGAAAGCGTTAACAGTTAGAAACTGTCTTTTTTATTAGGAGGACTGAACGCCAGGAATTACTAGACATGTGCATTTTGTAAGGAAAATTGCTTGAGATTTTGTTAAAATTGGATGGGTTCAAATATTTAGCACTTGTGAAATCTTGTTCTCCTTGACCTAAGCACAAGAGTTGATAAAAAACCTGCACATCTGCAATCTACAATCAACACTCATTCACGACTTAAATGCTATCGTAACCAAATACACGGGTGACATCCCTTGTGACTTACCGATACTGAGATCTTTTGCATCAGTTTCTTTCACAGAATCACCTTCTACTGGCAATTCTTGCTCCTTACCAGAAACTTGTTCAGCCGGCTTTTCCTTGGTCTCAAGAACCTGTTCAACCTGTTCTTCATCAGGAGCAATATTTCTTGATGCTAAAGTAGCCTCAGCAGATCTTGCTCTTCTCTTTCCTTTGGCCTCGCTGTTCCTGGGTTGACCTAGTGGGCGAACTTTCTTCGGAGCCGCTGAACTAACTCGTGTGTTCGCTAGAAGAGGAGAGAGATTGAGTTTACTGTTATTTCACACTCACCACAAGCAAAAAACGTATTTAAAAACTGATATAAAGCACTCGCAAACGACTTGGAGCAGGCTCGTCGTTAAGCAATGTGAAAAGATCTTCTTGATATATCTTAAGAACCTTTGAAGAATTTCTGCTGTTTACCGTAGTTTCTCAGCTCACAATGACCAGCTTACCTGTTATAGCAGGACCTAGTAAGCCTTGCATTCTTTCCAGAAGTAAGAACGTCGCCATTTCTGCATCATCAGTCAATGTCCGCCCTGATTTAGGTCTTGAGAGCACTTCTGTTGCTACCAGTCTTACTTCATCCTGAAGACTGCTAAGACTTATGTGTGGTGCTTGTAGCTCTGGTGCTGGTACTAGGTCGATGGTTGGCAGGGTTATTTCTGGATGACCATCAGCATCAGGGCTTCCCGTTTCAATAACGCATATGCTAGGACCATCACCCTGATTGACATTGTAACCATCACTATCTCTGGTACCATCGCCACCACCATTAAAAACAGTAGCAATACCATTACGACCATCATCACTTCCAATATCGTAACCAACATCATCAGCAATATCATCAATATATCTGCTACCATCATCACCATGATATACCGTCGCCAATGGCACCATCTACTACACCATTCACCAAATCACCATCTACAGTCTTGCTTCCCCCAATAGCACCATTGCTACTCAAACTTTCTTCCATTCTTTCAGTACTGTGCCCTGGCCAATCAATGCTTGCTAAAGATTTCAAACTTTGAGCTTCACCTGTAAACTGGTGTAGAGAATCACCATCTTGTATACTGAGTGCATCGACAAGTCCATGTTCCAAGAAAGATTCATTACTTTTTATAGACCTTGTTTCCAAATCTTTTTCTTCCGAGTGAAAAAGAGCATCTTCAGCTAAAAAGTTGAAAACTCATTTTAAAAAAACTTGGGACATAAACCTATAGGAACGCAAATTTAATGCACACTCAAGTTCACCCTTGTTTGACTATTTATATTACTGTAGGTACTTTCAAATGGTTACAACTTGTATATTAGTTTCCAATAGTAACAGCAAAGAAATATAGATGTGCACTTGCTAAAAGGGATTTACTTACCTAAATTGAACAAGCTATCTTTGATTTCAATGTCAACATCATTCAACCCAACTTCAAAATCAGCCGCAATCAGACCAAGACCAGAATGTGAACTTGATAAACTGACATTGTCGCTAATGTTTTTCAGATCATCTTTATCTGGAGTGTCCGTTCTTGGAGCTGTGATCGGTGGTAAAGAACACACAGATCTACTCTGACTTGGGACAGATCTGGAACTTCTTGATTTAATATCAGATTTTGAACTTTTTGATCTTTTACCAGCTTTGGAACTGCTTGATCCTTTGTCAGACATTTGCATCCGATCTGTCTTAACACTGTTCATGCTTGTTGAAGACCTTGTTTGGCTGGTCCTAGACCTTTTTTCTTCAACAGAAGCTTTTTGCACTGAATTATCACTTGGCAGTGATTCAAGTGATTTTGAAGGTTTAGTGCCACTGACATAAGAGATTTCTGTACTGTCCGATGCTTGATCTTTTTTCATTTCTGTGGTGTGTACGGGAACTGTAATAACTTCTCTTTGATTGTGCAAGGTGACATCCATTAACAATTGAGTTAAAAGATCTTCTTTTTCCTTGGCAGTCAATGTTTCATAGTCTTTCTTGAAACCGTTCTCAGACTCAACCTAGTGAGACAAACATTTGGGAGTGAAAGAGGAGAATGTCAAGGAATCATCACATCAAAAAGTATTTCATAAATTAATTATTAAACCACACACTACCTCAGCTAATCTCTCAGCAAGAGAATCTGCAAATGTGGCAGCACTTTTGACTGAGATGTGGTCAGCATTAACAGAGTCAATATTTTCTGAGCCTATAGACGGTAGTGAAACCATTGAAGCAGCGCCTGTTGACAGTGCTTGCTTATAGAATGTAAATGATCCTAGCATAGAGCTTGATGGTGAAACTGGAGGTAACGACATTGTTTTGTAGGGAGGTGGTTGATGGTTTAGATGGTTATCGTACTCTGGTAACAATGATAGGTAGCTATCGTCTGTAGTGCCAAAACTTTTCAGTGAACCTGTTTCGACAAGTCGTTTCCACTGGTCGGGATCAAATGTGTGACTCAGGTGGCCAAGGTATCTCTTTGGCGAGTAGCCGGGTTGCACATCTCTGGCATTACCACTCATATGTCGCCACAGTTGCTCAAGCAATAAAGGGTCGCACTAGAGAAACCAAAAAAACAAGACTTTCAGATGGAAAAACCAGTGAAATGTTGTGGTGTTGAAGGAATGATTTTCCTTGCTATGATAGGGATTGGGACAAACTTTGTAATCATGCAATTGTTTTCACAGCTAGTTCATTCTGTTTTAAAATATATTATTAATATAATATACTGACAATAGCATCACCATAGAATACTTTGAGACAAGCTATTAACACTTCACAAAAAAACTTTTAAATATTCACCCCATTTTTTTTGTAGTCCATGATCAAGTCTATGAGATCTTTCATTGTTCTGATCCTTTGTTCAATCTTCTGTCTCCGACGTCGCTGCCTTTTCTTCAATCTTCTTGACCCTGGCTTGAAACATCCTTCAGAGTAGAGAAGCAAAGCTCCACTCTTGGTAGAATATGTTTTTGGAAGATGGACAGCATTCTCATTCTTCGGCACTTGTGGTAGTTTTAAATCTTCCTGGAACCTGTATGGTCTGTCATGGTTAAAATGTTGGTCGTAAAACTGGTACTGGTCCCTTCTTATTGGTGGTAAAATATCAAAGTTTCCAGGATTCTTAAAATGAGAATAGATCAATAGTATCAATTATCTATTAACATGAAAGTAATTTACAAACTTGTTCTATAATTGTTACTTCAGGGTTCATAGTTGCCCTAAACTGAAACAGTTCCCCATGGAAACTAAATATTCTTAGTTTGAGAGCCATTAAATAAATAATTTATCTTTGTTGTGTCTACTCGTGTCATATTCTTTAATATTTTATTATCCCTGCTGGGCAGCGATTAACATAAACTCGCCATGTTTTGTTTTGATAGAATACATAGAAACACATCGAGATATTGGGCATGTATTTTTGCTAAAACCCCTGCGTTGATCAATGTAGTTGCCCGGCTTAAGTGATATCTAACCCAAACAAATGCACACGTCAAAAATCTCACTCTAAAACCAAGAAAGAAAATGAGGTAAATTGTTCATTTGTAAAGCTAGTAAACTCTCCACTTACTGGTGAAATAGCCGAGTCAGGTTTCTCCAGCTTCGCAATGCCCTCCCAAGTGCCATATCCTCGCGAAAGGTACGAAAACATGTTCTTTGTAAGCCTCCGAAATAAATTAAGGCTTTAAATCTTTTATATCCTTATGCTTCTTCATTTTTTCAAGGAGATTAGATCTCCTATGATACCGACTTTGATTTCTGCGCTCCACAGTGTGCCGTCCTGTTGCTAACCACAAAGTCACACACCGTCCGATATTCTCATAATTTATGCAAACTATTTGCATATTATGCTAATCAGTTTCGCGCTCGAATTCCTTTGAATATATTACGAATATACGACGATTTTCTAGGAAAGCACAACTTTATTCTTTAAACTTTGATGCGCAATTATGTAATAATTTAAATAAATATCTATTTAATATTCTCTATATTAATCCAAATTTAAATATGCCTAAATGTTCGAGTGCTTTTTAATAATTTCTCCTGTGTCAAGTACTCCCGCGCTGAATGCAAAACGCATGCGCTTATGGCAATATAAATTATAAAATGATCATTCTGAAGTGAACAAATTTACAAAGCCAAGGGCAGGTCCCATAGTGTGAATCACTTTTTAACAACAAATTACTTCAATCAGTACTCGTTTTGGCCAACTTCGAACGGTTGATTTGTAAAAAAAATCACGTTTGGAGAAGGATGGAGATCTAGTGAAGCTAACGTGTATTACTCCCGGAATATTCAGCCCTTAAACCACAGCTCCTTAAAACCACAGCCAAGTAGAGATATCTGAGAGCTACGAGTTTGAAGAGAAATCTATATCAGATATGTAAAACCCATTTGAGAACGAGATATATTATACATACCTCAACTGGCAAGCACCTTCACTATCAATGATGGATCAAATCAATCCCAGGAAGTGAAAACACCGAAAGATCTATCAAGGGCGAAAACACGCATTTTTACCGGAATACCTCCCCTAATGCATCCAGTTAAAACAAGATCTACCCTGACACTTACTTCCAGGAAGACTGAACAGAGATCTCGGCAGATCTTGAAAGTACGGATGTTTTAAGCTGTCTTCCGCTGATATCCGTCTCCTGGGCTCATACTGCGTGATAAAAGTGTGATAAACGTTTAATTTTCAATATTTATTCAGAATTTAAAATTTCGTGTTGTGTTGTAAAACGTAGTATTCCTACCCGTAGAAATCGTTTTAATAAATCTTCTCCTATCGTGTCATATTGAAAGCTGAAAATTGTGAAAATCGCCGACAATCATTACTGTGCATTAATAAAACTCGTCAAGCAAAACTCTAACATGTGGTATCATATCGACGAACAGGAATTAGGATGTACTCACACGGGTATCACTGAGGATATTCGTCTTGGATAAAACGCTGTTATATTTTCTAAAGTAGATATATTGTTTCACTGTCAGAGTAAGCCTCCAGCGATGAAACACGAAAAAAAAATTTTTGTTTTCTAACCTTTTGAATATTCAGGGTAATTTACAACTTCGGGCCACGTGTCTTTGGTGGGTGTACCCAACAATTGCCATATTTTATTTAATTGATCGCTGGGTCCCTTTTGCCCCTGAAACAAGGCTCGTCCACTCAGCATTTCACCAAATATGCAGCCAACACCCCTGCATGAAAAATAGCTCTTCAATCAATTTGGCAGATCATCGTGACAACACTGTGTACAGTTATTAATAATATCAGATGGAAATGATAAACTGTCCCAGAGTTTCATGTCATGAAAGTTGTAGAAATGAGATAGGGAGATTCCCTCCCACATGGGAAAAATCATGTAAACATTTCTCAAGTTGAACATATTCTGCATATCCGTGATATCCGTAAATCACAAGGTAAAGATCCCCCACCCCTCCTCCCTTCGACCATATTTCACTACTCACCACATATCAAGTGATGTCGAGTATTCCGTTGATCCCAGCAAAACATCAGGGGGTCGATACCTGGAGGAATATAGAAACTAACTTATAAAATATCCTAGACAGCGGTTTAACAGATTAGATAAACAATCAGTGCCGTAACTAGAACGATATCTGGGGGGAGGGGGGGGGGTGAATATTCATATACCCAGTTCTGCCCTACGGATTTCTTTTGTAAGTGCAATAGCTTACAATAGAAATCCGTCGGGCAGAACTGAATATATGAATATTCACCCCCTCCCCAATTATCGCTCTAGTTACACCCCTGTGTAAACAATTTCGGTAACCTACCATAACGTTACGACCTCATTTGAATACGTATGACTTGGTACAGATTTCTCTCTTGCCAAACCAAAATCAGCCAGTTTCAGTTCGCCATTCTCGTTGAGAAGAAGATTTTGTGGTTTTATATCCCTGAAGATAAAATCCAGCCATGTTTTGATTAATAATTAAACAAAACACTAAACTTTTTAGGCCGCAAATTTTCTAGACGTCGCAGTTAGAAATTGTGGTTACCTGTGAAGGATTCTCTTATCGTGGCAATAATTCAAGCCGCGTAGAAGTTGTAGCAAAAATAACTAAACAAACAGTATCATTGATCTTAATCGCATGTCACAATTTCCAGACTTCTTCTTGACAGCCTCTGACCCGGAGAATTGCACGGAGCCGAATCTGAGAGAATCTGTTCAAACTAATAGTTAAATTTTAGTTCGGATCAATGTGAAACTGTGAGCCTACCTTAGCATTATGAGGATGAAGTCCACTTGGGTACTTTTCTAAGTAATGACTAAGATCAGTGTGCTTAAAAAGATGGAAAACTCAGTCATTTCATAAGGAATCTAGCTTCATTTGGAAACATATTTTGACGTGACCGTAATTTTACGCCGAAGTCAAACGTATTACGTGTGATATCAGCGCGTGAATAGAACCGTGATATACTTACAAGATACTCAAAAACGAACATGAGGGTGTCTTTTGTATGTACAATATCGTGAAGCTTGACAATGTTTGCATGTTTCAATTCCTGCAGTAAGGACGCTGGTTGAAAAAGACAGAAAAATATCAGAGATATAGTCAAAATATAGTGAGTTAGAAATATAGTTAGTGTTTTTACCTTCTCTGATGGCTGTGAATGGAGCGCCCTCTTCCGGTTGAAGACGAATTTCTTTTAAAGCTACTGTCTGTTTAGTTATACTAGGAAGTAGAGTAATAACATTTTGGTGTTTATTTGGCATTTGCAGCAATGGAAGCGGATGGAAGGGAAGGATCAATAAATAGAAAAGAGTGGAATAAATGAATGAGGAAATGGAAGAAATGAACAGAAGAGAAGATGAAAGTAGATGAAAATGAAGGGAACAGGTGAAAGGAATAGAAATAATGGTGGAAGGGAGTGGAAAGATGAGAGGCAAAAAATAACTAAAGAAATGGACTGAAGATTTATGAAATTGAAGAGTAGGATGAATGAAGGATGAGTGTGATAAATGGAAGGTGCAAAAGAAAAAAAGAATGAACTGATGAATTAGAAATGAGCAAATGGAGAGATGAGAGAAATATCAGGATTTCAATACAGTAGAAAACACTACACAGTTCTAAGCAAACAAAATTCCACATACTTGCTAATTCCCTTGAATACACTTGCATAAGATCCTTCGCCCAGGAGCTCTAATTTATGATAATAATTCATCTTGCCAAATGGAGACTCGGGCTGCAAAAAAAACATATTAGAAATGAATAGGCATTGACATTTAGACATTCTGGCTGAAGGTGTTTGTTATTGGCAAACCAAACAAATACTAGGCACTTAAAAATAATCAAATATTAATAAAGATTTAATGAACCTAATGCTTTCTGAATGCTGTTTGAGTTCTAAGTATCAGCATTCTTGAGAAACCATTGTCAGTTGTCATGTGAACCTTAGTGGCACTAGCCTAGTATTAAAGCTTTTTATTTGCTTCCCTAACAAGCACATTAGAGTATTCTAGACGTTTGTGGCTAACACAGATATTTCACATGGAAACATGGAATATTTTGTTTCCATACAAACTATGAATGATCATTTCATTTGCAAGACTCACAGGCGCAGTGAAAGATACTGATCTTGAGCGTGGTCGCTCTTCATTAGGATTAGGATTATCAGAATATGTCCGTCTCAGTCTTTCTCTTGTTCTCACAGGCAAGACATCTGGTTGAGGGGTCTGGAGGGTGGTAATGTCCGAGTGCACACGTCGGACAACAACCTTCTTTCCAGCAGAGTTGGGCAATGGATGCTCAACACTCTGAAGGACTGAATCAATATGTCCATCCTGAAATACAGTTCATGTATAAACATGATTAACTACCAAGCATTAGACAAAGTTGACACCAAAGTAGTTTGAACTTTGGAACTGACTCTATCATACAGAAAAATAATATGAGATACTAATTAATACATAATTCCACTGGGCAGAAATGCTCTCAAAAACCCAATCTATTTTTTGTGTTCTGGGTCTAACATCATAGATCTCTATCAGATGCCCAACTCATGTCTATTGCCTTCATATTTGCACCAGAAATTTTATTCCATTTAGACAAGCATTTAAATGCTATGAAAATTCTATCAAAATCTCCATGAACAGCTGGGAACGTAATTGCAATTCTCTTCCTATCTGTCAATTTATCTACATGTGATCATACGAGATTCAATATTATGTGAATAAATTCATCCCCGCATGAAATTGCCCTAGATATTTCTGATTGCCTCACTTTTATAATTTTAATTCGCGAGACCACTCAAGTTTTTACTCGTTCGGCTTGCGATCAGCCCAAGTACCTACCTCATAAGACTGTTCTTTTCCCAAAGCTAACGGCAATGCTAAAATGTAAGCAAATACAACGTGATGGATATTTGCCCCGTCTCTTAACACTCATTTTCAAAACAGAAATGCAAGTCGAAAGAATGAAATGAATACGAAAGGACGTCCACACTTTACGTCAACACCTTGGCAGATAGACATAAACAAATATTTGCATGCGTTACTTACATAGACGTAATCCTTGCGAAAGCCTTCGTCTTAACTTCTTAATTTTGGAATCTGAACGCTTTCTAACGCAGTTGCCGTCAGCAATCCCTGCAAAAAATATATAACAAAGCATTTAGGATTAAGTGTTTACGCAAAAAACCCCACGCTAAATTAATAAACAAACTCCTTTACAGTAATTTATACCCGGCTCATTTGAATCGTTTTCGAAAACAGCATTTTCTTCCTCGTTTGTCTGTTCGGAGCCACTAGGTGACATGGCCATTTCTTTATCAAAATTTTTCAGCTTTTGCAAAGTTTCGCCAAACTTTCACGGCCCCAAAACACACGAACTCGTACGTTTGAAACAATTGTCCAAAACGTGAGCGGCGGAAAAGAGATGGCAAGTTTTGACACTTTTTCCGGTAGGCCTTGTTCATACAAGCTGAACTAATACTTGCATATAAGCGGTAACAAATGCTCAAGACAAAAAAATCATCTTTTAAAACTTCACGTTGTGAGCAAATGAATAGGAAATAGTTAGAACACTGCTTTTACTTGTTTCGTCGAGGAAATATAGTATTGCAAATGCAATATTCCTTGGCCTCTTATTAAACTTATGTTACTTCCGCCATTTTGCAAAAGTTATTTATTTTGAACATGAAAGATTAATACAAAATTTCGAATACATAATTTGCATATTTTTTGTATGCCACATGTTAACAATTCATGTTCACATGTGGTCATGTTTTTGATGTTATTTTCAAGTTTTTTTTTTCAAAAAATAGCTTCGAAAGGACAGTCAGTCAGTAAGACAGGAAAAAAAAGGAAAAAAGCATCATTGTATGTAAAACGATTCTCTTAATGTATCTAAAAGGTTCTAAAGATTTGAATTGAAACATTGAATAACCATGTAACTATGTTTCATCAAATTTGGTTTCATCTTTGCACTATATTTATGGGGTTTGATGGGATTCGTGTGAATCGAAATGGATAAAGGGAAATCATGACGATATCATATGGATAACAAGGGTTAGGATAGGGTCTCGATGAGTAAAGAAGGTTAAAAAGAGATTTGATGGGTTTGGGGCAGGATGGTAAGGGACAAAGATAGGTTTAAGAGGTTGAGAAAAAGATTCCAATGGAATAGGTAGGATTGGAGGCAGTGTGCTTGGCTCACGTTCCAACTTATCTCCTATAATCCATAGTTGTATCATGGATAGTTAAAAGACTTTATTATCTTGATTTTATTATCCATAGTTGTATTACGAAAATGAAGAAATACAATTTGTAGAGAGTTTAGAGAAATTCTATCGCTTTAATTGTTTTATGAGAATGTGTTGAAATGAGCAATAACGCAGCTGACAAACGATGCGTCTTAAATATTTATTAAGAAGTAATTTAAACGAAAAGCTCCAACAAGACATGACCTGTGTAATTAATTAAATACAACAGGACGAAGCAATTTAATGATATGCATGAATTATTCATACAAGGGAAATGAGAATACAGGATATTAATCATTTTACTATATATAAAGACGAAATAACAATATACAGGCATACGATATAGTATTATGTACGTCTTGTTTAATGTACGTACAGCCAGAACATCGCGTAAAAAAATTCAAACCAGTTTGAACGCGAGTTAGAAGACATGCCGCCTCAAAAAAGTAATGGTCGTCTGTCGTCACGACAAATGCCCTCCGGTTTGAAATTAAACGTCAAAACTACAAGTTCTTAGCAAACCATTACCTAAATAACATCCTCACGAAATTGATTTAAACTGATATGATAAAAACAAAATAGCCCACACACGCGAAGAAAAATAACATTTGATTTAGTTTTACCTTTGTCAATTGATAATGTTAGTTCATCATTTGAATGGCTATCTTCCCTAATAGTTTCCATCAGTTTTCATCAAGATATACGAAACAACTTGCTTGAATAATCTCAAACTTCTTCCCAAACATATCGAGCCATATAAACACTTCTCAAATATCGAATTTTTAAGTGCAGTTTCCGGTTTGCAGAAGAATGCTTTAAATTTTTGTCAACCTCGACACGGGCATGGCCACCCCGAGTGGTCGCACCCATTTAAATTCCGGCAAAATTTCAAACTGGTCCTCGGTTTTGGTAAGGAATACTACCATTTCCCACTATTCGAAGAAGAACGAAAACAACTCATATGAAATTATGAAAATATAGAGCTTTTCAATGAGAGATTGTTGGGTTTTTTAGCTTTCCTATCGATCATATGCAAGGTATGTGCCTACATATATAGCTGTAGGCGGCCAGACCGTCAGACGTGACCATTTTTGTATTGCTCTAGAACAAAGTCAATTTCACCGGAGACTCTTCAATAATTCTCAACATTTCCAAATAAAAAAAAGTGTTAAAGAAGTTCACATAGTGTTGGATTTCTGGTTATACTGTAATATTACTAGCCTACGGGCGAACTCTCGAAAACAATATCTTTCACCACAAATTTAAAGCCAGAATGTTGAGCTTGCTCGTTGGAATATCGACTGAGTCGTTGGAGTTTTTAGTTTTAAACTGCGTATAATATTTTGTGGCTGATTTTTCAGTTGAAATTTGCTCGGGAATTCGTGGGAATTTCCAAACTGGTTTGACAAACTTTCTCGCGTGTTATTGAGCAATTTCTAGTTAAGAGACAAGGAATTTGGGGATATTTCAGTCAAGTATACGTGTTGTTTTGCCTGATACGCCTAGCGATTGGTATCTGCAATAAAGACTTTATCACATACTGACTGAGGAAATGATCTTCTTCAAAAGATAGATAAGAACCGATTGCCGCTGCAAACAGAGGAAATTAACCTCCCATTTTACACTGAAACTGATTGGAAATTTTGCTTATAAATCACTAAAGTATAGTCAAAAGTCGGATGTGTACATTCGCCCACGAAATAGCTCAAGCCAAAAAGGGGGAAAAACGACCGCAAACTCAAAAATTCAATTAATATTCCAGCTGTTTTAAAGGAATTAGTCAAATTTGATAATCGCTCAAAGTGATAATCTCGACTTGGATCACAAAGATTTAATGAATCCTCAACTTTCGTCTGTACTGTAACCTAATGTATATAATGAATGGTCTCTAACCTTAGTACACATTTGGGACTTTGTCCTGTGACTATCTCCTGCCACGTGTTTTTATTGTGACAAAATAAATCAAATGAAATGAAACCTATAGCACAGCTGTTCTTCGTAGACCATGTCCAGAAATTAAGGAGGAAGTTTGTAATTATAGGAAGAATATAATAACTGACTTTTTAGTTTTCAGGCACAAATAATACGGTGTTTGGAAGTAACAAAGCAGGAAGGGTTTGTATCCAGGCCCCTCACGCCTTGATGAAGTCGTAAGTCGTAAGACTTCTTACATAAACTGTCATTACGGCTATATCATCTCATGCCATTCGACCGGTTTGACATGGCTGAACTGTCGTTGCACTGAAAAACGATTCATATTTTTAGGAGGGATTAAATTCAAATCATAACTTGCTTCAAGAAGTAATCAGTTACTACCAATTACAATTATCACTTTTAAAAAGTAATTTACCATTAAATGAATTATAACGCATGTTCTGTGAAAAATGGAGTCTGATAGCTTAGTGTCGAGGGCACACGAACGTCGATGGAATCTTGGGAATTTGGCTGTGGATTAATCATTAATCATTCACATTTATATAGACACTCACACACAAACGCCTAACAAGCGCTAATTTAGAACTTAGAGATTCATATAATTAACTCACAAAAGTATATTCTAAATTGATTGCACTTGATATTAATCGTGTCCATACTAACCATAGACCCTCCCAAAATGTACACATTTAATATCCTGGACCTTGGACGTTGTGAGTTTTGATTGCTTTAACATAAAAACAACCTTGCTTCTGCCAAGTTTCTACGAAACATCCTGTCCGTAATATTGCTTTTAGTTTTGTTTTTGTCTTCGCAAAACGAAAATGAATGTAGCCTCATGACATGAATTCAAAACCGACAAAGCGTGTTGGTTCGGTGTTGCCAAGTGGCGGTTGAGCGCGATATATGTTTTGCCTTTTGGTCTTGAGAGCGTGGGCGATCTTGTATAATACAGACATATGTCTACAATAGGATCGCTATTGGTTGCAAAACTATTAAAATGACAAAGAAGATGTTAATACCAAACCCAGACAGGACAAAAAGCAGATGTCCAATCGATCCTAGACCCCCTGTGTGCGTGTTTAGATGTTTCGTTGCATTTTAAGCATACCGGTATTCATAATTCTACAAACTTCAGGAGTATACGAAAAGATTGACAAAAAACGCGCTTCTTCGATCAAGGGGAAATGACTTGCGAGGAATGATTTGGATTCATGCAGTTTATTAAAACTATTATCATCCATCAATCTATATTAAGCTGTCATTGCTTTCAGACCAAAATGCCTGAAAAAGATTAATTTTTTTATTGGCTTATTGTAAGCATCACAAGGCCTCGATATACCTAGCTTTAACTCGATCTGTTTTTGAAAGGAACAGTTTCACAAATTAGGCAAAATGTACCGTAAATGTAATACAGTTACGTTTTGTGCTACCTTCGTAGTAAGATATTCTCTGAGGTATACCAAGCTGTTTTATTTAATGTTAACAGGGCAACGAATAGATGCTTCATACTTCTTTCCGCGCCATTTTCCACGTGCTGTAATCTTGTTTCCGACGAAGAATGTCTTTGCTCTCAAAAGTCAAAACATATTTCAAGCTCACGACAATTTGCTGGTAATAGTATAACAGTGGTGAAATAGCGTTGGGAAAAAACTGAAAAGTTACTGAAAAGTTTTACATGAACATATATACACACCTAGAATTTAAATAAGAGGAAATTGGTCGTTTAATCCTTTTATTAAGACGATAGAGAGCCAACGTCTCTTTGATGCATAGCTATTTATAAAGGTAAGACACTTAATTAGAAGTACGTTAGTTGTTGCATATTTGCATAATTGGGTTAGTGGTATGTAGTACGATTTTGAGTTCCTTGAAGATTTGATACTTGTGACCTGTGGAGCGTGCCCCGAATAGTCTATTGGTAAACCACGCGATCAAATCTGCACCATTTGTTCCCAGGAGAAACAGTCCAGACAGTGCTTGTTCCTAGAATGGTAGAAATCAAAGTTTACTGTTAGGTGAAGAGACGTTGAGTTGAAAGCGGTTTTTTAAAAGATTTTTTCGACAGTTCAATGGCACTGCATTCAGAACATTTTGCTGCGGTACTTTTTTTACACTCGAATTCAACTCGATGTACGCTTTTAAGTTGCAACACTTGATGAAGTTCAGATCCCACGTGGCCCGTAGAATAGGTGGAAAACTTTTTAAGGTGGTCTTACAGGAAAAAATATAATGAAATCGTGAATTTTGCCATTTTCTAAAAATTGACTAATTGCAATCTTTGTTATTTGTTTTATGATGTACAATTAGCTTTTTTCTCAAAAGTTCACGCAGACCTCGAAAAAATCCCTTTTCTTTTGGGAAGGTATAATATTTTCCCCCTAGTAACGGGCTTAGCAACCAATGTTTACTGTTAGAAAACTTGTTTATTTGTTGGTGTATGAAAATTTCTTTTTGTTTCACCCCTCCCCCATACAGGAGAATAGTTCTAGTAGCTGCTGACCACTTTAACGTCGTCCATCCCCTTGTTTTGCATATTTTCCTTCGCTTACTATACAAAGTTGAATCAACATATTTCGCGGTGAATTTGTTGCTAAGATCATTCTTAACTTTTGCGCTTTGGGATTGGTCTTTGTTGCTTCATTTTATTATATTTTTGTTGTGAAATGCCAAGGGAATACAGGAGAAGTAAGAAACGAAAGTTTTGCGGCAATCGCTATGATAATTCAGCGAAGAAAAAACGCGTTGATACTGTTGATGGGGATACAATATCGGCCGATCCTTCAACTTCCGCAGCAAATGAAGCTGTTCTAAATACATCTGCTTCAGCCAAAAAAATTGGGTTTTCTGACATTCCAGATGACAGTAGCTATAGCGAACAAAGCCAAAGCACAGATGTAAGTGGCTATCGGTTTGTTGACCTTCAAATAATGTCAGAATTTGTGTGTGAGGTGTGTTGTAAGGAATGTGGCAGTTCCTGCCTCGTACTTGAAGACAACCCTCGAGAGAGAAAAGGTTCTGCCTCCCATCTAAGAGCCCGTTGTGAAGCTTGCGGGTGGGTATATACATTTTACACTTCCAAGAAGGTAGGACACTCGTTTGACGTGAATAAAAGATTCGTTTACGCTATGCGAAGCCTTGGTGAAGGACATACATCAGCCAAACGATTCTGTGCCTTGATGGACATGCCACCCCCTCTTCAACCAACTGCATACAGGGATTGTAACATTGCTTTGGCCAAGGCAGCAAAGGCAGTGGCTACAACCACCATGCTAAATGCTGCTAATGAAGTGAAGAAGGACCCAACTAATCAAATCAACCAGTGTTCTGTATCATGTGATGGTACTTGGCAAAGGCGTGGGCATTCCTCACTGAATGGTTGTGTAACAACACTATCAATGGATACAGGAAAGTGTTTAGATGTTGAAATCTTAACAAAAGTTTGTCATGGTTGCCAAAAAGTAGAGAGAGAGAAAGATTTGGAAGAAAAAGCAGCTAAGAAGGAAGTCCATATTAGCAAATGTAAATTAATCACAAGGGTTCATCAGCTGCCATGGAGACTGAAGGCGTAAAACGTATATTCCGAAGAAGTGAAGAGGATAGGAAACTTCAGTACACTGAGTATTTTGGGGATGGTGATAGCAAGGCACATGCTGAGGTAGAAAATATCTATCATGGAATAAAGATTGCAAAAAAAGAATGTGTTGGACATGTTCAGAAGCGTGTTGGAACTGCTTTGCGGAAACTAAAAAAAGAAACAAAGGTATTGGCGGGAAGGGAAAGCTTACCAACACACTAATAGACAAACTTCAGAATTACTATGGGATTGCAATCCGTAGCAACTCTGGGGATCTCAAAGCAATGAAAGCAGCCATTTTTGCAAGTCTTTTTCACTGTGTTTCTTCAAAGAAGAGAAATCTGCATACCCACTGTCCTGATGGACCTAACAGTTGGTGTAGATTCAAACAGGATAAAGCAAATAATACTACAAAATATGTGCCTGGACCTGGGCTTCCAGACAATATTATTAAGTTGATCAGGCCCATATATGAAAGACTCAGCAGTGATGAGCTACTGAGCAAATGTTTAGATGGCAAGACGCAAAATCAAAATGAATCCTTGAATGGGATGATCTGGAATAGGATTCCGAAGAACGTTTTTGTTGGTGCCAATGTTCTGGAACTTGGTGTATATGATGCTGTGGCACACTTTAACATTGGTGCAGAGGCTGCAGTTAATCTTCTTAAGGAAGTGAAGTTGAAGCCAGGAAAGTTTTGTGTAGAAGGGCTGAACAAGATTAATAAAGAGCGAGTGAAGAGGGCAAATGTCAAGGCTAAAGAATGTTCGAGAAAGAAGAGAAAGATATTACGAGGCCAAAAGAAAAGGAAAGATGACAAACTAAAGGAGGAAGAGGGTACTACATACAAATCAGGAGGATTTTAAGGAATTTTTGGTAATATTGGCTTGTTTTTATGTCAATTCGAACAAGTTAATGCAGTAAATTTCTTGTAACTTAAACTTTGATGCTGTTTTTCCCAGTTTACGATTTTGATACATTTTGCGATATTCAAAACATGATAACTAAGAAAGTATTTGAGCAAATGCTGTGAAATTTTCAGTATTTACAGTTTCTTGAAATTCTCTAGGAGATGAACTAGAATGGAATTGTTTGGTTGAATTAAAACCAAGATATTATCATTAATGTAACACAATATCCTGTTTTAGCCACCTTAAGTAAGATTTCACAATGACCTTTTACAACAGAAGGATAATTCTAGTTCATCTCCAAGACAGTCACTTTAGCAATAAAATATAGCTTTTCCCATGTTTATATCATTAATATATCTTTAGTTATCATGTTTTAAAATGTGCCCTATTTTATTGGGAAAAAGCCTGTTATCTCTGTAACCATGGTAACCCAACTTTACTAAGTTGTGTTTTTAGTGTCTCACTTTACCCTCTAACAACTTCCCAAAGCAAAAAGTTCAATTTGTTTGAAAATAAGGAAAAAATTTTTTTCCCTGTAAGACCACCTTAAACGATGTTAATCTCGACTGAACGCCCGTTGGCCGCACTAAATTTGTAGCTGTCACGAAGTATATTCGTTCGGTAAACATGCAGCTTTGTCAATTAAGCCAGTGATCAACTGGTCGAGGAAACACATTAGACTTATTGAGAGTGAAATATTCAAGTAATAATCATAAGCGTCCCGCGGTATCCGGGTAGTGTCCAATCAGAACGCGGCGGCTTGATGTAAATACAAGGTATGATTATTTATGCGGTTATTGGTTCGCGACAATCAGCGTGGGCGAATGAAATGCTTTGGCTGTCTTCTGCCTTTGATGACAGGCGAGAGATTATTGGCGAGATACACTGACTTATATTAGCGATCAGTATATACAAGAGTCGTTGAGCTATGGCGTTGAACTGTGGCGAATCCTCGCTCGTGTTCCTTCTAACGTTGTTCGTCGCCGTTTTACCGTTTGTAACATCGCAACACAGATGTATGTCGCTCACAATAGATTCGTGCAAAGGACTGAAATACAATCGAACATTGTTCCCGAACTTTGAGAATCACCGAACGCAGGGGATAGCCGCGACCAGGGTGAACCATTTCAATCCTCTGTTCAAGGTAAAATGTTCACCGGACCTGAAATATTTTGTATGTAGTTACTATGCGCCAGTGTGCAACGCGTTAGGAACACTCATACCGCCTTGTCGTTCGCTTTGCGAAAGTGCCAAAAGGAGTTGTTCTACAATCATGAAAAACTTCGGATATGCTTGGCCGTCGCAGCTTGCTTGCGAGAAATTCCCAGCCAGCCCCGAGCAAAAATTGTGTGTAGGTCGCAATACGTCGAATACGACCCCAAAACGAGCGAAGACGATACCAACACGACATACTAGGACTCAAATCCGAAATGGATAAAAGGGAAATCATGACGATATCATGTGGATGGCAAGGGTTAGGATAGGGTCTCGATGAGTAAAGAAGGTTAAAAAGAGATTTGATGGGTTTGGGGCAGGATGGTAAGGGACAAAGTAGGTTTAAGAGGTTGAGAAAGGGATTCTAATGGAATAGGTAGGATTTGAGGCAGTGTGCTTGGCTTATGTTCCTACATATTTCCTATAATCCATAGTTGTATCATGGATAGTTAAAAGACTTTATTATCTTGATTTTATTATCCATAGTTGTATTACGAAAATGAAGAAATACAATTTGTAGAGAGTTTAGAGAAATTCTATCGTTTTAATTGTTTTATGAGAATGTGTTGAAATGAGCAATAACGCAGCTGACAAACGATGCGTCTTAAATATTTATTAAGAAGTAATTTAAACGAAAAGCTCCAACAAGACATGACCTGTGTAATTAATTAAATCATAGACGAAGCAATTTAATGATATGCATAAATTATTCATACAAGGGAAATGAGAATACAGGATATTAGTCATTTTACTATATATAAAGACGAAATAACAATATACAGGCATACGATATACAGGGTGTCCCAAAAAAAATATGGCGCGCCGAACCCGTCAAAATTCTAAACTTCAAATATTTGATCTATACTCGCAACTACGGCGTTCTAAACTATACAAATTCCTTCTAAACAAAATTTACTCATTGTAAAAGTTATTTATCCTTGCCTAAACTTCAAATATGCTTTCTAAACTTATTTATATCTCCTGTACTCTGATATTTCTTAATGACAATTAATAAGTTCATTTATTGGTTCTAAACTTCAGATATATTGTCTATTCTGTCACCACAGTTCAGCTCGCGCGGTATTTTAATTTTATGGCAAACAATATGGCGGAAAGGATAAATACTTCCCAAATACTGCCCCAAAATAACCAAAATGGGGATGGAAGAAGTGAGAGAACGGTTGACGGTTTAATAACAAATGCTATCGAAAGTATTTCGCGCCTTCGAGAAATGCGACCTGCTATAAATAATGCCCAACAAACTCAGCCGTCTCCAACGATGGCATCAGAGATTGTTCGACTGTTTCCCACCTTTCAACATGCGGCCAGTCCGGCCACAAATGCTAACCGAAATCAAGTTCAAAATCTGGATCGGCAAAGAGTGTCAAACAACAAGCGACGTCATACGAAAGTGCTACCTTCACGCAGTAAAATACCAAAGAAAAAGAAGCTTGTGCACAAAGATATTGTATTCATATTTAATCCATCAGTTGATAAAGTACCGACGCACCAAACACGATTAAGGCTGGAAAAGAAGGGTCGCATTATCCATGATTTTCCATTTGATAGAGACTGGGTGGAATGGCAAATGTGCTCAGCTATAGAACAAGAAATGCCTATGCTGGCAAACGGAGAATATGAATTTTTAAAGGTGTGTTCAGTTCAAATTTCTGCTATTGCTATAAAAGGAAAATTAATATAAGTTTATTCAGTGGATAGAATTTATTCCTTAAGAAATTGTTCTAAAGGTTTTATACAATAATTAGAGAGGTCATTATTTAACTACAATAATTTAGTGTGGTCCTGATTTTGCTACTTTAAAAGTATTGCATGGCACCAACAGTACCTACTGTCCAATGGTCTATTTGTCAACTTTGCATGTACTGAAATGCACCCACATGTGTCTGTATTAGACAAGTTCTCTTGTAAATGGGAGTATTTTTTAATAGCCTAAACTGCAACTCTTCCCAGTGGGTTTCTTTTATACAGTATAATACTGTAACACAATTTACATGTTACAATTTTCATGCCTTGTATGAAAATTCCATAAGGTTGTGGTAATCATTTGTTTTCTTCTTCATTACTTAGGCATCATATGGAAGTTTGATAAGGCCTAAACTATCTAGCAATTGCACCCTAACATGTGATGCTTTAATGCGAATCACAGGCCAGGGGTCTGTTTATGTAAGGACACTTCAACAATTGTCAGACGAAGAGAGTGATGAGGAGATAGTTGAAGGTAGAACAACATTGTGCCTATCATTTGTAAAAATAAAATGAATTAGTCTAATATTTTCTGCTGCCAAAGATCCTAATATGCATGTAATTAATTATTATGTATATACAGTAGTCAAGTGTTTAATATTGTCCATTCTTTAGAATGTGAGGTTAGAATGCCAACACCAGCTACTTTAACACCAGACACATCTCAAACAAGTAGCTCCACTAATGAATTGTCTGGTATGGAAATTCTTGTACAGAAGACAAACATGCGAGGTTAGTATAATTTTGCAAAGTTGATTTAGTTATGTTTCATACCATGTTACTCTCAAATTTACATTAATAGTAATATTTAACAGAGCTATTACATTAATTTTTTATTTTGATTAGATGCTCTACAAGAAAACCCTTTTGACGAAGTAGATGAACTTCCAGATCAGATTTTTGAACATGAAAGTGAAGAAGAACGTCCAGATGGTAACAGTACTGTATCTACCGAAGACTTGCCCTCAATTGAGACTCCAGGTAGTCCTTCCATTTACGAAATCATTATCCCACGAAGCGACATACTTAAGTCAATGATATCTGAATTCAGTAAACCCAGTGTTTTACAGTGCTGTTTAATATTTGGAATCAAGGGAGACAATGGCGTAACTGAAATGGGTCGAGGTGCAGGTGTAACCCGCGAGTTGCTAAGCCTTTTCTGGAGGGAGTTTTCGGTGGTTGTTGCAACAGGATCAGCAGAAAAAGTGCCTGTAATAAGGCACGATTTTCAAAAGCTGGAGTGGCAAAGTGTTGCGCGAATCCTTTTATTTGGGTTCAAACAAGAGAACTACTTTCCCTTGTTTATCTCAAAAGCATTCATTGGCTGTTGTCTTTTTGGGGAGGAAGCTGTAAATAAAGAGTGTCTGCTTGAATCTTTCAGCTTTTATATTTCAAAGGACGAGCAAGAGACCATGAAGAAATGCTTGAAAGGTGAGTTAGATCCTATTAAAGATGACGTGATGGATCTTCTTAGTAGCTATAAATGTTACCGTCGGCCAACCAAAGAAAGTATTCAAGTGATTTTTGAAGAACTGGCTCACCAAGAACTGATCCAAAAACCAAAATACGTATCAAATACATGGAGTAGTGAACTGCAGTCACTTAAACAACATCCCGAATTTCATGATATTCACAGCATGTCGCCATGTCGGTTATGTATGCTATGAAACAACCTCATCAAAGCGTGTCATAAATCTACTTTCTGCCGAACCCAAGTCCGAAAGCGAGCGGATGTGTTTTGATCACCTAAAGAGATACATCAAGTCATTTAATGAAAACACTTTGGCTGCATTTTTACAATTTGTCACTGGGAGTGACATCATCACCGTCGAGAAGATTGAGGTTTCATTTAATACAACAATTGGCGTTACACGGGTGATTGTTGCCCATACATGTTCACCTATGCTGGAGTTGCCATCGACGTATCAGAGCTATAGCGAACTTTCGGAGGAAATGACCAATATGTTAAGCAATTCCTTTGCTTGGTCGATTATCATAGTATGAATCGGAACGATGCCTATATGCAAACATTTATAAAGAAGTGACTTAATATTTATGCACATGTGAATTGAGATTATTAATTACTTACATGGATTGTTAACGTTATAAAACAACTTCAACTTGATAAGATTGTGGATTTTTCACCTATAAACCTTGTTCCAATACAAATTTGGTTGTCAGTCTTAATAATAAGTGATAATACGTGTCTTAATAATACGTGTATCTTCAGATTATTCATACAGTGTTCAATAAAGTTATGTTAACCGGGTGTATATAGCTATCATCATCCTTCACTATATATTATAGCTAAAGTTTATTTAATTTAATTATCCGTTATGCGTGATATTTCTAAAAGCCATTAAATACTTCCCCCTTACGATGATTTTATCAGCGCTATCACATTCAGGGAAGGGGCGGAATATTAATTTACCGTATCCTTTTCAAATTTTTTTCCATAGTTTTTTTTTCATACCACTTAAATGCATGCATGTTATATTTGTTACAAGGACTGAGTTTTGATATAACATGCAAAGATTTACTAAACGTGGATATAATATTAATATCATTAACGAACGATTAATGTCTTCTTAGATTTTAGCTTTATATTACATAACTTCTTAGTTAGCACCCACATCTATCTCAGCTGTTCATGCACTTTACTAGCTATAAACAACGTAATTACAAGTGGAAATTAAGGAGTATTTCTTTACAATTAATAAAAACGTTTTTCCCAGAATTGCCATCATCCCTTAGTGGATTACAGTGGATGTATAAATAATCACGCTGTGTATCAGATAGCTGAATATTTATATCAGGAACTGTCACCTGATAGTCTTCGTCATCGATAGAAAAAGGACCATCGGGGTCAACTCCAAATTCGTTTCCAACATTTGCAGGATGCCCAGAATTCACATTTTGAAGCAAACCTTGTGTGTACAGCTGCATAGGGGATAAACCTCTTTCCGTACGTAGACCGTGATGATTCCATTGTTCTTTAAATTCCTTAAGAGCCGTGTTAATGCGGGGGATGTACACGTAACGCAATGCAAATATATGGAAGTCTACAAGAGGATCTAGTTGCCCTCGTAAAAGGTTTTTGCAAAAAAGGAGAGAACACCTGCATAAATATCCCTATGAGCCCTTTCAACTCGACAGTTGTGCACTGAGCTTCCCGTTATCATACTACCACGGGCTATGCCTCGTTGTTCGATCATATGCTGAGCAACTTTAACGTTTTCAAGGCCGTGGTCTCTGCGAACTCTTGAAGGAAGGCCGTAATTTTCTGCTCCTATCAGAAACTGCTCGAGAACAGTTTCAGCTCTATTGTTACCTGCACAATGAGCATATACAATAAGCCTTGAAAATCCGTCTACACACACGTGAACCACCAATTTGAAGCGAATAAGTTTGTGATTTCCGTCTATATGCCAGAGTGCATTTGGGCCTGAGACAGAATATTTTCTTCGGAAAATAGCGGATCTCCAACGCAGAGCTGTTCCTAGAGGGTCTAACTCTCGCAAAAATTCCCGAACACGCTGCCGTTGAACGTGTACGCCCCTGGATCTGAGTGCTCCTTGTAGTCTTTTTTGGCCTATGTTTGGTGTCAAGCTTCTTATTTCAGTAATCAGACCTTTCAGTTGATCGTCTGAAAAAGTATATAAATCAAATTATCGCAAATCATCCTCGTTTATAATTAAATATATTCAAGCTTTAAATAGATATGAACAAGTGGATAAGTTTCGGGTGATAATGTTACAAACCGGTTATATTCGTCCAGCTAAAGTCCTCATTACTAGTTAAACACAATTCCTGTCTTCTTCGTCGGAGTGTGCTTTCACTAACTCCAAGCAGATACGCTATTTTTTCCCACGAAAAGTGAAGGCTCCTTAAAAAAATAATCTGTTCGTCCTGTATAATTATTCTTGGCCTTCCTATCCCAATTGGAAGTTCTGTAGGGCACGTAAAAGAATTAGAAGCGTTTGAAGACGATTCACGAAGAGATTTAAATTTCACAAGTATCTGCGCAACGCATTGTTGAAGCTCCCTAAAATAAATCGCATAATATCCATCCGTATTTTCTGACGCGATCAAGGCTAAAGTTTCTCTTCCCTCCTCGAGTTGTGCTATGATTTCCTCGTCAACAAGACCACTTTCATCTATTGTTTGCAAATTTCTAATGCCAATAAAAACAGATTCTAGGTTATCGAAGAAATTTCTTAGACCGACAGCGTTTCTCTCGTTTCTTTCAGTTTTATTCATCATGCAGATTAGATAACATCGTGTTGGTAAAATAACACGATCTTTTAGGCGAACATTCAGCGTTGCATAGTGCGGCTCAAAAAGAGGATGGATTGGTATCGAACATTCGAGTTTAGACAATATATCTGAAGTTTAGAACCAATAAATGAACTTATTAATTGTCATTAAGAAATATCAGAGTACAGGAGATATAAATAAGTTTAGAAAGCATATTTGAAGTTTAGGCAAGGATAAATAACTTTTACAATGAGTAAATTTTGTTTAGAAGGAATTTGTATAGTTTAGAACGCCGTAGTTGCGAGTATAGATCAAATATTTGAAGTTTAGAATTTTGACGGGTTCGGCGCGCCATAAAAAAACGCAACCATTTAAATATGCAAGAATATTAATATTGTTCGGGTTTGCACCATAGTTCAGCTAAAATGACTTTTAGCATTGTAAATGAAGGATTAAGAGCCATTTTCAATTCCCAGAGGTGCTTATCTATTGCGCTTTAGAGCTGTATTAATGTTCTGCATATTTAAGTGGTTGCTTTTTTTTTGGGACACCCTGTAGTATTATGTACGTCTTGTTTAATGTACGTACAGCCAGAACATCGCGTAAAAAAATTCAAACTAGTTTGAACGCGAGTTAGAAAACATGCCGCCTCAAAAAAGTAATGGTCGTCTGTCGTCACGACAAATGCCCTCCGGTTTGAAATTAAACGTCAAAACTACAAGTTCTTAGCAAACCATTACGTAAATAACATCCTCACGAAATTGATTTAAACTGATATGATAAAAACAAAATAGCCCACACACGCGAAGTAAAAATAACATTTGATTTAGTTTTACCTTTGTCAATTGATAATGCTAGTTCATCATTTGAATGGCTATCTTCCCTAATAGTTTCCATCAGTTTTCATCAAGAAATACGAAACAACTCGCTTGAATAATCTCAAACTTCTTCCCAAACATATCGAGCCATATAAACACTTCTCAAATATCGAATTTTCAAGTGCAGTTTCCGGTTTGCAGAAGAATGCTTTTAATTTTTGTCAACCTCGACACGGGCATGGCCACCCCGAGTGGTCGCACCCATTTAAATTGCGGCAAAACTTCAAACTGGTCCTCGGTTTTGGTAAGGAATAGTACCATTTCCCACTATTCAAAGAAGAACGAAAACAACTCATATGAAAATATAGACCTTTTCAATGAGAGATTGTTGGTTTTTTTAGCTTTCCTATCGATCATATGCAAGGTATGTGCCTACATATATAGCTGTAGGCGGCCAGACCGTCAGACGTGACCATTTTTGTATTGCTCTAGAACAAAGTCAATTTCACCGGAGACTCTTCAATAATTCTCAACATTTCCAAATAAAAAAAAAGTGTTAAAGAAGATCACATAGTGTTGGATTTCCGGTTATACTGGAATATTACTAGCCTACGGGTGAACTCTCGAAAACAATATCTTTCACCACAAATTGAATGCCAGAATGTTTAGCTTGCTCGTTGGAATATCGACTAAGTCCTTGGAATATTTACTTTTAAATTGCGTATAATATTTTGTGGCTGATTTTTCAATTGAAATTTGCTCGGGAATTCGTGGCCGTGGGAATTTCCAAAGGTTTGACAAACTTTCTCGCGTGTTATTGAGCAATTTCTAGTTAAGAGACAAGGAATTTGGGGATATTTCAGTCAAGTATACGTATTGTTTTGCCTGATACGCCTAGCGATTGGTATCTGCAATAAAGACTTTATCACGTACTGACTGAGGAAATGATCTTCTTCAAAAGATAGATAAGAACCGATTGCCGCTAGCAAACAGAGGAAATTAACCTCCCATTTTACACTGAAACTGATTGAAAATTTTGCTTATAAATCACTAAAGTATAGTCAAAAGTCGGATGTGTACATTCGCCCACGAAATAGCTCAAGCCAAAAAGGGGGAAAAACGACCGCAAACCCAAAAATTTAATTAATATTCCAGCTGTTTTAAAGGAATTAGTCAAATTTGATAATCGCTCAAAGTGATAATCTCCACTTGGATCACAAAGATTTAATGAATCCTCAACTTTCGTCTGTACTGTAACCTAATGTATATAATGAATGGTCTCTAACCTTAGTACACATTTGGGACTTTGTCCTGTGATTGTCTCCTGCCACGTGTTTTTATTGTGACAAAATAAATCAAATGAAATGAAACCTATAGCACAGCTGTTCTTCGTAGTCCATGTCCAGAAATTAAGGAGGAAGGTTGTAATTATAGGAAGAATATGATAACTGACTTTTTAGGCACAAATAATACGGTGTTTGGAAGTAACAAAGCAGGAAAGGTTTGTATCCAGGCCCCTTACACCTTGATGAAGTCGTAAATCGTACGTCTTCTTAAATATAAAACTGTCTGCAACATGTCACTACGGCCATATCATCTCATGCCATTCGACCGGTTTGGCATGGCTGAACTGTCGTTGCACTGAAAAACGATTCATATTTTTAGGAGGGATTAAATTCAAATCATAACTTGCTTCAAAAAGTAATCAGTTACTACCAATTACAATTATCACTTTTAAAAAGTAATTTACCATTAAATGAATTATAACGCATGTTCTGTGAAAAATGGAGTCAGATAGCTTAGTGTCGAGGGCACACGAACGTCGATGGAATCTTGGGAATTATGGCTGTGGATTAATCATTAATCATTGACATTTATAAAGACACTCACACACAAACGCCTAACAAGCGCTAATTTAGAACTTAGAGATTCATATAATTAACTCACAAAAGTATATTCTAAATTGATTGCACTTGATATTAACCGTGTCCATACTAACCATAGACCCTCCCAAAATGTACACATTTAATATCCTGGACCTTGGACGTTGCGAGTTTTGATTGCTTTAACATAAAAACAACCTTGCTTCTGCCAAGTTTCTACGAAACATCCTGTCCGTAATATTGCTTTTAGTTTTGTTTTTGTCTTCGCAAAACGAAAACGAATGTAGCCTCATGACATGAATTCAAAACCGACAAAGCGTGTTGGTTCAGTGTTGCCAAGTGTGTTTGAGCGCGATATATGTTTTGCCTTTTGGGCTTGAGAGCGTGGGCGATCTTGTAAAATACAGACATATGTCTACAATAGGATCACTATTGGTTGCAAAACTATTAAAATGACAAAGAAGATGTTAATACCAAACCCAGACAGGACAAAAAGCAGATGTCCAATCGATCCTATAGACCCCCTGTGTGCGTGTTTAGATGTTTCGTTGCATTTTAAGCATACCGGTATTCATAATTCTACAAACTTCAGGAGTATGCGAAAAGATTGACAAAAAACGCGCTTCTTCGATCAAGGGGAAATCACTGGCGAGGAATGATTTTGGATTCATGCAGTTTATTAAAACTATTATCATCCATCAATCTATATTAAGCTGTCATTGCTTTCAGACCAAAATGCCTGAAAAAGATTAATTTTTTTATTGGCTTATTGTAAGCATCACAAGGCCTCGATATACCTAGCTTTAACTCGATCTGTTTTTGAAAGGAACAGTTTCACAAATTAGGCAAAATGTACCGTAAATGTAATACAGTTACGTTTTGTGCTACCTTCGTAGTAAGATATTCTCTGAGGTATACCAAGCTGTTTTATTTAATGTTAACAGGGCAACGAATAGATGCTTCATACTTCTTTCCGCGCCATTTTTCACCTGCTGTAATCTTGTTTCTGCCAAAGAATGTCCTTGCTCTCAAAAGTTAAAACATTTTTCAAGCTCACGACAATTTGCTGGTAATAGTATAACAGTGGTGAAATAGCGTTGGGAAAAAACTGAAAAGTTACTGAAAAGTTTTACATGAATATATATATACACACCTAGAATTTAAGTAAGAGGAAATTGGTCGTTTAATCCTTTTATTAAGACGATAGAGAGCCAACGTCTCTTTGATGCATAGCTATTTATAAAGGTAAGGCACTTAATTAGAAGTACGTTAGTTGTTGCATATTTGCATAATTGGGTTAGTGTTATGTAGTACGATTTCGAGTTCCTTGAAGATTTGATACTTGTGACCTGTGGAGCGTGCCCCGAAAAGTCTATTGGTAAACCATGCAATCAAATCAGCACCATTTGTTTCCAGGAAAAACAGTCCAGACAGCGCTTGTTCCTAGAATGGTAGAAATCAAAGTTTACTGATAGGTGAAGAGACGTTGAGTTGAAAGCGGTTTTTTAAAAGATTTTTTCGACAGTTCAATGGCAATGCATTCAGAACATTTTGCTGCGGTGCTTTTTTTCACACTCGAATTCAACTCGATGTACGCTTTTAAGTTGCAACACTTGATGAAGTTCAGATCCCACGTGGCCCGTAGAATAGGTGGGAAACTTTTTAAACGATGTTAATCTCGACTGAACGCCCGTTGGCCGCACTAAATTTGTAGCTGTCACGAAGTGTATTCGTTCGGTAAACATGCAGGTGAAAGAAATACATGTTATTTCTTTGTTTCGAAGGAAGCGAATATAGATGTCGCATGTGGCCGACGTATTCATACAGGGTTAGCGTCGCTTTGTCAATTAAGCCAGTGATCAACTGGTCGAGGAAACACATTAGACTTATTGAGAGTGAAATATTCAAGTAATAATCATAAGCGTCCCGCGGTATCCGGGTAGTGTCCAATCAGAACGCGGCGGCTTGATGTAAATACAAGGTATGATTATTTATGCGGTATTGGTTCGCGACAATCAGCGTGGGCGAATGAAATGCTTTGGCTGTCTTCTGCCTTTGATGACAGGCGAGAGATTATTGGCGAGATACACTGACTTATATTAGCGATCAGTATATACAAGACCCGTTGAGCTATGGCGTTCAACTGTGGCGAATCCTCGCTCGTGTTCCTTCTAACGTTGTTCGTCGCCGTTTTACCGTTTGTAACATCGCAACACAGATGTATGTCGCTCACAATAGATTCGTGCAAAGGTCTGAAATACAATCGAACATTGTTCCCGAACTTTGAGAATCACCGAACACAGGGGATAGCCGCGACCATGGTGAACCATTTCAATCCTCTGTTCAAGGTAAAATGTTCACCGGACCTGAAATATTTTGTATGCAGTTACTATGCGCCAGTGTGCAATACGTTAGGAACACTCATACCGCCTTGTCGTTCGCTTTGCGAAAGTGCCAAAAGGAGTTGTTCTACAATCATGAAAAACTTCGGCTATGCTTGGCCGTCGCAGCTTGCTTGCGAGAAATTCCCAGCCAGCCCCGAACAAAAATTGTGTGTAGGTCGCAATACGTCGAATACGACCCCAAAACGAGCGAAGACGATACCAACGCGACATACAAGGACTCAAATCATAAAAGCAGGCGGCACGACAAGAATTGTGAATTACGCCGCCACATTACCTCCGACCACAGCTCGCTTGATGACCGAATTTTTATGCCCGATCGAGCAGAAAGCGCCGAACGATCTTCACAGATTCTTAGGGAAGAGCAACTGTGGTGCTCCTTGTGAAAATATTTACTTCACCGCCGATGAACGAAAAATCTCAAGAATTTGGACTGGATTTTGGAGCACTGTGTGCGCTGCGTCAACCGTGTTTACTCTGCTCACTTTCTTCATAGATATGGCGCGATTTCGCTATCCCGAACGACCTATAATCTTTCTCTCCGGTTGTTATTTTATGGTGTCCATTGCATTTTTTGCCGGATTCGTGGCGAAGGACAAAATTGCATGCAACGATCCGGTGTCCGAGGCTAGCAACAAAACTCTCACACAAGGCACAAAGAACGAGGGATGCACTGTGATATTTATGATGATCTATTTCTTTTACATGGCAGCCAGCATATGGTGGGTTGTATTAACGCTAACGTGGTTCTTAGCAGCGGGTATGAAATGGGGTCATGAAGCTATCGAAAATAACTCGCAATTCTTCCATCTCGTCGCCTGGGTTATACCAGCCGTAAAAACAATCGCGATATTAGTTCTGACCGAGGTCGACGGTGACGAGCTGACGGGAGTATGTTTCGTCGGTCTGTCCAGCGAGAGCGCCCCATTCGTGGTTTCGTGTTGGGGCCTCTGATTGTTTACTTTTGTATCGGCACGTTTTTCCTACTCTCCGGATTCATCTCGCTGTTTCGCGTGCGCTCCGTGCTTAAGAACGACGGCGACAAAAGGGAGAAAATCGAAAAGCTCATGATACGTATTGGCGTGTTTTCGATATTGTACATGGTGCCTGCTATCACGGTGATCGGCTGCTTGTCGTATGAACAAGGCAACAGAGAAAAATGGCGACAATCGTGGCGTGATGCGTTCTTGCGGGAACGCAGCAAATGTATCGTTGTGTCTGGGAAATCGTGTCCGAAAATAGTCGGCCAGCAGAGACCCGACTTTGCTGTGTTTCTAGTGAAATATCTTATGTTTCTTATAGTCGGCGTAACATCGGGTTTCTGGGTTTGGTCTACAAAAACGCTCGGCTCGTGGCGGCGCCTTTATACTCGTCTTAAGCCGGCCAAAAACGAGCTGAGTTCATAGTTTTTCGGAAAAATACAGACGGGCGAATATAGGAAAGACTACGGATTTATATTGGCAGGACGGTGAACGAATTTGCGTGGTAATTTACAGAAACAGAGGGTGAATCAACTTGGACGCGTTAAAAATGACTGCGACAACGTGAAAGCTTGAGTTCCCTCCGCGCAAGAGGCAAAATTCGATGCAAAACTCGTCTATCACCGTGTATATTGTTGACGAAGTGCGTTTAGATGCGTCTTGCAGTGTTACCCTACGGGATGGCGTTTAAACTGGCTCCTCAAGGCATGGGGCTTTGAACAATGGCATATTCGACGAGCATATTGTCTTCTTGTGTAAATACAAGGATCGGTTTGCTTGATTAAAGCGTGAACGAACGTCGACCTAATTGGTTGCGACGGATATTGCGAGCATTGAAATGAAAATCGAAAAAGCGCTGAATGAATAGATTTTTTATGAACAAAAGGCATACCGGAACAAGCATTACGCCTTTCCTACAACGCATTAAGAGAGCTTAAAATTTGATGCGAATTCTTGAGATTTTAATCTATTAAAACCGCCAGGGTTTTATACCAGCGTTTTAGCACTAGGATTTTACAGAGACGAATTCACACAAACCCGCGTAGACAAGTTATAATAGTGTACAAGTTCGTGGTAGATTGTTTATAATATATATCATTTATCAAAGTATGTTGATCGTTACATCTAGTACTTATTTTGTTTGAGATCCCGATGCCCTGTGGCGATGGTTAGAGTGTCACGAACAGCAGTTATGCGCGCGCGCAGCAGGATTGAAACTTGCACCTTTTTAATTGCGATAACCCGTTCTATCGCAAATAATCTACCATAATCTTCGCTTTAGATTTCCCCCTTCATATATTAATGCGGAGCGTTTACTGTGGCGTGAAAGCGTGCGCAATAGAAGCGCTTATATGCATGAAATGGAATATCGTATTACATATTCACGTTTATATCTTAATCAGAAAGCTGTCGAACTAATTTGTCGCCGACCGCTGATGGAACCACATATAAGAGAAAAGACAAAATATTTTCGCTATCACTCAAGTGCTGATACGCGCGATTCACGATAAAAAGTGGTATTTGAGGCGAGACAAAATTCCACTCCAGGAGAAATGCTTTCGATCTATCGACAGAGCCCAATCTTGCCCATGGCACGATTGATTGACGATCACTAGCCATATTGCGTCTGTGTTTCCTTGAGTTTGTTTGTTTACACGCGACGTGCAGAGTCATGAATAACACATGCGCATTAAGAAAACAAAGTTTTCAATTGAAAATGACCGATATTCGGACGTTCTTTCACGGCGACAGATTTTTTGAGATGTTTTTCGCCACGTCTAGTGTACCAATCTTAAAATGACATTCCGGTGTCACAAAGGTTGGAATGCGTAATACGATATTCGTCGGGGTATGACAAAAGGTTGTTGGACCTATGTCTTAATTTATAAGGTTAGCATTTGCCTTGAGAGTTGATACACAAAAACGCAAATAAAGAGAAGCATTCAAGCAGAAACTTGGTTCAAAAAAACCCCGCAAAATTAGATCAGATGACGAAACATTCCTAATGAACGGACATTTATGTATGCGTTGAACTATCACGCACATTAATAAATAAAACCAGAGGAAGGAAACGCTTCCCAATAGCAATATTCTGCTCAAACTTTCATGTACAAAAACTGTCGTATTTTTTTAAACCAAAAGCGTTTTTTCGCCAACCGATGGATGATGATGATCCCTGATCGCACGTTATTTTCGTTTGCATGGCGCGTGAAAAATTTCACACCTGTTGAAATCCCACTTCGGTTAATTTTCCTACAATTTAATTTCGCCATAATATAAAACGTAAGAACACGTAAATACGTACAATTCCCTTAAAGTACACATTGCCAAAAAATAAACTGCTCTCTTATTGATAGTAAACAGCTAATACTTTCTTCGTAAGTTACGTTACAATGCTACCACGAGAGGTATAACATAAACGTATACTTTTTTATACAGAATAGCATCATTAGTTCTGAAGAGGCCCAGTAACGATCATCTTTAAAATTTTTTTCCCACGGAATACCAGTAAGTATCATCTCTTTATTGACCCTGTGCTATTGCAGGAGGAAAAGGAAACTAAGTCTTAAAATTGATCCAGTGTTACCACAGGAGGAAACATAAACAAAACTAACTTTACTTATATACCGGATAGCTCTATGAGGTCTAAAACTGTTCTCTCCAGAGGTTCAGGAAGGATCAGGATTATTGATCAAGTGTTATTACAGAAGGAAACCTGAATACCATATATATACTGGGGATGCACGAATCAGTTCGAAAACTGTTCAGGGCCAGTAAATTCTATCCAAAATCTTACGCTGTCACAGTTAGAAGTGAACGCATCTTCAAATCGTTGTTTGACTTGCACTGATTTTGACATGAGCTCATGAGCGTCGATCGTCTGTTAAAAAGTTTTGCCAGACGTATATATGCGGTGCCCCAAACAGGGGATATCCGCAATTATAAAAGGTCTTGTCAATGCCAGAGCCAGAGGAGTTGAGATAATTAGTTTCTTGTTCTTTAGGCTTTGTCTGTTCTTAATTACTTAATGGCCTCGTTGAAAACAAGTCATACACTGCTTCATGTTGAACACGCTGAGAAAAAAACGATCAGTGTTTGTTTCAAGCGGCGCAGAACCGCATGAAAACACAAAGACCGCGCATTCTAATCACATTCACGAGACACAAAATGACCGCAATTTATTTTAAACATTTAAGACACAATCTCTTTCATCGGGTCACTGGGTTGGCAAAGTGTTTTCGGTATTAAAATTCCAAGGGTTTTCCTTTTTGAAATATTTCTGTTCATCTCATTCGAGATTTCTCGTCTTCATTTGAAAAAGCCTCTTTGTGAACATGCGATAAATACGACTGCTTTGTTAAGAATACTATTCATTGATTCAGTGATTCACTTCTTTACTGGTATTGCAGTTTTGGCAATGCGGCCTGCCGAAGAACAGGGTGTGTCTTGTTTGACCTTAGAGGGGGCAAAGCACTTCAGCTTTAGAACATGATCGTTTATAGTTAAACAGAAATAAAACCACCTCTTTTTTCTAACTGTCTCAAGACCAGCTTTGGACATCCTTTTTTCCCTGACCTCTTTTCCCCCTTCTCTCGTTTTCACCCTCCTGAAAGGTTTTTTTTTTCAAATGAATGACAAACGAGTCAATTCTAAAATAAGCGAACCTCATTGCAATTGACACAAGAGTTCAATATCAATTAATGAATGCTACAAGTGACGTGCATGAACAACGTGGTGTGGCATTTAACGTTAATAACATTTGTGTAAACATTTCTATCAGCAACTGAGAATGAACGACCGAGGAATAGACACTGAGGAAAAGGCAAGACATACCGATTACTGGATCATGGATCAATCCACTGTTATTTTAGGTCTTGATCTTATTGTCTAGAAGACCTAATAAAGATATGCAGTCCGTTTAAAAGGTCGACTTCTCAATTTTAATCCTCTGATGTGCCACAAATGATCTTTCGTGAACAATACTGTCAAATTTTCCCAATAGGTTTATGGTTGACTTGAATTAAAATGATTTAGTTTTTTAAATCACGTGCGCTATCTGATCTTATCACGATGTAGAATGTTAATCCCACTTTTGGCACGGGTCGACTTGTCTTGAATGGCTGCCAGCGCATGGAGGAGTATTCGTGGCCTAAAAATGCCATATTTGGCGGCATTACTAAACACTGCACTCTTGGGAGATTAAGTTTCGTGGTCAGATGCATGGAGGGTTTCATCACAGAATACCTAACAGAAGTAGAACTCTATACTATTTTTTCGTAAGTGTGACTCCTCATGATTCGTCACTTAGCAAGTGCATTTTTTTGAGGTAGTCACCCCCCTGCCAATACTAAAAATGCGCTGATTTTAAACATTGGCAGGGGGGGTGACTGCCTCAAAAAAATGCACATGCTAAGTGACGAATCATGAGGAATCACACTTACGAAAAAAGTACAGGAGTTCTACTTCTGTTAGGTATTCTGTGGTTTCATTCTGCATAAAAATAATGTAAACTGCTATGGTTAGTGCCACCAGGGCAAAACCTCTTGTTTTCGATTGAGGAAATGTCTATAATTTCAATCTTCTCAAAATGAAACTTATAAGTACGCTATGAGTATGATCCTATCCTAAATACCTAATCGAGAGTCGGTCGAGACGGTGCCACTGGCCGAGAGAAATGGACTCTTTTGCTATAAACGTGAAGCAAACAACCGGGTTCAAGAAATGCATAACAGCGCCCAGATCATTTTCCTCGACCAGTTCGCGTGGTTCATCTGTGAAACAATGGAACGATATACTCGCTGGTATGTTGGGAATTTCGTCTTTACATTATTAATCCTCGAGACTTCAGGTGCTTCCAAGATTTTTCTCCATTTGGTAGCCATAAATGGACACGGAATAGATAAGGAAGGCACAACTTACAGCACGTATAAGTCATTTCGTTTGATCAATCCGCGGGTTCCATCCGAGGAACTGTATATCGCTAAGTATGTTAGGAATTTTCTTCTTCAAAGAAAAAATCTACTGTTCGAGTATCCAAGATACGTCTTTCAGTTGCCATAAAAGGACAAGAGGTAGATAATGAAAATGGAATCTTCTTTCGTACTTCAAAAATGAATGCAAGACGAGTACTGGTATTTTGCTGATTGTAAGATCAGGTTACCATTGTAAGGGTGCATGGAACTATCTCAATCCCAAACGTTCTGCATACGAAATGTCTATGAATGGGACAGAAAAGAAAGCATTAAACCTGTCTATATTGCAGTGTAATCAAACATGCGGTATGGTTCATTTATACCACCATATTTCTTGTAAAAGATTTACTCCTGAAGATAAGAATACTATACTGGTCAGTGGTCAACCACCATTATCTGTGGTTAACATTATTTGCATTTGATTTCCAAGGTATCCTTTGATATTTTCGCCCTCTTAGCCTATACTAAACGTATAAATAACGTTATGGATACTAAACGTATGAATAACATTATTTGCATTTGACTTGCAAGGTATCCTTTGATATTTTCACCATCTTAGCCTATACTAAATGAATGAGCCAATTCATAAAATGCTCTGAATACAAGAGTTGGATTTATATCAACATTTGTTCGTTGTCATGCATTGATCTTGCATTTTGTACTTGGACACACTGAAGTAAAGGCTCTCACCCACTCATCGCAAAAACTATCGCGCAAGCCCGCTGCGAGTAATTTTGTCCAATCACAATGCTTGATAGTTTATTTAATCAGATGCAAACACTCGCAGCGAGCTTACGAGTTGATTTTGCGATGAGTGGAAAACAAGCCTTAGTTTATCAAAAATATCGGGGGGAAAATTTCACGAATGTCCATTCGACTTTCTAAAATTTCAATCCACTTTCGAAACGGATATAGACCATTCCCCCCAGGGCGTCTTCGATGAGAAAGAGTGATTCGACATCTCGGTGGCTACCAATCGCACCACTGATCTGAAAACTCGCCAGCAACTGCACGCGCCCGTCTAAATGGTTCCCTCCTTAAATGTACACAAAATATTAAACTCCGGTCACCTTTGGTCCTTGGTAGCCGCTGCATGCCCGTTGTGAAGAAGCGCCTGTGTTGTTTCAAGCTATTTCTGAACGCGTTGACAGATTATCGTCTGTTTTCCCCTTTGCTGATTAAATCATTGCCTCAGATTTGAACAAGATACGTGGTAAAAGACGCCAAACATTTTATGAATTTCAGATTGTAGTGCATACAACCTACGCCGACCCTCATAAAGATTTTAATCAAAACGGGTCGGATTGACTAAAAAGTGCAGCAAGGACCAGATGAAAATTGCAGGACTTGGACATCATTCAGCGCTGATGGAGTGCGATAAGTTTTAATGAGATGGTTCTTGAAAGAACATGTGGACATGGACATGGTTTATGATGAAGTCGCAGGTTGAGAGGACGAACAATTTAACGAATGCTTTTTCATCGACGTACGAAAAAAAAACACAAGAGTTGAATGCTATGTTGATCGTGGTCACTGCCGTCTTCAAGCCATTCATGGTCGCTTTTCCGTGGAAGAAAAAATAAACAAAACCATGAAACAGACAAAATATACGTATTCTTAATATATTTGAACTATTTCTGAAGTTCAAAGCATTATGGAAAGAGAGCAATGAGATGATCTGTAGAACGAAATACGATAGCTATTCAACCACATCACTGATCCACATTTACCATTCATTATCCTCGATATCATTGCCTTCCCATCATTAATTTCCAGGCCTAAAGTTTTGTTTCGAAACCGCGTTTCCTCTTAGCGACGAGGACCTGGGAAGAGTTCATTGTCCACGTCTGTGATGACCATGATGACGTCAAACAGCGTGTCTCCTTGGCTACGGTGACGAAGGCGAAATATAGGATGAATAGGAACCCAGGAATACAAAGCATGACCATGAGTGTCCTAGCCCACGCGTCCTGTGGGATACAAGGACTGAAAAGAGTTAATCGTCTCGCGCCCCTTCCTCTGGCGTCAAACGGCGTGTTTCCATGGCTACGGTGACGAAGACGAAGTATAGGATGAATAGGAACCCAGGAAAACAAAGCATGACTATGAGTGTCCTAGCCCACGCGTCCTGTTGGAGACAAGGACTGGAAAGAGTTCATCATCTCGCGTTACTTCTGACGTCAAACGGCGTGTCTCCATGGCGACGGTGACGAAGTATAGGATGAATAGGAACCCAGGAATACAAAGCATGATCATGAGTGTCCTAACCCACGCGTCCTGTTGGAGACAAGGACTGGAAAGAGTTCATCATCTCGCGCTACTTCTGACGTCAAACGGCGTGTCTCCATGGCGACGGTGACAAGGACGAAGTAGAAGATTGGACGGAACACAGGGATGCATATTAGGATATCGTGTCTATATCCTAGTAGTATTTGAATGACCGTTTTCTAGAACTCGCTATAAGACAAATTGACTGTTTGTGTTGCAATTGATTGATTCAGAGAGCCTTTGACTTATGGGAAGACAGGTAACTGGATGACAAGTTGGGAATAAACCCCGTTATATTGTAAGAATGAGATCTTTCTTAGATCAATCTGGAAACAATTTTATGGCTTGCATTCAATTGATATCCAAGAGTCAGTCAATAAACTATAATGACTACTCACGCTGGGGAGCCACCCTACGAATATTGGCCCATTGTAGATATGTCGTCGTTCTTTGACGTTTCAAAGTACATTGTCAGATTGCATCGAAATATTTTCATTTTCGTAAATTGTTTTAATAGCGAGCAGGTTTAGACACTCGTAAACACCAGAGCCGTGACTAAAAGGACCGCATTTATTGCTTTCGTTTCTCACAGTAACCTTGGCCACGCAAGGGTCATTCATTGACATAACACCAATATTAAAAATATTGAACTCAATATTGTTAGACGACGTGGGGGTTGTTCTGTTGTGTGCATCGCGTGATCACTTGCACATGATCCATCTCAGTCATTGTCAGCACTTGGCTCACGATAGATCATGGCTAGCCTGGAGCCGAACACTTGGCACACTTCATGCATACGATACAAACAGACAGGCTAAACATGGAATGACAGGACGTTTAAATATCAAAAACATTTTTATTCATAGCAACGTTCAGATTCAACGAGTACGTTTAGGGCACGATGAACCAATCAGATAGCGATAAACTTGTCAGATTAACCAATCACGAGCGTAGGTGTTCAAAATCAACCAATCACGAGCGCAGGTGTTCAACGGTAGTGAGTCAAATCTAAACTCTGCTAATATACACAAGACAACTGTATCAAAAGTATCACTATTCACACAACACGTGGGTGCAACATTGCAGCCATTACAGACTACTTTTTTGTTCCAGGCAAGGGAGTTTCTGCAGAAATATCACCACAACTAAAAAGAGCATACTAAGGGGCTGTTTACATGAGCCCGGTTACCCGAGATTCAACGAAGCGTGAGGCGACTTTGAGGTATTGAAATAAGTCTTTATGACACCAAACAAGCACATGATATTGTTCTGGTGATTTTACGACTGCCAGGATCATGTCATCTGCTTATTTCAATACCTCAAAATCATCTCACGCTTCGTTGAATCTCGGGTAACCGGGCTCATGTAAACAGCCCCTAAGATTAGTGAAACTGCAGAATTTGCTTGCAGAATGCTATAAAATAAGAATATAAGTCTTGGAAAGTTTGCAAATTTGTATACTTTTCAGTTTACTACGCACGGAAAATGTTACCAATTCAGGCCGAAAATGGCAACAATTTTCATACTTCCTGGATGAAAAAGTAGTCTATAACGCAAAAGGTTTATTGCTGTGATCTTCAATCTCTCGCCAAGACCGACCCTATTTTTCGACTTACGATCTGCTAATATTTATCCCATATATAATTAGAGTGCCTGCTATATTAAAATGCTAACTTATTTGACGCCTAAATTTTGATCCTTCCTAAAAGTGACAAAGCAACGCGAAATAAAATTCTGATTGATCTTCTTATAAATCCTGGACCACGTGATCAGTTTTAATCACCACTCTTCAGCTCGCGAGAGCCTGGGAACGAGATCATCTGAGGTAGAGTGGTTAACCTAACAAGAGTGGTTTTTATAGTCAGATTCTGGGCACAAAATTGTGGTAGAGCTGTTGTTTATCACTACAATTAAGTCCGTTAGATTAGGATTAGATTAGGATTAGGTTGGCTTAGGATTAGGTTGGATTAGGATTTTCTCATCCATCTTATCTGACAGCGTGGCTGGGTCAATACTGGATAGTTTTTATCAGATGTATTGGTCTTTACCGGGAAGTTAATAGTTTTTTCGACTTTCCGCAGACGTTTTGCCAAAAAAACTTAAAGAGTTCTCGCTATCATCAAAACTACAATCTCTGGGCATCTTTGTAATAAACCAGTTCATTTATGTGTCACTGAAAATTCATAAATGGCAGCTGTTATTGTTCGCAATGCATCAAATCCCTGCCAAATTATTTCGGCCACCATCTGCCCTTGTTAATTGCAGCCAATCCCACACCCTTGGAAACTCCGCCTACCGAGATATTGGCCCACATTAAATGCTAGAAACTTACAAAAGTGAAGGAATACAAAGTCTGGTATCATAATCTTGCAATATTGCACACATGATCACTTATGCTCGCTGCTGACACCTCCTTAGATATTCAAAAATGCAGATAATTGGACACTTCGAAAAAACACACGAAATTATCTCGAATTTGGTGCGATTTTGCAATCTTGAGAAGACCCCGTCGATGAAATGTTGAGCTTTCTTATTAAATCATTAAAATATTAGCAAAGTTTACTCAAATTTTATTAACAAGTAAAGAAATCTAATCACAAAAGATTCTTTTAAACAGCATCTCTATGTAAATATTTTGAATAACGCTTTACTCAGCGAATTCTTTAATTTCGAAGCAACACTATCATGAAGTGCTCGAGAGTTTTTTGTCTAACACAAAATCTGTCCTATAGGTTTCTTGCCTGAAAATGAAAAAAGTCTATATCCGATAATATTTACATTTAAACTCAAAGGAAATTATTTAAACTCAAAAGGAAATTATACACGGATTGCCTAGATATGGGCAAACACCGCTTTTCGTGACAAAGGGATCTTAGAATATACAAGACTATCTTTATCGTGAACGTCGTCAGATATATACATTGTTTTTGAAGATGAAAAGATATACATTCGCAGTCATAATGGCGGCACACCGTACATGGAACTTGAGTTTAGACGCTAAACAATGCCGTTGACTGTATATATATGCCTCCCCAGACAGATTTCCCGCCTGCTGTCAATACCGGAAATCGTGCAGAATAGCTTCAATAAAGTCTCTCAGGACTTTACACGAAGTTAAAGAGTTAAGCGTTTTTGCTCGGCTAGATTTCGTCCGCGGCATTTAGCGACTCCCTGAACGGGAAAGGGTGAACGAGATGCTTGTCTATTTTATTCCCTAGTTTCTAAGCACTATTGAACCGTCTCTAGAAAGCGAAGCAAGGCGAAACAGTGTCTCAAACGTCGGTTTTCTTCGTCAAACGCAGGGCCGTCTTTTCAGCGTCATGATCGTCAGCGTTTTTCGGCCGCAACAAACGAGAACCGACATGTCGTTTAATCAAATTGCGCCACGAGTCGACAGTCTTCATTGAACAAATCCAGAATCCCGTACTAATTCCAACAACCAACGACATGAAGTACCTGACTATAAACACCGAGTACTCCGGCTCGACTTTCTCGGCTCCTGCGCAAGGCGTATTAGCACATGTTAGCCATTTTTCCCATTTACTTCGATTCGACATCTCGTAAAGGTAACACCCGATAGTTACTGTTGCGGGCACGGTGTACAACACGGAGAACACGCCAATTCGAACCATAAGTTTCTCCAGCTTATTCGTGTTGTTCCCCTCGTTTTGCATTTTCTTTCTGATGCGAAACAGGGAAACGAAGCCGGCGAGCAGGAACGCTGATCCAATCGTGAGGTAGATTCCTAAGGGTACAATCATAAATGCGACCAAACTGTCCTTGTTTTGGTTTCCGACCGAACAAACTCCGCTCAAAGAATCTCCGTCGATGCTTGACATTGCCAGAACGGAGATTGTTTGAACCGAGGGAATCAGCCAGGCGACAATATGGAAGTATTGGGAGACGTTTGCGATAGCCTCGTTTGACCATTTCATACCAGCTGAAAGGAACCAAGTAAATGATAGAACGACCCACCATAGAGCGGACGCCATGCCCCCGAAGTAGGTTAGCAAGAATACCAATGTACATAACGCCGGGCCCGTTGTTTCATGTGCAATTAGGTCGTCTTGATCACAAGAAACCTTCTCTTTGCCAGCGATCAGACGCATGATATAGCCAAAAGACATGAGTAAATAACAACTTGATAAGAAAATCACGGGTCTCTCCGGATAGCGAAACCTCGCCGTGTCGAGGAAGAAGGTTGCGAGCGTTAGGAAGGTCGAAACGAAACACATCGTGGACCATATCGTCACCCATGCTGTTGCGAAACTCCTCTGATTCGATGTGAAGTACGAAGCGTTGCATGGCAAAGCACAGTCCTGAACGTCCCCGATATGGCGCTCTAGTTTAGGAGGCACACGTATAAATGGCTTAGCACAAGAGCACTGACAGCCAAGCGCTTGAGGTGACGGGGTGCTGACAGGCGATTTCGTGGAACGACCTACACCGGTGTTAGTTGGTTTTGGTCGTCGTCTCTGCGGACGCGAAGGCAATTTTTTCGACGACGCCGAGTCAGTCGTAGCGCCAATCCAACTATTCGTCGTTTTCGCTGAAGGCGAAGGACCGATCAGAGTCGGTGCCGTTGTCGTCTGATCGTCATCCGACATACACAGTTGATTGTCCTTCTTCTGCGGGAACTTATCGCATTCCATTTTCTCAGGCCATTTGAAGCCGTACGTTTTCATGAGTTTCAAACAGCCGCTCTTTGCTTTGTGGCACACGCTACGACATGGAAGCAGCTCCTTGCCGTAGAGTTCATCGCAAACCGGCGCGTACAGAGAGCAGAGAAAGAACTTCAACACAGGCGAGCAGTTTATTTGAACCAAAGGCCAAAATTGATGGACTTCCAAGGCCGCCTCTTTCTGATCTTCGTGGAGAAATCGATTCGGCGAATACGTCGTGTTGTAACCCAAGTTCATACACAGCGGGATCGTGATTTCCTCACATTTATACTCGGCTGCGTTCGCTAAATGATAAACCAACACTAGGATAAAGAGAATTAGGCGAATACACATAAACATAGTTCTGCGTCCAGTCATCGTGTCGATGCACAGCCTTGTGTTGACAATACACACTGGAAACTTTGCCTTTCAAATTCTCTTTAATCTGTCACACCATTAAGGCATATTGACAAATGACGCGATCCACCAATCACAGCGTGGCTTACTATCATTAAGGCGTTAGAGCGTGCAATTCACACAGCAGTGTAAGAGCCCCTTGGTATAAAGGCACAAAGGCACAGTGAACTCCCACCACAACAGAGGTATCACGCAAAACCTTACTTTCGTACATTCGTCGCTGGTTAGCAAGGTCGTAAGGTTCTCCGAAGAAGTTGAACAGGGTAACTTTCTTCGACTTCACCTGCTGTTGTATATTCAATCCCATTAACACGAACCCAAAGAAAAACAAATATTTTTCAATATCATTGTTCCGCTAATGACAAGGCCCACCCCATTCCACGTACTCCTATAGGCCAAAATCCACTCTTTATTCAAATTCGTATCTTTGTGTGTATAGGATGATTGTCACTACGGCTGTTTTCTCAAGGCAATTACATTTACCAAAAGAATAGGTCAAAGCCACAGGGGTTTACAGTGCGAAGAGTTATGACTTCAAAAAGCACAAAAGCCACAGCAACTCTTGCCAGCCAACCAATGTAAAACGCAACATCTGAACACTGTATCCTGACAAGATCCTCGCCTAGAATTGCCTTGCAAGTTCTCAATCACCTCGACAAATTATGCCTGCCACGCACAGGCCAATATCGCTTTCCTAAATTAGCAATTAGGTAACAAAAGCTGAAATGCATTTTAGAACTGATAAAAAGGTCTAATGTCTAGCATGTAAATGAGAAGACATGGAATCGATACGAATCTTTTGATGATTGCTTGAGAAAGATAAGCGAAAATTGAAAGCGACGCCAAAAACGACGAGATTTTTGCCAGTCGTGGTCTTAAAATTATACTCAAGAATGTACAATGCATGTCAAGAATTTCTAATATTGTAAGCCTTTGTCTTATAAAGAGCATATTGTGATATGTTTCATATCACTGTGACGGGATGCTAGCGAGACTTTTTGTTCTCAAACGTCGTATTTATAGCAATACACGTCAACATTATAAATTTAGGTAAAGGCCGGCTTGAAAAAGCGAAACCTAATTAAGACGCATAGCGACATCTCGTGGCTTTCACCACAGCGGTTTTGTCAGCGAAGACAAAGCGATAATAGGGGATTGGAACGTTTGGTTATTTGGTGCTAATGGTTTTTTAATGTCCGTTCTCGATTTTTGTTTTGTTTATACAAGGTAGAACTAAAAACAAGCCATAGACGGGTTAGTTTTCATTTGTGCATTAGCCAGCAGAAAGCGTCGAGTTTGTTGTTTGGATAAGCTAGCTTTTCTGTGCCGATAGCAAAACACAAACTTTGTAAACATGGCATGCATGATAAAACACGAACCCACAACTACAAGTTATGGATTACCAGTGCCTATACTTCGTTATCTCTGAACGTGTTTACGACCCGTCTATCACCTCGCGATTCTGACGGATATGGTTGATACGAAATGATGCAAATTTGCGCTTTTGCTGGGCAGGATTTTGCGCGCGTTTCTGGGTGTTGCAAGACAAATGAAAGCCGTGCGTCGACAGATATGTAAACAACGTGTTTTGGCTAAGGCGAAAATAATTAATAAGAAAACAAAATCAGCCTTTGGTTACTCGGTTTCGTTTATGTATCTCACAGTATCTGTCGCGATAAGGAACATCGAGTTCTCGCAAGACAAATTATGACACTAGGAAACGATGCTGTCGATACATGAGATCAGTATGCGTAGGCTACGTAGCAAACTATTCGCTTTCGCCGATAAATGCCTTGCAAGCATTTGTGCTATTCAAAAAAGCACGGTGAACAATCCTCTTGGCTTAAATTCCAAACTAATTATAGCAGCATGCATTCGTGAAAAAAGATATTTCATATTTGTCTACGTGCGTGGTGTTTATAGAAAAACGCCCGTTGCATATAGTCGAGTTCAGACCTTTCCATACGGATGGGAAAGACACGAAAAACCGTGGCAGTTGCCAACACTTAACGAAGTTCACGATCAAGTTGTTTTCGAATTGACAACACAAGTCTTCCCTGAAAACACGATATACAGTGCCAATCTTTCCTAGCCACCCTTGAAGCTGACTAAACATGCGATAACTTTAGCACTACCGTCTCGTACAACCGAATCTGTGAGGGTGTACGGACTTCAATATTGTATTGTGTACAAAACTTAATTTTTAGGTGCATTCAAGCACTGAAATCACACATAGCTCGCACACATAGCTCAGACACTTCCTGTATCACGCAACCTGTATCCAAGGTAAACCGAATTAAGGAGCCAAATTCAACACCGGTCCATGCGTCAAATTTGAGGCAAGGTATTATTTAGCGGTTCGATTTCAGCTGCCGATTAAGGAAGGTATTATTTACAAGTAAAGTACGGCTGAGCAAACCACACGTGTGACGAATTGTCAAGTTTGATCGAGAGAGGCAAAAAAAGTAATTGGATTCGGTTATTCACATCTGACGTAGAACTCTTCAGTTTAAAAATAGTCTTTTGTGCTTCTCTCTCACTAAACGCACTGATACATTAAAACACATGGTCTATTGCCGATAATTTGTCTGTCGAAACCGAAAATTCGCATTTTCTATATATATAGAATAATCTTTCTAGACTTTGACCTGCTCGCCGCATAGAGTGGGCAGTTCTGTCTCGTCTTACGATATTCACATCAATTTCAATAAAGAGTTCTTTGTGCGTCGTAAGAATGACTTACCACACCCCCTGTGCTCTTTTGAGTTTGTTTTTCATGGTAAAATATAAGTGCTTTTTAATCGCAGAAACATAAGCCTCCAAGGGAACGGAACTATGTATCCAGCGTATTCGACCCCGCTTGACAGTCCTTGCGAGTTTGTTGCAAAATTGAAAAAAAACCCCGAATATTCACATTTCTAACAAGCCACCTAGGATCTGCGACGCAGGCGAGCTTTGATAAGATGGAAGTAATGGACACTAGTAATTCGACACACTAGAGATATACACTGGTATTGTTTACCGAAAAATTGTATATGAAATATTCTATGAACGATCACTACTACAGTATCCGGTCATTAGAGCCAGCTATTCACATTAAAACGCTATTTACTCTTGTGAGCTGTCAGCGTCTTAAATTATCCAGCAGAAATAATTAAGCTTCGCCGTTCAAATTCTTCTCGAAACGCCGAAATATTGCAAGTTCATTTGGGCTAACAATGTTCACAGGGAGAAAGGGTACGGGTTCGCCAGCTATCGGAAATAGAAAAGCTGAGACGTGCTAGTTTTGAAAGAATTGAGGGTGAAATCACACAGCATGATAGCGAAGATTTTGCCCAAAGTGGTAATGGATTTCATTGCGTTTTACTTTGCCTGCCGGATAGAGAGGTTAGGCGATGCATGCTAAAACACACAAAACCTTAACACCGACCTAATTATAGAAAATATCAAATTAAAAAGCGTCTTAAAGCACATGAATAAAACAACAACAACTCTGTGAGTCTATCCAGCACCGAAGATTATAACATAAATGACACTATGAAAACCCACTTTCATTCCCTCCAACGACTTCACAGCTGACTAAACCGCGATGAAAATGCATACATCAGCGTGCAAGAAGCGCTTATTTGCCTAAAACAAATCTATCAGCAGTATCAACAAGTATTTCTATGCATGTTCCGGCGGTATTGTTAACATTGTATATTCCTTTACCATCTCATACAATCAGACACGCTGAAGATGTTTTTTCTTTTCAAATTTGATGGTGCTCTTTTATGTACGAACAGTTTGAAGTTAAACGATAACAACGCACGCATTTGAATACTGGGAAAACAAGAGCTGACAAAAGTTATCAGGCCATTATCTTTCGAGCGAGTCCAACTTCAAACTTGTATAAGATTAGAACACAAGACGTTACCATAGGTCAAGAAAAATGCACCCACAGGGGGTTGAGAGGTGATAACTGTCTAAACTGTTGGAAATGTTTTCAACCAACATAACAGGTTCAACTATCCACAAGTTATTTTGGGGTAGAGATGTTGGGTCCTTATAGACAACTTGAAAACCACCACTTCCCTTTCACTCGCTGTCAATTGTCAAACGCATCGAGAGGGGGATCCTTGTTTAAAAACACGTCGTAACAATTTCAAGACGGTATTTCCATCAAAATAAGAGCTTGATTTTCAGTGCTTTAACTTCGGGTGATTAATAAAGAAAGTCGCATTGATCAGTGTTAGAGAGAAAAAACTTATGTCACACTTGATGAGTTAAGTGAGCTTTTTAAGTGCAGACGAAAGTCTACATCTATTTTGAACAAGTATATGAGATAACAGCGACACGAATTTCAGAGCAAGTTTTGTACAGTGTACTTATGCCATGGTCGCATAAACACATATGTTTACTTCATCTAGTTTAATGGCAGCCTGTGTATCAGGCCAGGAATTGCATGACAAGTTTAAATTTCTGAATTTTCCTGACATGCGAAGAATTCTAAGCGTATTTGACATTTGACGTATTTGCATGTTTTAAACAGTGCAGCAATATAGCTACGAGAATAACGTGAGTTTCTCGTGAGTTTTTGTGTAAAAAATGCCCTTCACTTGCGGGCTATACGCAGCATCATCACCAGAAATGGTATCCAACCCTCGTCATATGATCACAAAGAAAAAAGAAGAAAATTTTGAAAGGTTTTCGAAAGTTTGAAACGTATCTCTTTATACACAAGTATCGTTTTCCTTTAGGCGTCTAAGTGCACTGCACGCAATCAGTCTGGGCTTTCATTGGTGTGAGGGTGTAAGATATCTCGCGATAGTCATGTGTCTGTCAAAGGACACTCCTGTGATGAATCATGAATCAGCCTCGATTTTTGAAACGAATGCGGAAGTATGTATATGATTGATGATTCTAACTCGATTGTTGGGGAGTTACAGGAAGATAAGGTCTTGCCACACACGAGGAATTCCAAATTTTACCTGGAATCAAGATATCTTGTTAAACTTCCTTCATCCAAAAAATCGTCCGCTTCCAAACACAATAATGTAGGAATACACACATACAGTACGAGCCCTGCACGAGCGGTATTTTAATCCATCGCCCTAAAAGACTAACAGAGAAACATTCAATAGACTGAGGCCTCCATGTCTATGCCTTAGAAAAGACCTGATATGATATATAGATGCCGATGAAGATTTCGGTGTTAACTGTTGATATACAGATGCCGATGAAGATTTTGGTGTTTAACTGTTAAGAATACTGAAATTAGTACAAAGCCCGTCAAAGGTGTTTGATGTTACAACAAGGAAACCTTTTAAAACCTTTTCGTCGAAGCCCTTTCGGATTATTGCAAGATATGAGAGTGCCAGTGTTTGTTGAAAGTATTTCTGACTGGAGATGTTAAGAAGTTGTGTGCGATGCCATAGCATTAATTAGCGCTGTGCTTAAATTCCTACACAAATGGTGATTTTTACTTTTCTAAAATTGTCCCTAGTTTGGTGTAACCTTGGTTAAACCATGTTCAACATGATCAAACCATGATTAAACTATAATTAAACCATGAATGAAGCAATATGATTAAACCAATACGATTAAACCAATATGATTAAACCATGATTAAACCCTGCCTAAACCATTTTAAACCATGATTAAACCATGAATAAATCATGATTAAATCAGGACTAAACCATGACTAAACCATAACTAAGCCATGATTAAACCATGATTAAACCTTGACTAAACCATGATTAAACCATGATTAAACCGTGATTAAACCTTAATTACAAAGTTGAGGTCTGATTACCCCTGGTGGCAAGTTCTAAAACAATTTAGCATGCTTCACTGAAATCCAGCCAACATCATAATATGAAAAAAGGAAAAGTATTTTACCTTCTACCTTTGTACTCAGTTGTTTTCAGATGCAGTTTTAAAGCTTTTTTTCGACTTTTCTGGTGTTTTTCCTTATTCTATGTTCAGCTTTATCCACAGACTCTGAGAGCTGGTCCAAACTGAAAGAAAAGATATAATTAAAGGAATATTGAATAGAGGATTGTGGTCAATATTGAATAAGGAAGAAGGTATACCATCTGGAGATAATTGGAATGGGGTACTGTAATCTGGAATAATGACAGTGAGTCAAAGGCAGTTCACTCACCATTCAACTTGTCGTGTCATCTCCTGATTGATACCAACCGCCAATGATTTCAAGTTTCCAACAATATCACCAACTGCTTCGAGATCTTCATCACCAACTTGTTGTTTATGATCATTATCAAATACAAGCGTATCAACCTTGGGCATCTCTGAAACTTTGATAACTTTCTTGGTGTCGGAAATCTCGTCATAGTTGAACTTATGGCCGTGTTCTGATTGAAGTGCCTTAAGCACGTAGACAACTTGGGCAGAAGATATATCAACCATCACATCGACTTCCCCGATGGCCGAACGAAGCAACACAATATTCCAAGGTGTATTCACAATGATACTTGTCAAATTGTTCAATAGTATAGAAACATCTGCAACACGTTTTATATTCAAAACAGTGAGCTGTCCCTCTGTGAAAACTAACGAACCAGGAAAGTAACATTCCTTTGTATGTTTCCTGTACAAAACTGGATATTCCTTTTTCATTTTAATTTCAAAGAAGTCTTCAGGTTTCATGTCCCATTTTGTGAACCATCTATCCAAGCCATTTATGAGCGTTTCTGTCACATTCAAATCTTTGTGCATTCTGTTCATTGTTCGAGCTGATCTATCCAGCTGTTCTCCCTGGTTTCCCAGTGAGTTTGATGCATCGATCAAGGTCTTTTCTGAATCATACAACATTTCAAATATCTGCTTTCGGTCAGCATGTCCTGCTCCTGAGGTCCCATCATGACCTCTGCCTTGTAGTTCATTCTCACCTCTGAAATGTTAATTCATTGCAATGAGTTATTAAACCGCAAAGATTCTTGAAATATCGATGGAGTAATTGGAGTGATGAGACAATTTCAAAAACAGGAAAAGTGCTGTGTGTTACACATAGAATACAAACACCATGCAACTTTTGCTGGCACTATACTTTTATTGGTGCATGTCCTCTATTTATATGTTATCTATATAAGGTGGTCTTATATATGTAAATATCTTATCTTACCTGCCAAGCCTTAAGGTATCTAATCTTATCTCCAAAAAAACATCAACATCCTGTCTGCCACATTTCCTGTGGCTTGAGGTTGTCAGATTAATAGGTTCTCTTTAATAACATACCCCAGGAATCGCCACCCAGTGGTCACATTATCAAACAAGTTAGTATTCATAGGCAAATGATGCATGTAGTGGGGAGAGGGAGATGCACCCCACATCCCACCTAGATTTGGCAGAATTGGTGGTAGGTCAAGACTCTCACTTAACTTTTGCTGAAATAAAACTTTCACCTCAGAATGTTGACTACTTGACTTCTGTGAGTCTACATTTTGGTGATTTTGCAGATCCTAGCTTCAACGGCCATACCTGATCGGCTGATCGGCCTGATCCTAGCTCCTGTCTGACACCCCTCAAATTTGTTAACCCGTACACCTATGATAATATTTTATTCTGTCTACTACCAGACTAGTTGTCATATTTTTGTAACAAGTGTACATGAAACATCTTACCTTGGTCCCAGGCTAAGCAGACGTTGCTTCCAAAAATGCTCTAAAAAATAGTACGTTTCCTCTCTGTTGGCTAGAGACGAGAACCACAGAGGCTTCTCCTCATTCACATTTACAACAACAGCTTTATATATGAGCGAAACAAGTCGTCTTTGAAAACCAGTCACACGCCGTAAATCTGCAGTCACATTTGGCCCAGAATTAGGTTCAGAGTTGGTCTCAGAAAAACAAATAAATTTCGAAGACAGGCTTAATTTTCCGTCCTTCCAAGTTCTGCTTTCCCAACAGTAATACGACGCTTCCCATTCCTGTATCACATAGTACTCCATTCAGCAGAGAAAAAGGAAAACGACGGGTTATTTTGGAGAAAAGTGAAAAAAATATTAAAAATTATAGAAAATTTTTTAAAATTGAAACTTCATTTAAAAGCGAGCCTGCACTAATTTGTGCAGGGGTTTTATGAAACATGGTATTGGTACATCATGTAAAATGAATCAGGTTGTCTGAACAATTGTATTGGCTTGAAATACTATAGTGTTTAAAAAAATACATGTTTTTATAATATTTTAAAATCTAAATTAATGTACATGGAATTCATACACTGTATGCAACTATAAATAATAGTATAAATACAAGAAAATTGTACACACAGGGTTTTATGAGACAAAAAAATATATCTTAAAGTTCATCTAACTGGGTCTATATAGGTTTCTATAGTATTAGTGAACTGTAATAAAATATTTTATTACAGTTCACTGTATAGTATAGCCTCTACTGTAGTTTTGTTATAGTAAGTCTATTTTTTCCCGTAGATGACAAATATGTCATTTTACGAACAAGATCTTCAGACATATTGTATGTAGCTTGTGGTTGATCTATTTTCTGACTTCATCGTAACATCATCTGCGGAAAAAAGCAGTAATATTTCATCAGCTGCCATTGTGTAATACATACAAGAGTTTCTTTTTTAGAATTAAACAGCATTGTCTGCCCTGCTGAAGATACACACTATACAGAAGAAGAAAGAAAGAACATACGGTTTGCGATTGGGTCAAAGGATTCAGGCAATGTTCCAGCGAATTCTACAAGGTCATGAGAGATTCTAGGTTCATCAACACCATACCTTGAAAAAAATTGTATTTTACAAAAAGAAAACTTGCTGAAAGTGTTTCTAAACACAGAAATGTGTTACCAAAATATTATCCAGTCTCCATTTGTCCAGCTTCCATCTGCCCTGATGAAATACCTAGATGATTATGAAAGCAAAACTATATTAACCCGTAGAATTTTACGGCCGAAAAACTGCAGGTTGGGAAGGAAAGGCCTTTTGTAATCTTCTCACCAGGGATTGATCCTGTTTGTCGCACGAGAACGCCAGAACAAACTTGAAAAATCTTGAGTTAAATGGTTCCATAGATCATCACTTGTTTCCTTGACCCTAGTGTATCAAGAAAAACTGAGTTGCTTTGGACACACAATATTGTATGCATGTGTTTATTCTATGTGTTTATTCTTCAGGAGAGTGATCCGTAAGAGAGACATTTCTTACCTGACATGCGGATGATATCACAAATTTATCCAGATATGGTATTTCACTTTTTTCTCTGTCATGAATAACAATAGCAGCCGCAGTGTAACTACACAAAACATAATGAATTGTCCATCAACTAGAATATCAATTATACTCTAACTAATACTGCACCCAATAACTACACACAGCTTAAACAGAACTGAACACAGCTGTCATACTTTTCTGATATATAAACACTCTGTAAATACTCTTGCACAACTGTCATATATTCTGGTTTCAGAGGCTTTTTGAAGGACCTACAATTAAGAAGTATTCACAACACAAATCACATGAGAACAACTGAGAACAAAAATCTGACAGTTTTGTGGGTGGTTTGGCATACTATGCTGAGAGATATGAGCTTACTGAGTTAAGAGTTTCGTCAGTCTTGGGACATTAACTTCCTCCAACGACTTGTACCGATGGATTGCTTCAGTTTTCTGTATCATAGTGCCACAACCTTAAAGGAAAATTTTAACTGTGTCATACGTGGTTCCTCTCACACAAAATGGAAATATAGTACTGTTCCAAAGGTGTTCCTTTTTTGCTTCTATATCCCATGAAAACAATAAGGACTGACAATTCAAACCATGAAATAGAACCCATGGTGATGGGATCCAAACCATATACATATTCAAAGAGGATAATCCAAACCTTGATGACTAAAAAGTTCTTTAATAATGTTTACTGGACTTGTTATCACCGCTGTTGAGTTGCTTGACAGATCTTTGAGAAGGGAAGCAATTTCATCAATCTAGGGCATAATAAATTTCAGTTGTAATAAATAGATATCAATAATTACAACTTGAGATTGGGCTGCATTGTGGTGTAGAGATTATGATTTAAAGCCCATGAAAAGAAAGCGTAACAGGATGTCTTGGAAGATTAAACTTAAAAAGGAAGAGGCCATTGTTTTACGCCACTCAGAGTGGTATAAACCAGTAAGATTAATTAATGTCTTTACCTGGTTTTTTATGTCAGTTGTACACCATGATTCTTGTGAAATGTTTTGAATATCTCCTGGGATTCTTATATGAGAAATAACCTTAAAATGTATAGAGAACGATGGCAATATTTTAACAACATACTGGTGAACAGACAGAGCTGAAAACATCATTTAGGGCCTGTTTATATGATCTAGCCGGGACGGGACAGTTTCCGAGATCCCGCTTGTAATAAAACACTAATTAGTGTTTATATGACCACTTTTCCATCCCGCACTTCTTGCCGGAATCCCGCTTAGACGGGACCAGAAATTGCCATATAAACACTCCATCCCGCTTGGCCAAGATGATTTGCGATAAACATACATTAGGAGCATGTGTATATATTGGCATATTCGATTTCTACAATAAAACATGCCGTCGAAGGAACCTGCACTACAAAATTTACTCCATATAAACACGCCATCCCGCCTAGGCGAGTTTCCCGGCTAAGCGGGATGAAAACATCCCGTCCCGGCTAGACGGGATCATATAAACAGGCCCTTAATGGTGTCACAAAGGAAATGTGCTTACTTTTCCATGTTCATCAAACAGGCCACCAGTTTCATTTAGGAAAATCACTTTCATAGGCTTAAGAACCTCTGATAGTTTTATGGCAACATGTCGAGAACATATTGGTGTGAGTCGACCTGTTCTCCGTTCAATGGATACAGAGGTTAGCAATGGTACACGACCCGACCTACAAATATCACATTTAAATACATCTTATTAGCCTGGTTGGCAGAATTTCTTTGATACCTGGGTACCTTAGGACCATACATTCATACCTTAAATCACTTGGATAGAAAGTACATATATGTATACTGTGGTATAAGAATTGTCAGGAGCTATACATACCTAAATGTCCATGTAATTGGATCTGCATTTACATGATCTATGACAGGTTGCAATCTGGAAAACAATTGAAAAAATTACAGTTAAAACTCAGATCTATGTAAGCAAACCTTTGAATAATGGTGTCTGGTACAAAAGTTACCTTGAGCGAGACTTCTGGCTCTGGAGAATGCCACTTGCTCCGCAAAATGCCCGCGTGTCTGCATGACAGAACTTTTCAAGGCAGTCGACCAGTTGCATTTCCTGCTGTTGAAGCTGCTGTGCCAGGTGAAATAACTTCTCATCATTGCAAGAGTCTTGATCTGGGCCATACACTAGGACAGTTGGCATACCATTTCGATTGAGAAACGAAAGAGAGGAACACAAAATCTTCACCTAGAAAATATCATTAGAAGTTATAGAGAACTGCAGGAAAAAATAGTAAAAAACTTAAATCATGCATGAAATATACTTTATTTTCTCTAAATGCCTCAGTGTATTATATTAACATAATATTATATAATATATTACAGTAAATATAGTACACTGATACAATGACCTAAACCTAAGGAATTAGCATTGTTTTCTGGCTGCTTGTGTAGAAACAGATAAATGTACAAACATACTGCCTCGTTACTGTGAAGAATAGAAGATCCAGCTTGCAACACAGCAAATGGATGCTTAGGGTCATTCGCCTGGTATTGGAATTGTCTTAACCAAAATCTTGCCTCCTTCGGATCACTTCCAACCTAGACGGATATTTTTTGAAAACAGGCAGCCCAGTGAATACAAAAGGGCAACCTAATGAATATCTCAGAGTCAGAGAGCTACTCAATAAAACAGCGCGCGGGCAACTGAGACCAATTCATTAATTCAAATATAGATAGATTAGACGATAGGACCTTCTACATAACGAAAACAGCCCATTGATGACTTTCAAAGATGCTGTTTAACTTGCATAATATCAACCTTGTTTAAATGTTAAAAGGTTATGTTTACTGTTTACATTTGAACTTTCGGAATTTGTACATAACGATTATTCATAGTAAACGTAGTAAATGTCTATATATACACGGTGTTTTATTAAATGCCGTGTTAAAAGCTTAATTAAAGGCTTAATTTTCCGTCCTTCCAAGTTCTGCTTTCCCAACAGTAATACGACGCTTCCCATTCCTGTATCACATAGTACTCCATTCAGCAGAGAAAAAGGAAAACGACGGGTTATTTTGGAGAAAAGTGAAAAAAATATTAAAAATTATAGAAAATTTTTTAAAATTGAAACTTCATTTAAAAGCGAGCCTGCACTAATTTGTGCAGGGGTTTTATGAAACATGGTATTGGTACATCATGTAAAATGAATCAGGTTGTCTGAACAATTGTATTGGCTTGAAATACTATAGTGTTTAAAAAAATACATGTTTTTATAATATTTTAAAATCTAAATTAATGTACATGGAATTCATACACTGTATGCAACTATAAATAATAGTATAAATACAAGAAAATTGTACACACAGGGTTTTATGAGACAAAAAAATATCTTAAAGTTCATCTAACTGGGTCTATATAGGTTTCTATAGTATTAGTGAACTGTAATAAAATATTTTATTACAGTTCACTGTATAGTATAGCCTCTACTGTAGTTTTGTTATAGTAAGTCTATTTTTTCCCGTAGATGACAAATATGTCATTTTACGAACAAGATCTTCAGACATATTGTATGTAGCTTGTGGTTGATCTATTTTCTGACTTCATTGTAACATCATCTGCAGAAAAAAGCAGTTATATTTCATCAGCTGCTATTGTGTAATACATACAAGAGTTTCTTTTTTAGAATTAAACAGCATTGTCTGCCCTGCTGAAGATACACACTATACAGAAGAAGAAAGAAAGAACGTACGGTTTGCGATTGGGTCAAAGGATTCAGGCAATGTTCCAGCGAATTCTACAAGATCATGAGAGATTCTAGGTTCATCAACACCATACCTTGAAAAAAATTGTATTTTACAAAAAGAAAACTTGCTGAAAGTGTTTCTAAACACAGAAATGTGTTACCAAAATATTATCCAGTCTCCATTTGTCCAGCTTCCATCTGCCCTGATGAAATACCTAGATGATTATGAAAGCAAAACTATATTAACCCGTAGAATTTTACGGCCGAAAAACTGCAGGTTGGGAAGGAAAGGCCTTTTGTAATCTTCTCACCAGGGATTGATCCTGTTTGTCGCACGAGAACGCCAGAACAAACTTGAAAAATCTTGAGTTAAATGGTTCCATAGATCATCACTTGTTCCTTGACCCTAGTGTATCAAGAAAAACTGAGTTGCTTTGGACACACAATATTGTATGCATGTGTTTATTCTATGTGTTTATTCTTCAGGAGAGTGATCCGTAAGAGAGACATTTCTTACCTGACATGCGGATGATATCACAAATTTATCCAGATATGGTATTTCACTTTTTTCTCTGTCATGAATAACAATAGCAGCCGCAGTGTAACTACACAAAACATAATGAATTGTCCATCAACTAGAATATCAATTATACTCTAACTAATACTGCACCCAATAACTACACACAGCTTAAACAGAACTGAACACAGCTGTCATACTTTTCTGATATATAAACACTCTGTAAATACTCTTGCACAACTGTCATATATTCTGGTTTCAGAGGCTTTTTGAAGGACCTACAATTAAGAAGTATTCACAACACAAATCACATGAGAACAACTGAGAACAAAAATCTGACAGTTTTGTGGGTGGTTTGGCATACTATGCTGAGAGATATGAGCTTACTGAGTTAAGAGTTTCGTCAGTCTTGGGACATTAACTTCCTCCAACGACTTGTACCGATGGATTGCTTCAGTTTTCTGTATCATAGTGCCACAACCTTAAAGGAAAATTTTAACTGTGTCATACGTGGTTCCTCTCACACAAAATGGAAATATAGTACTGTTCCAAAGGTGTTCCTTTTTTGCTTCTATATCCCATGAAAACAATAAGGACTGACAATTCAAACCATGAAATAGAACCCATGGTGATGGGATCCAAACCATATACATATTCAAAGAGGATAATCCAAACCTTGATGACTAAAAAGTTCTTTAATAATGTTTACTGGACTTGTTATCACCGCTGTTGAGTTGCTTGACAGATCTTTGAGAAGGGAAGCAATTTCATCAATCTAGGGCATAATAAATTTCAGTTGTAATAAATAGATATCAATAATTACAACTTGAGATTGGGCTGCATTGTGGTGTAAGATTATGATTTAAAGCCCATGAAAAGAAAGCGTAACAGGATGTCTTGGAAGATTAAACTTAAAAAGGAAGAGGCCATTGTTTTACGCCACTCAGAGTGGTATAAACCAGTAAGATTAATTAATGTCTTTACCTGGTTTTTTATGTCAGTTGTACACCATGATTCTTGTGAAATGTTTTGAATATCTCCTGGGATTCTTATATGAGAAATAACCTTAAAATGTATAGAGAACGATGGCAATATTTTAACAACATACTGGTGAACAGACAGAGCTGAAAACATCATTTAGGGCCTGTTTAAATATGATCTAGCCGGGACGGGACAGTTTCCGAGATCCCGCTTGTAATAAAACACTAATTAGTGTTTATATGACCACTTTTCCATCCCGCACTTCTTGCCGGAATCCCGCTTAGACGGGACCAGAAATTGCCATATAAACACTCCATCCCGCTTGGCCAAGATGATTTGCGATAAACATACATTAGGAGCATGTGTATATATTGGCATATTCGATTTCTACAATAAAACATGCCGTCGAAGGAACCTGCACTACAAAATTTACTCCATATAAACACGCCATCCCGCCTAGGCGAGTTTCCCGGCTAAGCGGGATGAAAACATCCCGTCCCGGCTAGACGGGATCATATAAACAGGCCCTTAATGGTGTCACAAAGGTAATGTGCTTACTTTTCCATGTTCATCAAACAGGCCACCAGTTTCATTTAGGAAAATCACTTTCATAGGCTTAAGAACCTCTGATAGTTTTATGGCAACATGTCGAGAACATATTGGTGTGAGCCGACCTGTTCTCCGTTCAATGGATACAGAGGTCAGCAATGGTACACGACCCGACCTACAAATATCACATTTAAATACATCTTATTAGCCTGGTTGGCAGAATTTCTTTGATACTTGGGTACCTTAGGACCATACATTCATACCTTAAATCACTTGGATAGAAAGTACATATATGTATACTGTGGTATAAGAATTGTCAGGAGCTATACATACCTAAATGTCCATGTAATTGGATCTGCATTTACATGATCTATGACAGGTTGCAATCTGGAAAACAATTGAAAAAATTACAGTTAAAACTCAGATCTATGTAAGCAAACCTTTGAATAATGGTGTCTGGTACAAAAGTTACCTTGAGCGAGACTTCTGGCTCTGGAGAATGCCACTTGCTCCGCAAAATGCCCGCGTGTCTGCATGACAGAACTTTTCAAGGCAGTCGACCAGTTGCATTTCCTGCTGTTGAAGCTGCTGTGCCAGGTGAAATAACTTCTCATCATTGCAAGAGTCTTGATCTGGGCCATACACTAGGACAGTTGGCATACCATTTCGATTGAGAAACGAAAGAGAGGAACACAAAATCTTCACCTAGAAAATATCATTAGAAGTTATAGAGAACTGCAGGAAAAATAGTAAAAAAACTTAAATCATGCATGAAATATACTTTATTTTCTCTAAATGCCTCAGTGTATTATATTAACATAATATTATATAATATATTACAGTAAATATAGTACACTGATACAATGACCTAAACCTAAGGAATTAGCATTGTTTTCTGGCTGCTTGTGTAGAAACAGATAAATGTACAAACATACTGCCTCGTTACTGTGAAGAATAGAAGATCCAGCTTGCAACACAGCAAATGGATGCTTAGGGTCATTCGCCTGTATTGGAATTGTCTTAACCAAAATCTTGCCTCCTTCGGATCACTTCCAACCTAGACGGATATTTTTTGAAAACAGGCAGCCCAGTGAATACAAAAGGGCAACCTAATGAATATCTCAGAGTCAGAGAGCTACTCAATAAAACAGCGCGCGGGCAACTGAGACCAATTCATTAATTCAAATATAGATAGATTAGACGATAGGACCTTCTACATAACGAACAGCCCATTGATGACTTTCAAAGATGCTGTTTAACTTGCATAATATCAACCTTGTTTAAATGTTAAAAGGTATGTTTACTGTTTACATTTGAACTTTCGGAATTTGTACATAACGATTATTCATAGTAAACGTAGTAAATGTCTATATATACACGGTGTTTTATAAATGCCGTGTTAAAAGCTTAATTAAAGGCTTATTTTTCCGTCTTCCAAGTTCTGCTTTCCCAACAGTAATACGACGCTTCCCATTCCTGTATCACATAGTACTCCATTCAGCAGAGAAAAGGAAAACGACGGGTTATTTTGGAGAAAGTGAAAAAATATTAAAAATTATAGAAAATTTTTTTAAAATTGAAACTTCATTTAAAAGCGAGCCTGCACTAATTTGTGCAGGGGTTTTATGAAACATGGTATGGTACATTTCATGTAAAATGAATCAGGTTGTCTGAACAATTGTATTGGCTTGAAATACTATAGTGTTAAAAAAATACATGTTTTATAATATTTTAAAATCTAAATTAATGTACATGGAATTCATACCACTGTATGCAACTATAAATAATAGTATAAATACAAAGAAAATTGTACACACAGGGTTTTATGAGACAAAAAAATATCTTAAAGTTCATCTAACTGGTCTATATAGGTTTATATAGTATTAGTGAACTGTGAATAAAATTTTTATTACAGTTCACTGTATAGTATAGCCTCTACTGTAGTTTTGTTTATAGTAAGTCTATTTTTTTCCCGTAGATGACAAATATGATCATTTTACGAACAAGATCTTCAGACAATTGTATGTAGCTTGTGGTTGATCTATTTTCTGACTTCATTGTAACATCATCTGCAGAAAAAAGCAGTTATATTTCATCAGCTGCTATTGTGTAATACATACAAGAGTTTCTTTTTTAGAATTAAACAGCATGTCTGCCCTGCTGAAGATACACACACTATACAGAAGAAGAAGAAAGAACGTACGGTTTGCGATTGGGTCAAAGGATTCAGGCAATGTTCCAGCGAATTCTACAAGATCATGAGAGATTCTAGGTTCATCAACACCATACCTTGAAAAAAATTGTATTTCAAAAAAGAAAACTTGCTGAAAGTGTTCCTAAACACAGAAATGTGTTACCAAAATATTATCCAGTCTCCATTTGTCCAGCTTCCATCTGCCCTGATGAAATACCTAGATGATTATGAACAGCAAAACTATATTAACCCGTAGAATTTTACGGCCGAAAAACTGCAGGTTGGGAGAAAGGCCTTTTGTAATCTTCTCACCAGGGATTGATCCTGTTTGTCGCACGAGAACGCCAGAACAAACTTGAAAAATCTTGAGTTAAATGGTTCCATAGATCATCACTTGTTCCTTGACCCTAGTGTATCAAGAAAAACTGAGTTGCTTTGGACACACAATATTGTATGCATGTGTTTATTCTATGTGTTTATTCTTCAGGAGAGTGATCCGTAAGAGAGACATTTCTTACCTGACATGCGGATGATATCACAAATTTATCCAGATATGGTATTTCACTTTTTTCTCTGTCATGAATAACAATAGCAGCCGCAGTGTAACTACACAAAACATAATGAATTGTCCATCAACTAGAATATCAATTATACTCTAACTAATACTGCACCCAATAACTACACACAGCTTAAAACAGAACTGAACACAGCTGTCATACTTTTCTGATATATAAACACTCTGTAAATACTCTTGCACAACTGTCATATATTCTGGTTTCAGGGCTTTTTGAAGGACCTACAATTAAGAAGTATTCACAACACAAATCACATGAGAACAACTGAGAACAAAAATCTGACAGTTTGTGGGTGGTTTGGCATACTATGCTGAGAGATATGAGCTTACTGAGTTAAGAGTTTCGTCAGTCTTTGGGACATTAACTTCCTCCAACGACTTGTACCGATGGATTGCTTCAGTTTTCTGTATCATAGTGCCACAACCTTAAGGAAAATTTTAACTGTGTCATACGTGGTTCCTCTCACACAAAATGGAAATATAGTACTGTTCCAAAGGTGTTCCTTTTTTGCTTCTATATCCCATGAAAACAATAAGGACTGACAATTCAAACCATGAAATAGAACCCATGGTGATGGATCCAAACCCATATACATATTCAAAGAGGATAATCCAAACCTTGATGACTAAAAGTTCTTTAATAATGTTACTGGACTTGTTACTTCACCGTCTGTTGAGTTTGCTTTGACAGATCTTTTGAGAGGGAAGCAATTTCATCAATCTAGGGCATAATAAATTTCAGTTGTAATAAATAGATATCAATAATTACAACTTGAGATTGGGCTGCATTGTGGTGTAGAGATTATGATTTAAAGCCCATGAAAAGAAAGCGTAACAGGATGTCTTGGAAGATTAAACTTAAAAAGGAAGAGGCCATTGTTTTACGCCACTCAGAGTGGTATAAACCAGTAAGATTAATTAATGTCTTTACCTGGTTTTTTATGTCAGTTGTACACCATGATTCTTGTGAAATGTTTTGAATATCTCCTGGGATTCTTATATGAGAAATAACCTTAAAATGTATAGAGAACGATGGCAATATTTTAACAACATACTGGTGAACAGACAGAGCTGAAAACATCATTTAGGGCCTGTTTATATGATCTAGCCGGGACGGGACAGTTTCCGAGATCCCGCTTGTAATAAAACACTAATTAGTGTTTATATGACCACTTTTCCATCCCGCACTTCTTGCCGGAATCCCGCTTAGACGGGACCAGAAATTGCCATATAAACACTCCATCCCGCTTGGCCAAGATGATTGCGATAAACATACATTAGGAGCATGTGTATATATTGGCATATTCGATTTCTACAATAAAACATGCCGTCGAAGGAACCTGCACTACAAATTTACTCCATATAAACACGCCATCCCGCCTAGGCGAGTTTCCCGGCTAAGCGGGATGAAAACATCCCGTCCCGGCTAGACGGGATCATATAAACAGGCCCTTAATGGTGTCACAAAGGTAATGTGCTTACTTTTCCATGTTCATCAAACAGGCCACCAGTTTCATTTAGGAAAATCACTTTCATAGGCTTAAGAACCTCTGATAGTTTTATGGCAACATGTCGAGAACATATTGGTGTGAGCCGACCTGTTCTCCGTTCAATGGATACAGAGGTCAGCAATGGTACACGACCCGACCTACAAATATCACATTTAAATACATCTTATTAGCCTGGTTGGCAGAATTTCTTTGATACCTGGGTACCTTAGGACCATACATTTATACCTTAAATCACTTGGATAGAAAATACATATATGTATACTGTGGTATAAGAATTGTCAGGAGCTATACATACCTAAATGTCCATGTAATTGGATCTGCATTTACATGATCTATGACAGGTTGCAATCTGGAAAACAATTGAAAAAATCACAGTTAAAACTCAGATCTATGTAAGCAAACATTTGAATAATGGTGTCTAGTACAAAAGTTACCTTGAGTGAGACTTCTGGCTCTGGAGAATGCCACTTGCTCCGCAAAATGCCCGCGTGTCCGCATGACAGAACTTTTCAAGGCAGTCGACCAGTTGCATTTCCTGCTGTTGCAGCTGCTGTGCCAGGTGAAATAACTTCTCATTGTTGCAAGAGTCTTGATCTGGGCCATACACTAGGACAGTTGGCATACCATTTCGATTGAGAAACGAAAGAGAGGAACACAAAATCTTCACCTAGAAAATATCATTAGAAGTTATAGAGAACTGCAGGAAAAAATAGTAAAAAACCTTAAATCATGCATGAAATATACTTTATTTTCTCTAAATGCCTCAGTGTATTATATTAACATAATATTATATAATATTACAGTAAATATAGTACACTGATACAATGACCTAACCTAAGGAATTAGCATTGTTTGCTGGCTGCTTGTGTAGAAACACATAAATGTACAAACATACTGCCTCCTTGCTGTGAAGAATAGAAGATCCAGCTTGCAACACAGCAAATGGATGCTTAGGGTCATTCGCCTGGTATTGGAATTGTCTTAACCAAAATCTTGCCTCCTTCGGATCACTTCCAACCTAGACGGATATTTTTTGAAAACAGGCAGCCCAGTGAATACAAAAGGGCAACCTAATGAATATCTCAGAGTCAGAGAGCTACTCAATAAAACAGCGCGCGGGCAACTGAGACCAATTCATTAATTCAAATATAGATAGATTAGACGATAGGACCTTCTACATAACGAAAACAGCCCATTGATGACTTTCAAAGATGCTGTTTAACTTGCATAATATCAACCTTGTTTAAATGTTAAAAGGTTATGTTTACTGTTTACATTTGAACTTTCGGAATTTGTACATAACGATTATTCATAGTAAACGTAGTAAATGTCTATATATACACGGTGTTTTATTAAAAGCACAACACAACATCATTATAATGCATAAAACCGGCTTTGTTTACAACATACCTCTTCTAAGAATCGCCTCAAATCAGTTGGAAGCGCCGTATTTAGGGCAAACGTGGCAGAAGCTGTCGTAAAACGACAACATGACAACGTTTTCACGCTTCGTCTACACAATTTGTCCATGATGATATCAATTGATGTCGATTTTCACGACAAACAAGCACAATATTTGGCGACATAAGGGAAAAAGAATCTTTGATAAAACGAAAAATATTTGCTCAAAAAGACTCCAAAGCAAGAAACGTATAAAATAAACTTTGCCACGTGCGCCCACGATATTGCTGTGCGGTGTTGGTGTTGGAGGTTACGGTAGTTACTTTATGTGACCCCTATTATAATGTATCACATATTATTGTGTATCACATACCTTAGTCCTCCTTAGCCCTCCTTAGCTCTCCTTAGGTCTCCTTAGCCCTCCTTAAACATCCTTAGCCCTCCTTAGACCACCTTAGCCCTCCTTAGCCCTCCTTAGCCCTCCTTAGCCCTCCTTACACCACCTTAGCCCTCCTTTGACATCCTTAGCGCTCCTTTGACATCCTTAGCCCTCCTTAGGCCTCCTTAGCCCTCCTTAGCCATCCTTAGCCCTCCTTAGCCCTCCTTAGGCCTCCTTAGGCCTCCTTAGCCCTCCTTAGACATCCTTAGCCCTCCTTAGGCCTCCTTAGCCCTCCTTAGCTCTCCTTAGCCCTCCTTAGCCCTCCTTAGCCTTCCTTTGGCCTCCTTAGACCTCCTTAGCGCTCCTTAGACCGCCATAGACCTCCTTAGACATCCTTAGCCCTCCTTAACCCTCCTTAACCCTCCTTAGGCCTCCTTAGCCCTCCTTAGACCACCTTAGCCCTCCTTAGCCCTCCTTAGCCCTCCTTAGCCCTCCTTAGCCCTCCTTAGACCACCTTAGCCCTCCTTTGACATCCTTAGCCCTCCTTAGCCCTCCTTAGACATCCTTAGCCCTCCTTAGCCTCCTTAGCCCTCCCTAGACATCCTTAGCCCTCCTTAGACATCCTTAGCCCTCCTTAGCCCTCCTTAGGCCTCCTTAGCCCTCCTTAGGCCTCCTTAGCCCTCCTTACACCACCTTAGCCCTCCTTTGACATCCTTAGCGCTCCTTTGACATCCTTAGCCCTCCTTAGGCCTCCTTAGCCCTCCTTAGCCCTCCTTAGCCATCCTTAGCCCTCCTTAGCCCTCCTTAGCCCTCCTTAGCCATCCTTAGCCCCCCTTAGCCCTCCTTAGCCCTCCTTAGCCCTCCTTAGCCCACCTTAGACTTCCTTAGCCCTCCTTAGCCCTCCTTAGGCCTCCTTAGCCCTCCTTAGACATCCTTAGCCCTCCTTAGGCCTCCTTAGACCTCCTTGGCCCTCCTTAGACCGCCTTAGCCCTCCTTAGGCCTCCTTAGCCCTCCTTAGACCACCTTAGCCCTCCTTTGACATCCTTAGCCCTCCTTAGCCCTCCTTAACCCTCCTTAACCCTCCTTAGGCCTCCTTAGCCCTCCTTAGACCACCTTAGCCCTCCTTAGCCCTCCTTAGCCCTCCTTAGCCCTCCTTAGACCACCTTAGCCCTCCTTTGACATCCTTAGCCCTCCTTAGCCCTCCTTAGACATCCTTAGCCCTCCTTAGCCCTCCTTAGCCCTCCTTAGCCCTCCCTAGACATCCTTAGCCCTCCTTAGACATCCTTAGCCCTCCTTAGCCCTCCTTAGCCCTCCTTAGGCCTCCTTAGCCCTCCTTAGGCCTCCTTAGCCCTCCTTACACCACCTTAGCCCTCCTTTGACATCCTTAGCGCTCCTTTGACATCCTTAGCCCTCCTTAGGCCTCCTTAGCCCTCCTTAGCCCTCCTTAGCCATCCTTAGCCCTCCGTAGCCCTCCTTAGCCCTCCTTAGCCCTCCTTAGCCCTCCTTAGACCACCTTAGCCCTTCTTAGCCCTCCTTAGCCCTCCTTTGCCCACCTTAGACTTCCTTAGCCCTCCTTAGCCCTCCTTAGGCCTCCTTAGCCCTCCTTAGACATCCTTAGCCCTCCTTAGGCCTCCTTAGCCCTCCTTAGACCTCCTTGGCCCTCCTTAGACCGCCTTAGCCCTCCTTAGGCCTCCTTAGCCCTCCTTAGACCACCTTAGCCCTCCTTTGACATCCTTAGCCCTCCTTAACCCTCCTTAACCCTCCTTAGGCCTCCTTAGCCCTCCTTAGACCACCTTAGCCCTCCTTAGCCCTCCTTAGCCCTCCTTAGACCACCTTAGCCCTCCTTTGACATCCTTAGCCCTCCTTAGACATCCTTAGCCCTCCCTAGACATCCTTAGCCCTCCTTAGACATCCTTAGCCCTCCTTAGCCCTCCTTAGGCCTCCTTAGCCCTCCTTAGGCCTCCTTAGCCCTCCTTACACCACCTTAGCCCTCCTTTGACATCCTTAGCGCTCCTTTGACATCCTTAGCCCTCCTTAGGCCTCCTTAGCCCTCCTTAGCCCTCCTTAGCCATCCTAAGCCCTCCGTAGCCCTCCTTAGCCCTCCTTAGCCATCCTTAGCCCTCCTTAGACCACCTTAGCCCTCCTTAGCCCTCCTTAGCCCTCCTTAGCCCTCCTTAGACCACCTTAGCCCTCCTTTGACATCCTTAGCCCTCCTTAGCCCTCCTTAGACATCCTTAGACATCCTTAGCCCTCCTTAGCCCTCCTTAGCCCTCCCTAGACATCCTTAGCCCTCCTTAGACATCCTTAGCCCTCCTTAGCCCTCCTTAGCCCTCCTTAGGCCTCCTTAGCCCTCCTTAGGCCTCCTTAGCCCTCCTTACACCACCTTAGCCCTCCTTTGACATCCTTAGCGCTCCTTTGACATCCTTAGCCCTCCTTAGGCCTCCTTAGCCCTCCTTAGGCCTCCTTAGCCCTCCTTACACCACCTTAGCCCTCCTTTGACATCCTTAGCGCTCCTTTGACATCCTTAGCCCTCCTTAGGCCTCCTTAGCCCTCCTTAGGCCTCCTTAGCCCTCCTTAGACCACCTTAGCCCTCCTTAGCCCTTTAGCCCTCCTTAGGCCTCCTTAGGCCTCCTTAGCCCTCCTTAGGCCTCCTTAGACATCCTTAGCTCTCCTTAGCCCTCCTTAGCCCTCCTTAGCCTTCCTTTGGCCTCCTTAGACCTCCTTAGACCGCCATAGACCTCCTTAGACATCCTTAGCCCTCCTTAGGCCTCCTTAGCCCTCCTTAGCCCTCCTTAGCTCTCCTTAGCCCTCCTTAGACCACCTTAGCCCTCCTTAGCCCTCCTTAGCCCTCCTTAGCTTACCTTAGACCTCCTCAGCCCACCTTAGACCTCCTTAGCCCTCCTTAGCCTACCTTAGACCTCCTTAAAGTGCCTATATCACTTGTGGGATCTTTACGGATTTGAATAGAGCTTGAAAAATTAGTTTATAACTTCTACAACCCTTTTTGATATGATTGAATAGTTTCGAAAATACGTCGGTTGGGGGGACTGGGACTCAGGAATGATTTGCAAACACGCCGTCTTTTATAATGTAAACATGAAGAGTTTCACTGGCGATGTAGTTTGCGCTTTTCAAGAAAAAAATGCGGGAACGGTGCGTTGTGTATGGCTGTAGCAACTGGGCGAGTTTTTCTCAAAATGTTTTACGTTATTGGAAGATCGAAGTAAAATTACAAGAACTCGGTTCCTGAGTCTCAGACCCCCGAGCACGACGGAAATTTAGGCAAATCGTCATGTTTGGATGTAAATATTTTCGAAACTATTTAATTATATCAAAGAGGGTTGTAGAACTTATCATCTAATTTTTCAAGCTTTATTCAAATCCGTAAAGATCCCACAAGTGATATAGGCACTTTAAAAGGTATGATGTATTTCCCGTGTAATGTGATATATTTTTGGAAAGAAATAAGAAGATGTATAGACGGCTAAGGAGGTCTAAGGTGGGTTAAGGAGGTCTAAGGTAGGCTAAGGCGGTCTAAGGAGGGCTAAGGAGGGCTAAGGAAGTCTAAGGTGGGCTAAGGAGGGCTAAGGCGGTCTAAGGAGGGCTAAGGAGGTATAAGGAGGTCTAAGGAGGGCTAAGGAGGTCTAAGGTGGGCTGAGGAGGTTTAAGGTAAGCTAAGGAGGGCTAAGGATGTCTAAGGAGGACTAAGGATGTCTAAGGAGGGTTAAGGAGGCCTAAGGAGGGCTAAGGTGGTCTAAAGAGGGCTAAGGAGGGCTAAGGAGGGCTAAGGATGTCTAAAGAGGGCTAAGAAGGGCTAAGGCGCTCTAAGGAGGTCTAAGGAGGCCAAAGGAGGGCTAAGGAGGGTAAGGAGGCCTAAGGAGGCCTAAGGAGGGCTAAGGAGAGCTAAGGATGTCTAAGGAGGGCTAAGGAGGGTAAGGAGGCCTAAGGAGGCCTAAGGAGGGCTAAGGAGAGCTAAGGATGTCTAAGGATGTCTAAGGAGGGCTAAGGAGGGCTAAGGAGGCCTAAGGAGGGCTAAGGAGGGCTAAGGAGAGCTAAGGAGGGCTAAGGAGGGCTAAGGAGGCCTAAGGATGTCTAAGGAGGGCTAAGGAGGGCTAAGGAGGCCTAAGGAGGGCTAAGGAGAGCTAACGAGGGCTAAGGAGGGCTAAGGATGTCTAAGGAGGGCTAAGGAGGCCTAAGGAGGGCTAAGGAGGGTTAAGGAGGGCTAAGGATGTCAAAGGAGGGCTAAGGTGGTCTAAGGAGGGCTAAGGAGGCCTAAGGAGGGCTAAGGATGTCTAGGGAGGGCTAAGGAGGGCTAAGGATGTCTAAGGAGGGCTAAGGAGGGCTAAGGATGTCAAAGGAGGGCTAAGGTGGTCTAAGGAGGGCTAAGGAGGGCTAAGGAGGGCTAAGGAGGTCTAAGGAGGGCTAAGGAGGCCTAAGGAGGGTTAAGGAGGGCTAAGGATGTCAAAGGAGGGCTAAGGTGGTCTAAGGAGGGCTAAGGAGGCCTAAGGAGGGCTAAGGCGGTCTAAGGAGGGCCAAGGAGGTCTAAGGTGGGCTAAGGAGGCCTAAGGAGGGCTAAGGATGTCTAAGGAGGGCTAAGGAGGGCTAAGGAGGCCTAAGGAGGGCTAAGGAGGGCTAAGGAAGTCTAAGGTGGGCTAAGGAGGGCTAAGGCGGTCTAAGGAGGGCTAAGGAGGCCTAAGGAGGGCTAAGGAGGGCTAAGGAAGTCTAAGGTGGGCTAAGGAGGGCTAAGGCGGTCTAAGGAGGGCTAAGGAGGCCTAAGGAGGGCTAAGGATGTCAAAGGAGCGCTAAGGATGTCAAAGGAGGTTTGGTGTAAAAAGGGAGGGCTGAGGGCTAGGGAGGGCTAAGGAGGGCTAAGGTGGTCTAAGGAGGGCTAAGGAGGGCTAAGGAGGGCTAAGGATGTTTAAGGAGGGCTAAGGATGGCTAAGGATGTCTAAGGAGGGCTAAGGAGGGCTAAGGAGGGCTAAGGATGTCTAAGGAGGGCTAAGGAGGGCTAAGGAGGCCTAAGGAGGGCTAAGGATTGTTGAGGGAGACTGAGGAGGACTAAGGTATGTGATACACTATAATATGTGATACATTATAATAGGGGTCACATAAAGTAACTACCGAGGTTACTTTAAATGACCCCTCTTGAAATGTATCACGTTTCTTAGCTCCACGTCACCATATCACAGTACCATATGCTCTCATAGTAACCATGCTGCCTTCCAAAGGGCTCCAGAGCCCAGAATATCCCAACACAACATGAAATATGGCATACTCGACCATGGTCGAGAAACAAGCTAGAAACTTTACATAGGACAAGCATTTGACCATTAAAACAGCGTGGTTATCCATATCAAAATATTTGGCATCATAACCAAAGCCCCGTTTACACTACAGTCAATTTATCGGCACGGCACGGCTAAAATGGGTACCCGTGCGGCCGTGCCCAATTTCACTAGTGTTCAGGCTACCAAAACAAAGGCCGGGCGCGGATGAAATGGGCACGGGTACCCATTTTAGCCGTGTCGTGCCAATAAATCGAATGTAGTGTAAACGGGGCTTAAATCATGGTTATATTGTTTAATGTTTGTATATGAGCACGAAACATGCTAGAAAATTTACATAGGACAAGCATTTGACCATTAAAACAGCGTGGTTATCCATATCAAAATATTTGACATCATAACCATAGCATGGTTATATTGTTTAATGTTTGTATATGAGCACGAAACATACTTGCAACTTTACACAGAATTTTCACACACAGCACTTTTAGCACTTTATAAAGGTAAAGTAATAAGAGCAAGCCAACAACCACATGCGCAGGCAGTCTAGGGGTGAGGACAATGGCCTCGCAAGTGAGAAGACGATGGTTCGAATCCCATTACTGTAAAATATTTTTCATTATGACCTTAAACAAAATATTTTGGTAAAGTAATAAGAGCAAGCCAACAACCACAAGCGCTGTCTAGTGGTGAGGACAATGGCCTCGCAATTGTTAATAAGATGGTTCGAATCCTGCATTGGTTATTTTTCATTGCAAAAATATTGACGTGTCACATGTGTCACCAACAACCTAGCTTTCTTTGTTTTGTACTGGTATAGAACGACTGTATTCTGAGATTTGGTTTCAAAATATCATCAATTCAAATATATAGTCTTGTTGGAAGAGCATCGCACTGTTTTCAATATTTCCGGCTTCCTACCAGTGCTTCCCACCCGTAATATGAGCATTAGCATAAAGTGCAGCATTGCTTCCCACGTGCAATTCACAACAACTCCACGTGGTGACAATTTAAAGCTCAAGAAAGTTATTCGAGATCATATAGGTGGCATAAAAATCATATCAGTTTACTGAAACGAAATCAAATTCCTTTCCTTCAACTCTTTCTTGCTGTTTCACAGTTAGCCTGTATACAATCGGACACATCCTGGGGTTGCATCAGCTTTCAATAATTGAATATGCAAAATAAAAAAGCGTTATTATTCCACATAAACAAGCGTGTCTTATTTGGCCTTTTGACACGAACACATCCGTTGGTCTAATATAAGAAATGGTTTCAAAATTGCTGAAGGCCGCTTCGGCCTGGCAAACAACACTACACAAATCGTTTTGGTGGACATCGATGAAATCTAGCAAGTCATTTAGCAGATATTCGACAAAGGTATTTATTAAAATCACTTTCTACTATTGTAGTAGTTGTACATTTGTACAGATATTACGTTTTATAGTGCTGTGCATTTGTAATTGTATAAAAGGTATCGAGTTTTGCTGTTAAAACTATTCAATGAACTATTCATTGTTCACTATTTTCGTATGTACTCGTACAAATCTCAGTAACTCAATAACGTAATCTTATATGTAAACAAAACGGAATTTTGTCGTCTTTTATTTCAAAATCAATTGTTTCCAAGTGACGAGAAATGTACCGCTGTTATTTTAATGTTATTTTAATTGCTTAAGGAAGTGTCAAAGACATCACAATATTGAGGTTACATGCCTTAACTTGTGAAAGTGAAAGTTATTGGAATCTCTCGTATGAGAAGTTCTAAAAGGACCACCTGTTGTTTTCGTAATAACCTGATGCTTTTAGCAATAATTAGAGCTTGTTTTCAAAGTCCCCTGTAGAGTTTAAAAGTCACATTCTTTAGTCAGGTGTGATATGGAAACTCCTGGATATCCCTTTGTATTTGATAATGATGTGGAAGAGTGAATATTAAAGTATTTTTCATTAAAAACTCAGGCACAATCAGCTACATTAGTTCTACAAAATGGCACAACCACAACATCATTACAAGGCTACTCTTTCGGTGAACCCAAGTCGACTTCTGGTGAAGTTGTGTTTAACACTGGACTTGTTGGGTATGTTCCTAAACATTGCTCACCTGATGACCCCCTACTTATATTTATTCTCACATTGAACTTTGTTTATAGCTATCCAGAAGCCCTGACTGACCCAAGTTATCGAGGACAAATTCTAACACTGACTTATCCAATCATTGGGAACTATGGTGTCCCAGACACCCAAGCTGTTGATGAGTATGGACTTTTAAAACATGTGGAATCTGGCAAGATACATGTATGAATATATTTATTAAAGCAAGCACGATCGAGAAGAATCAGTTATTATCTAATTCTTTCAAAATAGGAATGACTGTTGAGGGTTTACGGCAACCTTTTTTGCAAATTGCCTAGGTTTCAGCTCTGTTAGTTCAAGATTACACAGATGGATACAGCCATTGGAATGCTGTCAAATCATTGTCAGAATGGCTGCAAGAAGAGAAGGTATGAAAACTCCTAATTAATATTTCATTATTGCTGTCTTCCAACAAGAAACATTCTCCCTGTAGCTTGCATGGAAACGAGAGCCCTTGCTCTGGAATCAGAGATGTGTAACTTAGATACAAGCTTGGTCCTAATTTGCACAGAATTGAATGCAATTACAACTCCCCAGTTTGGCCTAAAAAAATCACTAAATTCTTCTGATCCTTCATTCTGACAACAAACTTTCTTCCACTACTTGTACGTAATTCAGTTCATGGGAAGAAGTAGATAGATAAATACAGGGTATGCAAAGGGTTGCATATATACACATATGCCAATATTATGTATTAAATTTCTTGTTTAATGAATCTTTAAAGATCCCTGCGTTGTATGGAATTGATACTAGGATGCTGACAAAGATTGTTAGAGACAGTGTAAGTTTTTAATATTATTTCATTCCAACCAATAAGTTACAATCAACAATTCCTCAAATGTTTGTCAATTTCAGTCTCTTCTAATTCATTTTATTTTGTTCTATTTCACTTCATCCTCTCATTCTATTTCATCTTCCTCCTTTTCCTCCATTCCATCCTATCATCTTCTGCTCTCCTTTTTTGTGCTCAAACTCCCTTGCACTTTCTTCGCCTATTCCACGGCATTTAATTCCAATTGGTCACAGTTTATTCCTTTTTTTGAATTGTAGAACACAACTTTGGGTAAAATCGTCTTTGAAGGTGATCCAATTGAATTTGAAGACCCCAATCAACGAAACTTGATGGCGGAAGTCTCAACACAGGTAAAAAGCAGGCTAATATTTCTATTTCTTAATTATTCACTCAAAACGTAGATTGTTATATTTCTTTGTTCGTCTTGTGTTTTCAGACAGTGCAAGTCTTTGGCGAAGGTAATCCACACAAAGTGATTGCTATTGATTGTGGCATCAAACACAATATTATCAGAAATCTTGTTAAGGTTTGTGACCGGAGCATACGTGTACATCTCGTGGTTTATTATCTTAAACTGTGAACTCGAATTCCTGGTTTACCAGAGATTTTTTCTTCAGCGCGGAGCCGAGGTCCATCTTGTGCCATGGGACTATGATTTCACGAATGAAGACTACGATGGATTGTTCATCTCGAACGGACCCGGTGATCCTGCTCTGGCTCGCAAGGCTATTGAGCACACGGCAAAGGTTGGTTACGTGTTAACGTCACTGTATTTTTCCACTGCAGTGTACCAGGCAAAAACTGCTTGTAATAAATGGCAGTCGTGACATTAAATGGCATTCGTGCTCGACTGCTCGTTATATAAATGTTGTTTTGATGTTTCTGTTGTATTTAAACCAGGTTATTGAAGATGGAAACACGCCTGTGTTTGGCATTTGCATGGGAAACCAAATTGCTGGTTTGGCTGCGGGTGCTCAAACCTATAAATTACCATTGGGGAACAGGTGAGGCAGTCGTTTTTACGTTTGAAATGTTGTCGCCATTTATTTAGGCTGTGTCGCGTATTGCATGTGCTTCATAGCTTACTCTTTTATATTACAGAGGTCATAATCAACCCGTAATAAATCTACAAAATGGGCAAGCTTTTATTACATCCCAGAACCATGGATTTGCTCTGGATGAGGATACATTACCAGCAGATTGGGTGCCTTTGTTTAGGAATGCTAATGATCTTACAAATGAGGTAACAGGTCATTTTGAACACTGGATTCTCAAAGCCCTTGCCTTAAATCTCGTACGTGAATCTTTCTCTCTCCACAGGGCATCATGCATACCTCCAAACCTGTGTTTACCGCGCAGTTTCATCCGGAAGCATTTGGGGGGCCAACTGACACTGAGGTAAGCATGGACATTGCTTCAGATAAAACAAACATTGATCCTTTTATGGACTAAATATGAGTTTTACTCCAAGACATACAGTGAAAGAATGTTCTGCAGCAAGTACTTGCTATCTTCTTCTATTTTCTTCTTTCATATAGTTTCTCTTTGATAAGTTCATCAATCTTATTCGTGATCCTAATGCAACGGTCGCCTCAGCATTGAGCCCAGCGCCTAGAAAAGCCGAGCGTCTCAAGGTAAGCTAATCATCTTACGTCAGCATCTTACGTCAGCATCTTACGTCAGCATCTTACGTCAGCATCTTACGTCGGTTGTTACCAAGTTTGAGAAGAGTTCTGGCCATTGAGTTGGTTCCAAAATGATATTTTGTTTCTGTATTCTTACTCAAGGTTTCAAAAGTGCTGGTGTTGGGATCAGGTGGTTTGTCTATTGGTCAGGCCGGAGAGTTTGATTATTCCGGTTCTCAAGCAGTTAAAGCTTTGAAAGTATGAAGTATTAGGTGATCATTTAAATTATTATCGATCTTAGCATTATCACACCAGTTTTGTCATTTTCCTCACAGGAAGAGGGGATCGAAGTTGTTCTAATGAATCCAAACATCGCCTCTGTTCAAACGAACGCCGTGGGTGAAAAACAGGTTTGTCGTTTTCCAGTTGTTAACCACTTCTCTCTTTCAAAAAAGGTGGCAGAACATGAAGATCAAGTTTGTGTTATATTGAGTCTTATTCTTGCTTCATTTTTTAGGCAGATCAAGTTTATTTTGTTCCAATCACCCCGGAATACGTGGAGGATGTGATCAGAAAAGAAAAACCAGACGGAATCTTGCTGTCAATGGGCGGGCAAACTGCTCTCAATTGTGGTAAGTTCGCGCCGTGTTACCTTGAGACTTTGTACGTTGCTTGTACAGCTCAGGTCTTGTCCATTGAAGAGTTTAGTAAACCCGCCGAGTTCTTGTGTTTCCTGTTTTAAGGTGTGGAATTGTGGAAGTCTGGAGTTTTTAGCAAGTATGACGTACAGGTTCTGGGAACAGCAGTTAAGTCTATCATAGCTACCGAAGATCGCCAGATATTTGCTGATCAACTGAAAGAAATTGGCGAGAAAATTGCTCCAAGCTTTGCTGTGAACTCGGTAAGTACGTGAATTTATTAGAGAGGGGAGTGTGTTCTTAAGGAGGTGAATGTATTAGAGAGGGGAGTGTGTTCTTAGAGAGGTGAATGTATTAGAGAGGGGAGTGTGTTCTTAGAGAGGTGAATGTGTTAGAGAGGGGAGTGTGTTCTTAGGGAGGTGAATGTTTTAGAGAGGGGAGTGTGTTCTTAGGGAGGTGAATGTATTAGAGAGGGGAGTGTGTTCTTAGGGAGGTGAATGTATTAGAGAGAGGAGTGTGTTCTTAGGGAGGTGAATGTATTAGAGAGGGAGTGTGTTCTTAGGGAGGTGAATGTATTAGAGAGAGGAGTGTGTTCTTAGGGAGGTGAATGTATTAGAGAGAGGAGTGTGTTCTTAGGGAGGTGAATGTATTAGAGAGAGGAGTGTGTTCTTAGGGAGGTGAATGTATTAGAGGGGAGTGTGTTCTTAGGGAGGTGAATGTATTAGAGAGAGGAGTGTGTTCTTAGGGAGGTGAATGTATTAGAGAGGGGAGTGTGTTCTTAGAGAGGTGAATGTGTTAGAGAGGGGAGTGTGTTCTTAGGGAGGTGAATGTTTTAGAGGGGAGTGTGTTCTTAGGGAGGTGAATGTGTTAGAGAGAGGAGTGTGTTCTTAGGGAGGTGAGTGAATGTATTAGAGAGAGAGTGTGTTCTTAGGGAGGTGAATGTATTAGAGAGGGGAGTGTGTTCTTAGAGAGGTGAATGTGTTAGAGAGGGGAGTGTGTTCTTAGGGAGGTGAATGTGTTAGAGAGAGGAGTGTGTTCTTAGGGAGGTGAGTGAATGTATTAGAGAGAGGAGTGTGTTCTTAGGGAGGTGAATGTATTAGAGAGGGGAGTGTGTTCTTAGAGAGGTGAATGTGTTAGAGAGGGGAGTGTGTTCTTAGGGAGGTGAATGTTTTAGAGAGGGAGTGTTTCTTAGGAGTGTTCTTAGGGAGGTGAGTGAATGTATTAGAGAGAGGAGTGTGTTCTTAGGGAGGTGAATGTATTAGAGAGGGGAGTGTGTTCTTAGGGAGGTGAGTGAATGTATTAGAGAGAGGAGTGTGTTTTTAGGGAGGTGAATGTGTTAGAGAGGGGAGTGTGTTCTTAGGGAGGTGAATGTGTTAGAGAGAGGAGTGTGTTCTTAGGGAGGTGAATGTATTAGAGAGAGGAGTGTTCTTAGGGAGGTGAATGTATTAGAGAGGAGTGTGTTCTTAGGGAGGTGAATGTATTAGAGAGAGGAGTGTGTTCTTAGGGAGGTGAATGTATTAGAGAGGGGAGTGTGTTCTTAGGGAGGTGAATGTATTAGAGAGAGGAGTGTGTTCTTAGGGAGGTGAATGTATTAGAGAGGGGAGTGTGTTCTTAGGGAGGGAAATGTATTAGAGAGGGAGTGTGTTCTTAGGGAGGTGAATGTATTAGAGAGGGAGTGTGTTCTTAGGGAGGTGAATGTTTTAGAGAGGGGAGTGTGTTCTTAGGGAGGTGAATGTGTTAGAGAGGGAAGTGTATTCTTAGAGAGGGAAATGTATTAGAGAGGGGAGTGTGTTCTTAGGGAGGTGAATGTGTTAGAGAGGGAAGTGTATTCTTAGAGAGGGAAATGTATTAGAGAGGGAAGTGTATTCTTAGAGAGGGAAATGTATTAGAGAGAGGAGTGTGTTCTTAGGGAGGTGAATGTATTAGAGAGAGGAGTGTGTTCTTAGGGAGGTGAATGTATTAGAGAGGGGAGTGTGTTCTTAGGGAGGTGAATGTATTAGAGAGAGGAGTGTGTTCTTAGGGAGGTGAATGTGTTAGAGAGGGGAGTGTATTCTTAGAGAGGGAAATGTATTAGAGAGGGAAGTGTATTCTTAGAGAGGGAAATGTATTAGAGAGGGGAGTGTATTCTTAGAGAGGGAAATGTATTAGAGAGGTGTCAAAAGTAGAGCGAGGTTTGTAGAATAACTCTCAGGATTATAGACAGGATTCCATGTTGGTAATGCGTGTAATTAATTCTACTAGTTACCAAGTTGAATTGTATCAAATTTTCTGTTCGTCAGGTTGACGAGGCTATCGAGGCCGCCTCCAAGATTGGGTATCCCGTCATGGTCCGAGCCGCGTATGCTCTCGGTGGACTGGGCTCAGGCTTGTGTGAAAATGAAGAGAAACTGAGACAAACTACTGAAAAGGTTTGAACTATTTCATTGCGAAGGTTGGGAGGGGGGGGGGGGGGTTGTTACAGTAGTCCTACGATCATGGTTGAACCTTGCTGCACCTCAAAGGACACATTTCAAGTCTCGTTGTCTTTCAGGCATTTGCTCTTACAAATCAAGCCCTGATTGAAAAATCTCTGCTCGGTTGGAAGGAAATCGAGTATGAAGTGGTTCGTGATGCCTCGGATAACTGTGTGACAGTTTGCAATATGGAGAATTTTGACCCTCTTGGCGTTCACACTGGTAGGGCATCTTTCATGCCACATATATGTATCTAAGTTTACCTTAGCTCACTAAGTTTGCTGGAGCCGGTTGTATCAAGCCCGTTTAGCTTAAACGGTGGTTAAGCTCAAAACAGAAAGCAAGTCTATCGTTTTATTCAACAAGCAAATTTAAGGTTTTTAACTTTAATACAAAGATGTTGTTTACAACTACATATTCGGTGCATAATATTAAAGTTAACTTATTCAAGAGAGTTGTAAGAGTGTTATTTAATTTTGACTTATCCGCCGTTTAAGCTAAACGGGCTTGATTCAACCGGCCCCTGGTCATGAAAATCAGTTGGAAAACGTGTTGTACGAAATCTTTCGCAAAAATATAACATATTCGGCGATTCATTCAGGTGACTCGATTGTTGTTGCTCCCAGTCAAACTCTGTCGAATGAGGAGTACCATATGCTTCGGGAAACAGCAATAAAGGTAAAATATATCCTCCATGATAACTGCCCTTTCAACGCCGTCTTAGCGCAGGAAAACGCCAGTGAAATACGAAGATAGATATTGACGAATTCAAAGGCAAAAAACCTGACGAACTAAAGCACTTCTGTAGGTTGTTCGTCATTTGGGAATCGTTGGTGAATGTAATATTCAGTACGCCCTTCATCCAACCTCGCTGGATTATTGCATCATCGAAGTGAACGCAAGACTATCGAGAAGTTCAGCGCTTGCTTCCAAAGCTACCGGGTAAGGGAGAGCTTATGTCAATTTGCAGTTAGTTTCACGGCAAGAGCTTCAACGACAACAGCAAAAACAAACAACGCTATCGTTTTTCTTCTAGCTATCCATTGGCTTTCATTGCGGCGAAATTAGCTCTTGGCATTCCATTGCCTGATATCACAAATGCTACCACGGAAAAAACAAGTGCTTGCTTTGAGCCCAGTTTGGATTATATCGTGACGAAGGTAGGGCAGCGATAACTGTCAGTGTAACGATGAACGTGTGGTTATTTTTTCGTCTTTAAACCGACTTTATGTTCATTCATTTTCATGTCAATATAGATTCCTCGATGGGATTTAGATCGTTTCCATCAGACACCGAAAGAAATCGGCAGCGCTATGAAAAGTGTCGGCGAGGTGATGGCAATAGGACGAACATTTGAAGAAAGTTTTCAGAAAGCCATGAGAATGGTTCATCCTGCTGTGGACGGGTTTGTAGCAAAGGTAAGTAAGTCTAACTGGAACATCAAAATGAGCGTGAGTTCATTCATAAAGTTATCCACATTTTGTTCTGAATAATCATTCGCTCATTCAGGTTCCAGTGGCCCATCAAAAAGGATGGAGTGAAGATCTTGAAACTGCTTTGAAAGTTCCTTCGAATACACGAGTCTACACCATCGCAAAGGTTTGGATAAACATCTCCTGCATTGTCAAGTTTCGATGAGGAAACCGCTACCAAATGCAATAATTTTTTCCAGGCTTTACATGATGGTTATACAGTCGATCAAATTCACGAACTCACAAGCATAGACCGATGGTTCCTGCAGAAATTGAAGAAAATTGTTGATATCGACCATAATCTGGCTAATTTGGACTGGTTAGTTTGGAATGCACGTCATAATTTCTCCGTAATATCTGCCAACAGTTTTTGTAACATCGGTGTTCATATCACCTTGAATTTTGCCTGAAATATATCACACCACTTCGCATCTTCTTCTGATCTCTTCATTCCGTAATAATGTCTTTCATCTCTTCTTATTACTTGTCCATATCATCTCAACCTTGCGTCTCTCATCCTCTCTGCAATGTCTACCACCTCACATCTTCATCTCTTCTTATCACATGTCCATATCATCTCAACCTTGCTTCCCTCGTCCTCTCTGCAATGCCTACCACCTCACATCTTCTTCTGATCTCTTCATTTCATAATATCTCTGACCATCTCTCCTTCATCTCTTCTTTTTACATGTCCATATCATCTCAACCTTGCTTCCCTCATCTTCTCTGCAATGTCTACCACCTCACATCTTCTTCTGATCTCTTCATTCCATAATATCTCAGATCATCTCTCCTTCATCTCTTCTTATTACATGTCAATATCATCTCAACCTTGCTTCTCTCATCTTCTCTGCAATGTCTACCACCTCACATCTTCTTCTGATCTCTTCATTCCATAATATCTCTGACCAGCTCTCCTTCATCTCTTCTTATTACATGTCCATATCATCTCAGCCTTGCTTCCCTCATCTTCTCTGCAATATTCATCATGCACCTCACACCTTCTGATCTCGTTTGAAACCTTTGAAAGTCTTCTACGGAAGACTCTGGTCGTAAATATACATATTCCCTCGACTTCAGGAAGAATGTACCGGGCACAATCCTCGCAGAAGCGAAGGAGGCCGGATTCTCAGATCGACAGATCGGAAAAGTGATTGGCGTGCCAGAGAAGGATGTTCGTCAGAAGCGGATTGAAGCCAACATCAAACCTTGGGTAAAACAGGTCAGTCCGCGGAGAATTTATTTATAAGAACATATTTTGCCAGGATAGCTGCATCAGTTATACAACTGCTATCAATGCAGCTGTCTTGATAATCCTGTCTTGGACTGCGGCATATACGAACTTCCAAGTAACAAGACCTGTTCCTTTTTCGATATAGATTGACACAATGGCTGCGGAGTACCCAGCGATGACCAACTATTTATATATGACATACAACGGTCAGGTTAGTGGACCTGCAGCTATTTTAACTTGTCATTGTTATTGCTGTGAAACTCTGCAGAATCGTCGAAAGAAACCCAATGAAACTACTCTTGCCTCCTATTTCAAGCAACAATACATTAAACAAGCTATTTACAATTCAGAAACTACCAACGGACAAGTGCTACCGCAAAAATATTGCCAATAGACAAGTGTTACCGCAATATTTCTTTGTTTTGTAGGAACATGACCTGACATTTGATGAACATGGTATTATGGTTTTGGGTTGTGGACCGTATCATATTGGTAAGCAACGAATATTGTCACAAATACGATACATTTGAATCTTCGACATTACAATTACCTTCAAAAACGTCCTAGGCAGCAGCGTGGAGTTTGACTGGTGTGCTGTGTCAGCGATACGAACTCTGCGCAATTTAGGGAGGAAAACGGTACGATTTTTGAGGTGAAACTAAACTAATAAACATATTAGCCTATCGGCTCTAAACTGTGCTTTTTAGAGTTAAACTGGACTTTTTAGTTAAACTAAACTACTTTATTTATACAGGATAGCTCTATCAGTTCTAAACTGTTCTTCCCAAAGGTCCAATAAAGATAATCTCTTATTGATTCAGTGTTACTACAGGAGGAAACCTAAACTAAACTAACTTTATACTGGAAAGCTCTATCAGTTCTAAACTGTTCTTCTCCGAGGTCCAGTAAGGACCATCTCTTATTGATCCAGTGATACTACGGGAAGAAACCTAAGCTAAACTAACTTTATTTATACTGGATAGCCCCATCAGTTCTAAACTGTTCTTCCTAGAAGTCCAGTAAGGATCATCTCTTATTGATCCAGTGTTACTACAGAAGGAAACCTAAACTAAACTAACTTTATTTACACTGGATATAACTCTATCAGTTCTGAGCTGTCTTTCCTAGAGATCCTAAGGATAATAATCTCTTCTTGATCCATTTTTACTACAATTTAACTTAAATTTATCAGTTCAAAGCCTCATTTCTAGACATGCAATGATGCTAAAGAAGAAGACCTACACTAAAGTAACCTTTTACTTAAGGTTGTTGTGAATCACAACCCAGAGACCGTAAGCACAGACTACGACGAATGTGATCGACTGTACTTTGAAGAACTATCTTTGGAAAGAGTTTTAGACATCTACCAGCAGGAGGTAACCTCCTCGAGGGCTTCTGTTATCGCTTATGACGATTTTAGGATGACAACGTTCGCACTTCTCCTTATTTAGGAATGTGACGGGACAATCATCTCCGTCGGGGGTCAAATTCCTAACAATTTAGCATTGCCACTCCACGAGCAAGGCGTTAAAATATTAGGAACTTCTCCGTTGATGATTGATGCAGCTGAAGAGAGGTTTGTTGTATGTTTTCTTCGACGTCTGTGGTAAGGCATCTTCTTCTGTAAATTTAGCCTAATATCTTGTTATGTTTTTCTGCAGATCTCGTTATTCGCAAATTTTGGATGAAATCGGAATCGAACAGGCACCGTGGAGAGCCTTGTACTCCGTGGTAAGATTCAAACATCACGATAGTTAAATAGTGAAATAAAATTGTGGGATACTAAATTCTCACTTTTATCATTTTCACAGAACGATGCCTTGGATTTTGCGGCAAGCGTTGGCTATCCATGTCTATTGAGACCTTCCTACGTCCTAAGGTGCATAAACATTGAATCTTTCACTTTCATTACTCCCCAAAGTCCCTCTCAAACCCTAAATGTCATGCTTACTGTTCTTTCGTTTATTTCCGCTTAAGTGGTTCGGCGATGAACGTGGCGTACGGTCCCGAAGAACTCCTGAGATATTTGGGTGACGCATCCAGAGTTTCGCAGGTCAGTAATGCTATTCTTATCATTTGGATAAGATTAATAGTTCCCCGGCTACCCCTGCACAGTACAGCGTGGTTTCATGTTCAAATATATTAATATTTTTTGTTAAGGAACACCCAGTTGTGATCACGAAATTTGTAGAAAATGCCAAAGAAATAGAAATGGATGCTGTCGCGAAAAACGGAGAGGTAATAGCTGTGAGATACATTCTCGTCAACAACAACATCAACGACAACAACAACAACAGCAACAGCAGCAACAACAGCAACAACAACAGCAACAACAACAACACTACAGCAGCAACAACTACAACAGAAACAACAACAGCAACAGTCACAGCAACAACAACAACTGCAACAACAACAACAGCAACAACAACAACACAACAGTAGCAACGACTCTTTATAACTCAATTTTCGCATTATAAACCACTATTTCTTCCGCAGGTTGTAGTTTTTGCCATTTCTGAGCACGTTGAAAACGCTGGCGTTCATTCGGGAGACGCTACGTTAGTTTTACCGCCTCAAACTATTAGCGAAGAAACGATAAAACAGGTAATACACTTACAGAGAAAAGGAATTACACTTACTAGATGTCTTAAAAGACAGCATTGCACGCAACGGGTTATCAAACCTGCCTAGAAATACTTCTAATAAAATACTTCTTATATTATCGATTTTTTTTCTACAGGTTAAAGAAGCGACAAGAAAAATTGCTAAAGAGTTTGAAATATCAGGTCCATTCAATACGCAGTTCTTAGCCAAAGATGGAAAAGTTATGGTGAGATGAAATGTCCGTTTTTTAAAAAGAACACGGCTTTCATCATCTAAATGGTTGTTTGCTATCTATCGCACTCAACAGTCAACAAAAACTGTTTAATTTCAGGTTATCGAGACTAATCTCCGTGCGTCAAGATCCTTTCCGTTTGTGTCCAAAACCACGGGAACAGATTTCATTTCTGTTGCAACCAAAGTAATGACGGAATCGCCTTTGGCAGACGGTGAAACACGAGATTTGAATTCGCCTGTTCTACCTCATGGCTACGTCGGTATAAAGGTATTATAGCAAATAGCAATGCTTCCATTTTGACGTAATTTCAACGACAAAGAAACACTGCCTACATCAACAATACCTCCACCATCTTCTCTCGTAGGCGCCAATGTTTTCCTGGCCACGATTACGTGATGCTGACCCTGTTCTTAAATGTGAAATGGCTTCCACTGGAGAGGTAATGACTAATGCGATACGTTGATCTATTTCAACTTAGATTTCCACAGTTATTCCATAATCTTTTTCACAGTTAAACAATGAACATAATGAACATTCATGAACATCATTTAGGTTGCTTGTTTTGGTCCAAACATCCACACAGCCTTTCTAAAAGCTCTGCAATCCACCGGCTTTAAAGTTCCTAAGAAAGCGATTCTTATCGGAATTCAGGTAAAGACCAATGCATGAAGATCCTGTTGTGTGGATGTTTGATTTTTGAGAAGATTTTCGCCCGTTCACTTCACCAAGGATTTCAATTTTTGTCCTTCAAGCATTCGTTTCAACCCGATTTCCTTCCAACCGCCTATCAACTTCATCGTCTCGGATTTGACATCTATGCTACCCAGGCCACGGCCGAGTACCTGAATGCTCACAGAATTCCCGCGAGAACCGCGCAATGGCCACTCAAGGAAGAGGGCCCGGACCCTAGCGCTACAAGGTACTGGCGAATTGACAAGTATGAGAATTGGATTACCCGAAATAAACGTGCACTGTTGTCGTTATCTTTTTCTATTGCTTTATTAATAGACTTATCCAAGAAGGAGTGGTTGATCTTGTCATCAACCTGCCCAACCAAAACACCAAATACACGGAAAACAATTATCTCATACGTAGAACAGCGATTGACTCCGGAGTTCCACTTTTGACAAACTTCCAGGTTAGTACAAAAGCAGTACTAAAATACAGTCCGCTTGCTCCAACGGAGTGAGGAGTCTGGTATCAAACTCGGGTTCTATGCATACTCTGATAGGATGTCGACTTTTCTCCAGCGGGATTGTTACCAATCAGAATGTTCTCGCATATCGTTTCGTTTTTGCGCTTAAGAGTAAAATCCCTAAGAATATCAGACTGAATGTCCTTTGTCGCATGATTTTCCATTTATGGGCTCCGTAATTATCTGAGCATTCTGAACGTCTGCATACGTCATACGGGCAATCTTTTCCAGCATAAAGTATCAGTGTATCACTGGCTTTCGCACTCTCCATATTCTTACCTTCGTCTTCGATCAAAAATATCTACGGGGATTTTCTATTTTTAAGGTTGTTCAACTTTTTGCCGAAGCCATCGCCAAGGCTCCTTACGTTGACTCAGGAAGTCTTAGCCATTATCAAAACCCCTCACAAACAAAAGTATAAAGAAAGAATAACTTCGTATTTCAAAACTAGTAATTTTATCAAACTGTTGGTTTTTAATGGCACAATAGTTTACAGTAGGTAGAGCAAAGTTTTTTTGATAATTTTCTTTATGGAATTTTATCAGCATTTGAAGAATGTATTATATTCTACAACTTTATAACATTCTGGGTTATTCTACACAATATGGCCGCAGTGTTCATTCAAAACACAATTTTGATTTAGCTTCGTATAATGTAGTTAGCATAAACATGGCTTTTTCAATTGAAAAGTATACTCTCTTCAAAATCTCAAGATTATTTATGAGCGACCATTAAGAAACTAATCACTATCGCCTCTATTTAAACTTTTCCTCTTTAGTCTAAAAGTACCTTTCGTTCAAAAGCCCTTCATGAATGCAAAAGGCAACTTTTAAGAATCTTTGCTGACCAGGCAGTGCAGTCAGGTATTTGTAAATACTTCTAAAGCAGGAAATGACCACTCGCAAGTGAAACGATAAAGCCACTTCAAATCCTCAGTTTCAAAATCCTCTTAAAATATGATAAAGTCCTATATGCACAAACATATCTAAAAATAATCGACACCCAGGTTGAAACAGGATGTCTATGGAGTCAAAGCTACAATTGGATATTTTGATCCTCGTGTACCAGAAATCGAGAATATTGCTAGTAACTAGAAGCCCCCATAAATGGTTGCATATAGTATTTGATGGTGTACCCAATTATAGAGATATAATCTATGTCAATTTATTATTTCCTTGCCACTTCAAACTCATAAATCAGTCTGTCTCTCACCGCAACCTTAACTTGTTTTAAAATACTTAGGAATTTTTCCTAAGTATTTACACCCTGGCAACGCTATAGTTACACATTGTGAAATGAACATTTTTTGTACGAATATTTCTGCTCCGAGGAGAATTGAATACAACTTTCTTTATTCCTTGAGCATCAGGAAATGACAAACGAGAGCCACTTCTTATTTTATTGAAAGCTTCAAAAAAAACCTCTTGAAAATGAATAAAGCTTTTGCTAGGATATATAATAAACTTTGAGGCGGAATGGTCTCGTGATCTATTTCCCATGCAAGACTTACACGAAATCATAATTGTCTTACTTCAAAAGTATTTGTATTGCTTTCGAAAGAGAGCTTTAAATCCTAAATAGTTTTTAAATTATCTTGCGGATGTAGTGGGGTTAGTCACCCCGCATGCCAAGCTTAATATGTACCTATTGAAAACTTTGAAGAAGCTTCTTTATTTTCTCTTGTTCTTAATGCTTTTCTTCCCAAAAATATCCCTGGTCGAGATGATTTGGCGTAGAGAGTTTATATTTATAGAAAATTTGCAACGTATAAGATACTCGCAAGTGCTTTAAGAATTAAAGCATTTTTTGAATATCAAGCAGTAACTGGACATTATTAGAAAGGTCACTTACGTACTTTATATAGCTGTCAACAAACCAGATCTTTTTGCTGAATTGAAGTTTTTAAATTGCTGAATATTCACATTCACAAGCATGTATTTAGGCAAAAATGAAATAATTGCTCTCTGCAAGAAATAAACTTTTAAGCAAAATTCTGTGTCCGATGTATGGGTTTCATATTTCCATTAATCTTCTATTTACTGCCAAGGTCGAATTTAACTTTGGGATGTATTTCATTAGCACAACAATCATTACAGAAAGTGTACTAAACTTTTCATGTCCAAAAATATCTCTGCCAAAATAGATTGCATTCCTAAAATAATTTTCTCAGGGCATTAAGGCAGTAGCCCACGATTAATCGTGGACCTTTGTAAAGATCAGTTTTATGTGTATTGTATTGTGATAATCCCGTTTTAAAACATAATATTGTACGATAAAGCTATAGGGCTTAGCAGTACTTCAATGAAATCAAAAGTTGAGTATTTATTGTATTAGACTAGTACTGACCTCGAGCACACTTCACTTGGGAAACTGAGTCGTGGAATTGCCCCAGATTGCTCATTAAGAATTCAAAAAATGACTGACGTCACATGCATGCTGAGGAAAAATGGTGACTAAATTTGGTCACGAAATGCTGAAAATTATTGTGCGTTCAAAAGATACCTTGTGCCAAATATGAATACTTCAATGACTATGTTTTTGATAGGATTACCCAAACGTACTTAATTTAGACGATTTCCCTTGAGAATTAAACACATTTATTTCTCATATCCGTTGAAACAAAGGCGTTTGATTAAAGGCAAACACTAAACACGACCTCCCACAGATCAATTTCAAAGTCGTTTATCCTTCGGGGACGATAATAGCTTCATTTCTAAGAGAACTAACAGATCTTTTTACTGGCTCTCGTCGTAGCAGTTCATATAAAACCAGTTAGCATCTCGCGTCCGGCGTTTTGATAAATATGTCATTGCGCAGACTTTGTGGCATTAGGCCCCTTAAACACCTTTAATGCCAAGTGTTCTTCCTAAGATATATTATCCTGTAAATTATTCGAAGGAAATGGCAATAAAACAATCGGTCTAAACTTTTGAGAAAGTCCAGTACATTCGCACGATTTTCTCTTTACGTATTTTCTACAGTAGTAAACAACAAAAGAACAGAAGTTTCGTTATATATGCAGGTTTATCAGAAAACGCGTGGACTTGCAGGAGCTAAGCCTAAGAGTTTTTAAATACCTTGAAAAAAATAATATGGAATCGCAATAATTAAAAAAAATATAAGCATTATATAAGCCAGGAAGGTATACGATGTGAAATTTGAGCTGTGTTTTGCTACGTGCAAAATTTTGAAATTCATTTTTGAATATGTGTTTCGACTGGTACATTTCAAGCGAAAATAGTGCGTAACGAGATTTAACGAGTGTTTTAGGATTTTACAGTCCCGCGAAGGCATGCAACAACAAGCGGGTGACAGTCATGTTTTATTGTATTCAAGTACAGCTCCAAACGTTTTCAATTGGAGATTATCTTAGTTCAAATTTCTATGGATTATTTCAGTCAAAAACAAACACTTGTTAATTTATCTTTATTTCTAATCCATTTCTTTTAAATTATTTACAAATTTCCTATTTACATTCTGTACACGGTAGATTACTGTTTCTGAAATAAATAATCTAAATAAGACCGAATTTTGCTCCCGTATATAATTGTCTATTTCGATTGAATTATATAAAATTTATGATGGTTTTTTTAACCGATACAGCGTTTGGACGCGAGATTTTGAAACGCTCAAAGGCCAGTGTATCATAAGACGCTGTATCGAGGATACCCGTGATGCTGTGCGGTGGAATAATAGCCATAATTCTGCGCATGCGCGGCTTGTGGCAGAGTCCACATGTAGCTAAGATAGGCATCTCTTTGCATAGGCGTCATAAAGGCCCTTTGTTGAGTCATGGCATTGTAGTTTTCCAAGTTTCTTTGCTGTTTTTTGTACTTGTATCTGTGATTCTGAAACCATATCTTGATTTGTGTTGGAGTCATGTCCAACACTCGTGCCAGCTCCTCGCGTTCTGGCGCCGAAAGGTACCTCTGCCGTCGGAAGGCCTTCTCGAGTTCGTAGACCTGGGCCTGTGTGAATAAAACTCTCCGTTTCTTGTGCAAAGGCGAGGCAAAGTTTCCATTCGATGGTTTCTTCGTATTTTTTTCGTTCTCTGTGACTCTCTCCGACTCAAATTCGTCCGATTCTATGTAGAATAAAAATAAAAAATAAATATAGATGGATCTTCTTCAACTATCTTCAAAATGCGGCAAGCGTACATGCACGCTGAAAGACAGTCGATTGCTTGTTTACATAAAACAATGGCCTCAGAAAACTCCTTGGTGCACAAAAAATACTTATATTATTACAATTAAAGGAAAGAAAACAGACTCAAAGACAAGCGCCAATAAGTTAACTTGCTTATTTCAATCATCTAAGGAAGCATGAATATGCAATTATAATTCCATTGCCTATATATTGAGTAAACTATTGAACGATGTTGAAGTTTTTGCACAGCGTTGTCAGTTACATAACCCGTAAGTGTATTTATAATTTTGGTTGAAGGCTTAAAGCACGAAAGAAGGCAAAACCGAGACAAAATACTATACATAAAATACTATCCTTAGGCTTGCGAGGGTTGGTTAAGAGTGAAATCCGGTCCTGAAATTTGACATTATGAAACACCTATAAGAATTAAGCTGCTTTTCGCACCTCAAATGATGATGTATGGGTTTTATACATCAAGTACTTCCGCGATATAAACTTTTCTTCCAATGTGAGAATGTTATTCGTGTTGCCAATTTCTATATTTAATTGTCTCAGGATTCTTTCTTGTGTGAAAGGTGAGATTTCTGGCTGACTCGAAATCTCCGCTTATCTCTGTCTGATAACATTGAATTCGGTAACAAATTGTCATGGTGTGAATGTCCCTATCATGCTCTGAAATCAAATATGAAAGTTTTTCACTTTAACAACTGATTGATTTGATGGATCAATAACGGCGATAAATGAGAACAATATGCAGTGTGCGACTACAAAATATAGGAATATCGCTTTATAATCTATGCTTCAACTCCGAAAGATCAGATCTAAATATATTAGATTATCCATTTTAAAGCTTGAAATTGTTTTGTGCTCGTATTTTCAAAATATCCTGCGCAAATTCCTGTTTTCAAACAAAGCAATGGTGGAACTATTGTATTGATGGGTGAAGTTATAAGGAAGGATGTTAAAAACGCAAATGGCTAAGCATACAAGATTTCTGAAAGAACAAAAAACTCAAAGCACTTTGCGGCTTTCATATGACAACATTTACATTATTTCTTTAATTGAAAGTCCCTTGATATATATAATCTCTTTGTTCTTTGAATTTACACTTCTTACAATGACTTGGCAGGATCGATGTGGGTTAAAATCCAGCAGCTTAAACGATATATATAACAGCGAAAGCGATCGAGGCGCCGTTCAAAGACTTAAACAATTTTACACAGGAAAGAGTGTAGACTATTATTCACACTCATGTCCGTAAAAGGCGACGTGGGGTTCACGCGTTGAGTGAAATATTGCCTCTGTGATTAGGGAATTATTATCTTATGATCGAAATCAACACGACCGTTGGTTCGACCCACACATGCACAAATCAATTTGATCTTTTGGAGGAGCTGAAAATAGCGTGTTCAGCAAAGTGCGTATCGATTATCAGTGAAACGTGTTAAAGTGCAATGTTTACTAGAAACTCGAAAGGTAGCCAGTGCGTCTACATCGCGCAAACCACCGTCGTATCGTTTTTAAATAACCAGACTTAAAATGCCATCCTCTTTCCAAGCGATCCCATTTCAACAACAACATTTATGGTAGTGAAACGCGCGCACCGCTCGGTTTGAATATTACTGAATATATACATAGTCATAGCTGTCGAGTTTTCAAACAAAGATTACCACGGACCATATTCTGATAGCTGTATTGTGTATAATCTGTGTTCGTTTAATTCTGTGTTCTGACCGGGTATATATGGGAATGTACCCAGAATGTATGATTTAAATTGTATGTAAGATTCTACAGATGCTAACCTCAGAAAAACATGCGTTATAGTTATATATCTGGGCTTTTTCATAAAAACATGCATGCTGCAGCACTTTCTCCTTGATGATTGAGCTATCAATATAAAGATTTAAATCTTGTACATCTAAATCAGCGCGCTCTTCCTAAATATTAAATAAGCACTAATTTTTATGATCTCACATTTGTTTAACTCATCCTAAATATGTTCATGCACTGTCCGTCGGTTCAACGCACACTATATCTTTATCCATCAAAACGTTAAAAGTGTTTAAATTTAATTTGTTATAATAGCCCTAGCTAACAGAAGAGTGATCACTCCAGTCATATGATAAACTATCTTCCTTCCACCTTATCAATTTACCTTCAATCTTACTCTTCTCATGTTCAAGAGGTTTCATTCTGCATTCGTCACCGCATTCTGGTTGTGTATCTTGGTGATGAAGCTCGTTCAGATCCCCCGGTGTCGATGTATACGACCTCTCTGCGAGTTTACCATGTGCCTCAACGCTGGAATTGCCTTCCTGGCCTTGAGTTTTTAGGATATCGGTGATACCAAACGGAGTGAATCTGGGACCGCTCGCCATATTAAGAAACGCGCGCGGCAGAAGCAAGTCTTGTTGTGTTGTGTTGTGTTGTCAAAAAGCACCACGCTCTGTTTAAGTAGCGACCGTGCTCGTTTCCTTGATCTCGACAAATGCTTTCAGCTTTTTACGTGCAAATTGTTTTGTGGGTGGAGTAGCCATAAGAGGAGATTAAAATTTTGACACCTAATTCCTGGCAACGATTGGTGCTCCTTAATTGTTGTTTGACTTGCCTGACAATCGCATTAAGCCATCAGATCCGCTTTGAACAGGTTCTTCATAAAGCAGGCGTGTAAGAGCCAATACGAGGGGGGCCCTTCAAGGGTTACAAAAGTCGAAGGTTAGTGGAAATTAACAAAACACTTTTGAGGCAGTTGTGCCCTCTTCAAAGAGGTATTCAACACACGCCTTGTTACTCGTAGGTGGCGTGTTACATTCCTCAGGCTCATTAACCAAATGTCCATCTCTCTGTCTTCCTGATTAGAGAGCAAATTACTTCACAATGAAGGAAAATTCCACTTAACTCAATACAAACACAGAAGAATTAGATTGCATTAATGCGTGTGGTTATTCTTGTCACTCGCTTTTCATCACGCAAGGATGCATGACGCAAGTACTAAAGTGACGAGCTCTGGGCCTTGCGAGGTCACAGCTTAGGAGATCTTAAGCTCTTGACATTCTTAAGAGTGATAAGCAACCATCTTCCTCGTTGATAAAGAAGGGCTTATCACAGATTTTCATATTGTGAAACCAATCACGTTTGCCTCGAAATAGTGTTGCAAAAACGTTTCAACTTTCATTCGAATATGACTATGGTGCATGTTAGATAAGAGACTATATCCCACGCTATATGTCCCCTCGCATTTCTGACTTTCCCTAAGCTCTTGTATATCCACAACTTTCTGGCTAGAATACTCGTTAGAAATTACATTTAAAAACTAACGACTAACTTGCCCGAACTTTTTAATCTCAATGGGCAGAAATAAGCCACGCACTGGGATAATGGATGTTACTTATAGGCATGTCCGTTTCATATATTAGTCAATAAAATCATAACAAGCTTAAGAAGCGATGTCTGACGATTGCATCACAAATATTCCTCCTATAAATGATACTCCTTGTATTAACTCCGATCTCTCCTCTCACTTGTAAGAGTGAGACGATCGATGCTCAGAACAGGCAAGCAGATCAGAACGTTTACTGTTTAATGTCTATTAATGTAAATTAAAAATGTAGGCAAACAACTATTAGTTCAGTGTCGGCGGTCTGTTCTGTTTAAATCATTTCTGGTGGAATTTTTTTGACTGCGTATAAATTGTCATGCAAAAGCGAATGACAGATGCAGCTTTTTTTGAAAAAAAATTAACCCGCGTGCAATAAAGATTCTTTCTTTCTTAATTTCCCACGCAAATGGCAGGATTTTTTTCTTTCCTTGACTTGCTGAAAGTTCAAAGGAACTCTACAAGACTTCGTTGAGTGATTTGCGCTGAGAAACGTTTTATATCTTTGAGCTATTTTTCTGTTTGCATAGTGAGTGCATTGTCTTTGACGAATTGTAATATCAAATGATTATATGACGAGCATGCATCTATTTGACTAAGACAAAGCGTAATGAATTGTAGTTGTTTCAAAACACTCCCTATATAATCCTTTCATTAATATAGTATTTCTTCGTGGTCGAACATATATACGTATAGCTAGATATACATACACACGTATAGTTTGTATTTTAATTGTATATAATACACTCAAATTAATATATATACGATGATGTTTAGGATGTGCACTTGTTGTGCTAACAACTGCGCATAAAGTTTCACTTATTCAACAAAGATCTTTGTTTTTTGTGTCCACATTATGGCTCTATATAATCTTCTCAATTAGCTTTCAGGTTTTATTCAAATACACGTGCAGAATCATCAGATAGAAACGAGTGTTTAAAAGACAAAGTTTGGCTTGCTGAGACTTAAAGTATTAAATCTATGTTATTATATGTTTGCTACAAAATATATCATCCCTGATATTTATGTTATTTTTCAAGGAATCTAACGGTTGTTAGTTCTTTCACTGATAAATATATATAAAATCAAGCTATTGTAAATGTTATCGTGGATTAATTAAACTTTAATCGATGATCATTTAAATAAAGAATCTTTCAACTATTTCAAGTTGGACAGTTTTAAATGGTTGTCAGTTCTAAAATTAGTCATGATTTTGTATAGGTCTTTCCATTTTGATTTTGTACTTCAAACTGAAATCTTTCAAGTGCAGGATTTCTCTTGAATGTTGGAAGAGTAATGAATATGCTGGCTTATAATTGGGTCTCTATTGGGTTTTATATAGGGTGAATTAGGTGATCAATATAATAAATATAATCTGAGAGTCCAAAACCAATATCCATTTGTTAAGTCTATACTTATAAATATAATAATGAATCAGCTATATATATCATATATTCTTAACAGTCACAGAGCCATTACTTGCCGGTCAAAAATCGAATTTTATTTCGGAGTCTTCTCCAATGCAATTTTCTGTGAGGCACCGAATATAACCAGGGTGCAGCGTGGCAGCGTGGCAGCGTCTTCAAACAATTTAGCATCAAATGTGGTATAACAACTGCCTAAAATAGACAAAACACTTCTCGACGGCGTTTCGACCAGAGGGCCTTCGTCAGGAGAGTTAGTTAAGTAGGACTAACTCATACTAATTCTCCCGACGAAGGCCCTCAGGTCGAAACGTCGAGAAGTGTTTTCGGTCTATTTTAGGCAGTTGTTATACCACATTTGATGCTAAGTTCCTGTAAGACAGCTTCATACTTTATTTAGGCTAACTGCCTAGAGTATAGATCCCTTTTGCATGGGTAACAAATCAAATTTTGACACGAGAGTACAGCCTGATTCACTCGATGTTTTTATGTCATTTGAAAGTCAATAGAAAATTTGACTTTGAACAGATCAAAACAGTTTATCCACGAGTGTCATTTATGAATTCTACCGTAGATGCTTGCATTTCCATCATATTATTTAATGCCCGCTTTTTACATTTTTGAATATTTTTGGGGTTGGGGGTTTTACAAATATATCAGCACCGTTTACGCGTGTTTAACTACATGTACGAGGCCTATTTTTGGATCTTCAACAAGAAAATAAGGAAGTTTACTTAACTAATGACAAAATAATGTGTTGTTAGATTTCTCTGTTTAATGATGTAGAACTCAGCAATTTATAGTTGAAACTTTGTGTATATACATTTGTGCATGACGACGTCTTGAAGATTATTTTCTTCACAACATTTGTAATATTTCATATTTTCCATGAAAAGGTTCCGATGTATTTTTAGCCTAAAAAATTTATTGCATAGGATCTTCGATCAGCTGCGTGGCTGTCATCGCTTTAAGGAATTAATCGTATCTATGTTTGATTCTGAATTCGATCTAACTGTTTTAAATGGAACACCAGTTATATAGGATTATGTGTTTTCTTAATATACACTGAAGCAGAAACAATTTAAGTTTATCATAGTTTACACGATGCATGTAGTCATCAAAAAGTTTCATATTTCTCATCAGTAAGCAAAACTGAGGTGTTAATAAAGGAGGCAACCTGAGCAAGACTTTTGATTCGTTTATATAACTATAGACTTCATTCGAGTATACGACGATAGTCGACGAACATATTCCAGTGGTATATGACGAACGAAAACCTAAACTAAAGTAAGATATTTTGTGCTTATTTCGTGCTGTTCGCGATGAGCAGAACTGATTTTATTCATCTTCTGAATTCCTCTGCAATATCAGAATTGTTTTTCTCAGAAATCGTTTATTAAATTTCTCCAGCAACTGTAAAACGTCTTGAATTACACTCAAGGAAAACGGAAACGTCGCCAGTTCGATGTCAGATCTAAACAGATAACTTAGTGAAACCTTAATCGATCCTCACATGATCCGAAATTATTTTAAAAAACTTCCAATACATGATTGTCACATATATGGTCACCCGTAGATGGATCGCGGATGTTAATTTTGTAAGCCATAAAATAAGCTGAGTCATAAGCACACCAAAAGTTAAGTCGAAATAAAACTGCTCTTTCCATGGGGAAGAAAAATATGAAAATCGAAATCAATAAACATGTTCGAGGAGCTTATAAGAGTAATGAAAGGTGCATCTTATGTCTAGCTCTGGCCACCTGCACTATATTCATTCGTCAAGCCACTTGAACTGTCAACTTCTTTATAAGAGACGGGACAAAATATTAATTTGTCTAACTTTCAGGCTTTTGTCGTTTATGTCAAACTGTTTCCTTGAAGCAAGCTGAGTTTTAATGGCTGTTTGCTCAGATAAGGTATTGAGTTGATAACGCGAGTTGCGGTTGACTGTACACAGAGGCTGATTGGAATCAATATGTACTTGGCCTGTATTGACAGGACATTACTTGTGTTATAACGAAATGTTTGCGCTGGCATCCTGAGTAAGACGCAGCCCATTACGCTGTGTTTGCTTAGAGAACACGAAAGCATGTTTGCGTGTCACGTTTTGTTGATTTTGAGCGTATGCTATTGCGGTTTGTTTGTCTAAACTGAACGCTCTCCAAAGATCCTGAATAAGTCTGTCACGAGAAGTGTCATAGCTCATATTTGATAAAAACAGTATTTGTTATTAATCCTGCTGGATGCATGCATGGATGTATTTTCACATCGGATTTCTGAGTGGCCTACACATTCTATTGTAACAATAATAATTCCCCGCGATGCTTGGATATTTCTTGATGAAATGCATATAGCTATACGTTAATATCTTTTATATATAGTGGTCGATGCTGGCTTAAAATGAAGTTATGCATACTGAGCAATTAGCATTGAGGCTAAGGGTCCTCTATCTATAGCATAGGTTTTTAAACACTCCGGTACAAGACTGTTTTATGTTATACACATGCCTATTCAGTTTACACAGTCTGGTGTCTCAAAATCATTGTATAGATAGGTCTGTTCAAACGATCCAATTTTGTTGGATCCAATTCACTTCTGACGT